TGCCCCACTTATTTAGAGACCGCAACCCGTTACATCACTTGATATATTAATTTAGGAAGTCGTTCTAGTTTTGTATACTTAGCATTGTTTTGATGGGAACTATAACTTCAACAGCTGAGCTTGACTTATATGACTAGTTTAAATTTCATGGTTGAAGCGTTTATACAAGATTTGGGAGCAAAGAAGAGAGAAAATACATGTACCAACGCGACAATACGAAGTTTACTTGCTCGTTTTGAATTATGATTTGCCTGCAAACTGAATTCATGGACTCGAGAATAGACGTAGAACTTGTTTGTCGACGGATAATTGTCCAAAAAGTCCTAAACCTTTTTTACGATTTGCCAATTTAATCATAAACCTCTCAATTGTGACAATTTAGTCATAAACCTTTGGACAATTTATCAATTTAGTTCTAAACATTTTGAAGATTTGTCAATTTAGTCCCGAACCTATTATTTGGATAATAATTTGCAGACACGATCAACTCATAACATCAGAGGCCGAGATAGAGATTGGGATTTTCTTTAATGGTCCCCATCTAGACTTATTTGTTAATCTAGGAAATAAAATATTTGGAAGAGGGCAATAATGCCCAGGCTTTTGCATTGGTTAAGCTCCATGTCATTGAGTGGCTTTTGAGTTCATGTTGGCTGACACCCCCACAAACTCTTTTCGGTACTGGTAGATTCATACAAGCAATCAAAAGAGAGGGCAAATTGATTTTTCAAAAAAGTACAAACTAATTTGTAGAATCAACCCCGTACGCTAGTTCACAAGCAACGAATATTAACAAGTTTAGGGAAAGAAAAATTACAAACGAGATATATAAAGGTCCTGCTTGATTTAGGGTAAATTGCTCTTACGTCCTCGCAGTCCAAATATGCTAAATTTCACTAGTTATACCATAAGTATAAATAGCGCCTTGTGACAAATGTCGGACCTCCTGCCACGTGAAACCTAACTTCCTTCTACAACACCACTGTTATAGAGTTGCCCTTACACCTTTGTACACACAGCATGGTAAATACTCTCTCCAAGCTATAAACCACACCTTTAAGCGTTTACAAAGAGTCCCAATAATACTTTGTTTCTCACTTAGATAAACACCTTCACTCTAAATACAACCACTTCTCGTATGTTTATAGATTGGTTTGCCACTCTTGCTAACTCTAAGGAACAGCATTCAAATAGGGGGAAAAGTGTCAAAAAAGTCCTAAACATATTGTATTAGTACTAATTTAGTCTTAAATCTTTTGATCTGAGCCAATTCAGTTCTTCCGACTAATTTTGGCTGGATATTGCTAACACAGATGCTGGCTGCCCTATATGATACAGTCGGCGCTAACGTGGATATTTTTTTTTATAATTTTTTAATAATTTTCGAATTTTTTTCTTTTCTTTTTTCTTTCTTTTTTTCCTCCTCTTTCTTCCAGTAGCCGACAAGGGCTCTGGCGAGGCCGGCGTCTCCTATCGGCCTCGCCAAATCTAGAGGGCCAGGCATCGCCTAGGCGAGGGCGGCCTCACCGGTCACACTAGAGGAAAGAGGACGAAAAAAAGAAAGAAAAAAATCGAAAATTATTAAAACATTATTTTAAAATGTCCACATTAGCACCTACCATGTCATGTAGGCACGTCACAATATCCGTACAAAATTAGTTAGAAGGATTAAATTGGCTCTAGGTCAAAAGGTTTAGAACTAAATTGGCACTAATGCAATAAATTTATGACTTTTCCGACACTTTTCCCCTTAAATAGTTACTATAAACCTACAAAAGATACGAACTCAGAATCCTCTCAAGAATGCTTAATTTCTCTTATTTTTTTCCCATTTCAACTGTATGACTTCTGGCCAAGTTTTCTCCAATTTATAGAGCTCTAAATTCAAACGTTGCACTTGGATCACGTTATATCCACCTAATTCTCTGTAAATAATTTTAGCATAATTCCTTGAAAAGCATGTGCCGAACCTTTCCTCAATCTGGGCTGTCGATTAGATTTTCTATTGACGACAGATTTTGATCACAACACCACACCAATCTCTTGAGCTAATTATTCTGTGATTACAAATAGCCTAGGAATATCATATTTTATTGCTATGAGCTGGGCCTTCAATTTAGAAACTCCAACCGTCGTTGAATATGTTAACGGAAAGTGACTAACGACCTAGTCTAACCTTTTTATATAATAAAGATTTTGGCTCCGCATTTTTCCTTCTGTAGAATTCTGACTTATATATTTGTAGAGTCAAATCCTAATTTCTGCATGGTTTAGACATAAGCATATGCAGACTTAAATGAACCCGTTTAATACTTGGATTAAGCTGCGTTATCATCAAAATCCTTTAAGAATATTCTCCACTATGTACAATATTTTTTAAGCAAGTGTTATGTTTATTATTCATGAGCGCACGAGTCCACTTGTTAAAACCACTGAGGACACTCATTAAGAAGACATAACAATAGATGTTTTGATTTTCCAACCATTGATTACAATTACACATATCACCCCCCAAAGAAAATGTTGGTGTCCCTCGAATGTTACAATCTTTTCTATTGTGATAGCGAGATGAAGAGAAAAATCATTCTGGCTAGTTCTTAAGAAGCGGGAAGCATAGCCTGTGTTCCCCTTTCTCTAGGCAGACTCATGAAGATGCTAAGGGTACTACTTTATGCATTAACTCATGATTAGTGGAGGTTTTGCTAAAGTAGTAGTGGTCCGATTTGTGAGATAAAGAAGTTCAAACATGTTGCAATTATTGGCGAGGTGGGGAATGTTTAGGTTAATTTAACAAAACCCTTTTCTAAAGGACATCAATGCGATCCGTGCAAAGATTGGGGCATGTTTCACATCTCCACCTCCCTTCACCTCTTTTATATTAAATGAAAGTAGCATTTCCCTTGAATCATATCCAAAATTAATCATATCCTAAACGAGAGATGATGATGGACTTGGGGGTCACTTGTTCTTTTTTTTTTTTTTTGGTAAGGGGGGTCACTTGTTCTTTGGCTAGGAAAGAGGCAAGAATCGAATCACGTCTCTATCTCTCTCATTCTCACGTATAATATAATATAACGCATTAAAATATGGTTGGTCCACCCACTAATAATCCAAACCCGTATGCTCCCATTATAATTCTCTCATTTTATCTATGTGTTTGTGTGTTGAGTTGATGCCTATAGAGTATATTCAAAACTTTGGTTAGGGTTACGTAAGTGTTGAAGGTTTGACTTGAGCACATCTTGTAATGGGAAAAGTTGGAAAAATGAGCAAAACCCATTTTTTTTTCTCAAAGAGCAAAACCCAATGGAGAAGACTACTATTCGGCCAAAAAGAAACGGAGAAAATGAAGTATAGAGACTACTACACATGCATGATATATAGAGTTCAAATCGGCTTGTTAGGAGTCAAATTTGATGGTAACCTCTCACCTATATCCCATCATCACATATTGCATGTTTAGAGTGGTTTCTACCTGTTTTTCCATGATAGAATTGTCAAAAGGCCTAATTATAGGATTCGCGATGCCACGTTTAATGTCAAAGACCGGAAGTTTTGGGCAACAGTCGGTCCTTCATCGATGGGTCATGGCCTAACTTACACCCAATTCATACCTACAATAGTGGTCTTTAATGCTTGGGGAAAGTAGTGTTGTCTTAGAAGGAGATCACATTCTGTTAGTGGGTACTTTCTTTTAGGATAATATACGGCCCGCCAAAAGTTCTGTATTTACATACTACGGACAGAGGGGATTAAATTCAAAGTTGGTATTGACAATCTCATTGCAACCACTAACCGTTTACTAATTTCAAAACCAGCTAAAGAAGCAAAAGGGAAAATGAAAGAGAATATAGACAGAGCTTTAAAAGTACAAGTAGGGGAAAAGTCAAAATGTTGAAAATCGTCTACAGCCAAACGGTAAAAAGGCTATATTATATTCTACTTCTGCACTTACCCTCACGAGGCTAAAATCAAAGTCAAATGGGGAAAGCCGAGGCAGCCCAACAAGCCTAAAGATAGTCGACAACGAGCCGAGCCAACCAAAAAGAATTCTATACTAATTCAATGGGTAGGCCATGTATTAAGTGTTCAAATCCAAATGAGAATTTAGTTGAAGTTTTTTGATCCACCGACTTTCGTAGGGTCGGGTCGTAACCCGACCCTCAAGATCTCGAGTCTTGATCTTTCGTAGGGTCGGGTCGTAACCCGACCCTCAAGATCTCGAGTTTTGATACCGGAGCCCTGGGTCTTGATGAAGGGGATGGTCATGGTGGTGGTGGAGGTAGGCATCAAGTCGGATTTCTAAAGTAAATCACGATTTGAAAAAAAAAATCATTTTTCCGAAATTCTAAGTATGAATTCTTTTTGCTGGCTACGAGAGTATTGTCCCATTTTTATGAATCGATGTCGAATAGGGAAAACCGAGAATTATGATAAATTATTTTTCATGAGACCGACATATCGCGGGCATCTTTAATAAATACTCTCAAGACACGTTAAAAAGAATCATACGAAAAAGAGTAAAAATTCGGAATGTCAAAATTCATACATGACGTGAACATAGTAAATGATGTGATTGAGAATAATATAGACTTTCATATAAGTCATACTCGACATTAAACGAAACGGGTGACGTTCAGCACTCAATGGATGAATGTGTCTCTGAGATTTAGCTTATGCATTTAGTACCTTAATTTGACGGACTAATTTCGATGCCTAGGAAGACAATAAAGATGAAAACTTTAAAAAGAGGCAATGAGTGCGGCCTCCATCCAAAAACCAAACCAAACCAAAGGAGAAAAGAAGGCATCTGAGGACCACGAACGTCCAAATCGGAGGATGCTCTCTCTCTCTTCCCACCACAGAAATCCTCTTTCCGTGCTCCCAACGTGTCCTCTCATCATTCGATCTCCCCGCACGAGCCCCTCTCTCTCTCTCTCTCTCTCTCTCTCTCTCTTCTTCTTTTCAGGCACGATGTCAATAAGAACAATGCTTAAGATAACAGTACAATCATGTCTTCTTTAAATTCTTGTTTTTCTTTTCTTGGTTTAAAATGGCAAAAGAAGTGGCTCGTTGGACCAGAAGATAGTATGGGAGCCGAGTCGTTGGAATATCTTCATCGGGACGACAAAGGGTCTCATTGGCTCCCCACAGCAAGCGCAGGGATAGACTCGTGGCGCTAGCTTCTAGCCTCTTCTTCCTTCCTTTCTTTGGGCTTTTGGGTTTTCTCATCCAGTGATTATTAGTGTAAAGAGAAAAGAAAGGACGCAGCTTGAGCTCGGGGGGGTGAAGTGGATGATGATGTCAAAGTATGCTTAGTATGGTTAGGAACCAAGAACTTTCTCGGGAAACCTGATGGGACTTTTCTTGCTTTGCTTTTGTGCCATGCCCTTTATCAGTTTTTTAGGGTTTGTTCCTTGATGAGCCCTGCGCGGAAGACGAGGCGTGGAGGTCAAGCGAAAATTCCTCTCAAGTCTCCAGCTTACGCTGGGAAAAAAGAAAGCCTATCTTCTCGGGAAAAAAACAAGAACACTTCTTTTTTCCTCTTTCTTTCTCTCTTATCCGGTGACAAACTGATACCGTTTTCTAGTATTTCTTGGTCCATGCTTGCTCTCTGTTCTGGATGGGAGCAGCACTGCAAGTGGAAGGAGTTGGAGTGTGGTTTTTCATTGGTGTGAAGCCTTTTTGCTGTCTGGGGAGAGAGAGAGAGAGTTGAGAGTTTGTCGACAAGCTGAAGTTCTTGAAAAAGAAGGTCGCGGGGTAACAGCAAAAAAAAAATGAATTGATTGGGGAAGGTTCAAGATTTTGAAATGAGGAACTCGGGTATTGTTTGAGTTGTTTCAAGAGTTGCAACATGAGTTGCAGCTCCAATTGCAGGGAGAGGCAAGAGGGTCGATGCGAAGAGCAAATTCCGAGGAGGTCTGTCGATGGAGAACCCAAGTCCCTCTCGGAGAATGGATCTTTAACGGACGCTCAGTTGTCTATAGACGAGAATTTGTTGGTCAACCCGAAGTTATTGCTCATCGGGTCGAAAATTGGTGAAGGAGCTCATGGGAAAGTTTATGAAGGAAGGTCAGTGATTTTTTTTTTTTGGTAAGGTAGGAAGGTCAGTGATTTTTATCTTCTCTATTGGAAGAAAAAGGTATAATGTGGCCAGGTTGTGAATTTGGGTGTCTTGGAGCAATTATGAATTAGCTTTAGTATACTGGACTGGACAGAGCTGCTTTCCTTATTTGTCCTTTTCTATCGTAATGTAATCACCTTTGTCTGATGTCTATGAACGTGTCTTACTGTAAAATTACAAGGATGTGTTTGTTTTTTCTCTAGGCATTGATATGCTACGGCAACCCTGCATTTGACCTGGTGCATCTATCCAAACTTTTGCGAATTTTTTGGGGGTGTAATTCACATGTTATAGTAGAAGCTAAGATTGCTTATGCTCACCTAATCTTGCTGTATAACAGCTGCTAACAATCTATAGTTATGGAAAGGCCAAAGGACAGCTCTCTGTTGCTCGTATGCATTCATCTTTTATTCGATGAGTTTTGTCTTGCTGCGAAAGTTTCAGCTGCTTTCATGGTGGTGATTGCCTTTTGCAATGTAATCGATGCACAATGATCATGCGCTATCATACTAAACCGAGTGGGTTGGAGTAGTTTGTGATAGTTAGTGTCCTAGTTGAATAGGTATAGCCTAATATCTTTCCAGGTATGGAGATCAAATTGTCGCTATAAAAGTCCTTAATCGTGGAAAGACACCAGAAGAAAGAGCTGCACTTGAAAATCGTTTTGCTCGGGAAGTCAATATGATGTCACGAGTTAAGCACGAGAATCTAGTAAAGGTCAGTATTCTGTAGCTCCAGTGTTCTTTTGGCTCTTTCGAGGGCATCCTTAAATTGATCTTGTACTAGTTTATTCAATCAAATTTTGCTTGACGACCAATGTCCTCTGTCTTCGGTTTTGTAGTTCATTGGTGCCTGTAAGGATCCTTTCATGGTAATCGTTACTGAGCTATTACCGGGGATGTCTCTGAGGAAATATCTTGTCAGCATACGGCCAAATGTATTAGACCTTACTGTAGCGATAAAGTATGCCCTAGATGTTGCTCGCGCCATGGAATGTCTGCATGCTAATGGTATTATTCATAGAGATCTAAAACCAGGTAAGAAATTTATTAGTGGCAGACAGCTGTATATTGTTCTTGAATAAGCTTCTATACACTGGATGTGAAGCAATCATCTCTTAAAGTGGCTCGATTATTTCTGTGGATTTTTCTCAATTTTGAGGCTGAATATTCAGATCACGCGGTCATCCTTCCTGTCTTGCATCTGATTAAAACTCCTGTGAAAGTCATTTCTGTGACATTTCGCCTCTGTATGTGGCCACGTTCACATTAAGCCTGGAGTTAATAATTGTCTGTGAAATTCTTGCAGAGAAGGGATGTAGTGACGCACCAATACTTTAGTTTGATTACGTCATGTTTGTGGATAACTATGGTTTTTGGTGTCTCGATGTATGTCATGAGTACAAAAGTGAGGAGCAAAATTACAACCAGTTTTAGACTCACAGTTTAGTGACTGGATTTTTTGTGATGCATATGCGCACCGCTATTGCTACTTATGATGACATTAACATCTGCTGATGACTCAAACTAATAACTCGATGCAGACAATCTGCTGCTTACCGCTAATCAGAAATCTGTAAAGCTTGCGGATTTTGGTCTAGCAAGGGAAGAAACTGTGACTGAGATGATGACCGCAGAAACAGGGACCTACCGCTGGATGGCTCCTGAGGTTTGTAGTTTCTCAGAAACATAGTTTAATCTCCTTTCTGAATTTGATATATATCTTTATGACATTATGGTTTCAAAACTATAGTTCAGTTGTATTTGGATGGTACAATTCCAGACAGTGGAACTATCTCCATGGCCTTGAAACCCTGTCATGGTTCATTGATGTTCTGTGAGCCACTTAACTGATAAATTTGCAATTGTCATTCTTTAAACTAATACTCAGACTCCACCTCCATGCAAGATATCAAAGTCATAGCTGAATAAGTGAAGTAAAAGGATATCTTTACTAGGATTGGTCATCACTTCGGTTTGGTGCTTTTGGTTCACTCTATTTGAGACCCTGATGGCACATTGATATTTATTAGTACCAAATTCGTTAGCGATTGTTCTCGGAGAAAACATTCATATCATGATCAATGCACAAAACAGTTAGCCTGCCTTTCATGCTATTTAAATGCAGGACCATATGAACAGAGTAGGCATAGGCGGAGACAATAGAGTTCTTTAAAATGCTTTCTTAAATGTTGATTAATAGCAGTGTTGATTGGAAGTAGACAGGCCATGGTAGAGAGCTTTGGTGTGATCATGTGCAATGATAATCTTTCCCAGGGTCATCTTTTCTAACTTTTCTGAGGTACCGTTTTCATATTGATTGATGGGGACTTTTTGGCTGTTAACTTAATTTGTGATCAAGAATACTAGGAAGGAAATAAAAATTTTAGTACTTTGAGGAGCACTTTGGGGCTTCAGAAATGGTATCAGGGAGAGAGAGAGAGAGAGAGAGAGATGTGGGGTACTGTTAGATTTTAGATCCTTGAAGGTCTGACACTTGAGCATATCTGTTTATTGTCTGAATGCATAAAAAGGCATATAGTGTATTCTCAGACTCTTGGACATTAAATCTGCAGATTTTTACTCAGAATGTAATAGTAAAAATGGCAGAAACAAGAAGTCTTTTCCAATTTGTATATTGATCAGAATATCTCTCTTAGTTTCGTATTCGGCTTCTCACCTCTTTGAATTAGAGATTATGCAATTACATACCTCAGGATGATAGCTCCGATGTTGCATTGCCGGATCACATAATCTTACTGTTGCATTCCTCCCCATCAGGCTCTCTGTTAGATGAATATCTGTTTGGAGGATTTACCGTCAAGAGCTGACTCCTTTTGTTAACCCGAGCGTCTTTGTAGTTGTATAGCACTGTGACTTTGCGGCAGGGGGAGAAGAAGCATTACAACAATAAAGTTGATGTCTATAGCTTTGGAATCGTTCTATGGGAACTATTGACCAACCGAATGCCATTTGAAGGCATGTCCAATCTGCAAGCTGCTTATGCGGCCGCTTTTAAGGTTAGCAGAACGCTTGTTTCAATTCTTCTCTGTCAATTTCTGGAATTCTTTTATCGCTGCTTTACAAATCTGCATGTAAGTATTTGTTAAGCCTCGCTTTTGTCAATTCTTTGTTGAAGCTTTTTGAGAGGCATGCCACTTGATGAGGGTATACTGTTTCGAGGGTGATCGAAGATTTACCTTTTGGACAGAACCAGGCCAAGTTCATTGAGTAACTGAAGTAACTGGGCTTTGAAATTGCCAAATTTTGCTCCCACATGGTGAAATGTAAAATCTGACAGCTCTAGACTCTACACCATTGGATTATTTTTCCTTTATTGGCTGGGGAAGCAACCTTAGTTCTTGTTATCAATATGCCAAAATCCATCCTTCGCTTTGGTAGCATGCACGAGTCTGAGAAGGTTATTAGTAGTATATTACGTCTTGCCTGCCATGATACAGTTTTATGCTGATTAGAGCACATTCACGATATGTCCTATTCTATCCCATCATTTTCTTCACTTCTTTATGCTGGGTCTGGCAGAGCTTTGGACTTTCTTTGACCATAATGTTTTTAATATGAGTTGCAGCAAGAGAGACCGGCTCTTCCAGAGGATATATCCCCCGATCTCGCCTTCATCATACAGTCATGCTGGGTCGAGGACCCTAACATGAGGCCCAGCTTCAGCCAGATCATCCGCATGCTCAATACTTTTCTCTTCACTCTTTCGCCACCTACACAATCCTCACAAGAACCAGATTCCAACGAGGCTGCGACAACTAGTAACGGCACCATGGCACTGTCCACCGCTCGAAATAAAGGGAAGTTTGCTTTTCTTCGCCAACTTTTTGCCGCTAAAAGAACTAGGAACTCGCAATGACCCGGTGGAATCTTGGGAAGCTTTGAGTTCCAATTTTGAAGGGTCATGGCCTTTTAGTAGTTGGTGCAACCTTTGTAGAGTATTTTGAGTAGCTGAATAGCGATGAGTAGCGGCGGAGGTATGGGAGAGATAAAAGCAAAATATTCAATACAAGTAATTAGGACTGCTATTTCTTGATGATATCATAAAGGAAGGAAATAGAATAGCAAGAATTCTCATCATAATGCCACTTATCCTTTCGACTGATCAAATGGCCCGTGGAATTGAGGAAAAGTCGTACTAGACATTGAGGTCTCGATTACTTTGCAACTGTTCTTATCGAACGACGGACGGGGAATGGTCATTTTGTGTATGCAAGCCATGTAGGGTAAAGGGGTTAGTTGAGGATCCATAGATCTGGCCAGCTTTGAGCATATGTTGAAGTGGGGCTATCTTATCTTATATCATCCCTTTTGCTTCATCCATCAGCAAAATAAAAAGCATCATGTTTGTGTAGCTGATAACTTCATTTGCAGACAAAAAGTAAAGAGAAATCTCCTGGTTCTGTTTCTGCTGTGATGCTACCGAGATGTATGATCCAGCAGTAGTGCTAGAGTGGGGAAATGTGGGATCCATGATTGGGCAAGTGACACTTCAAAAGGACCTTTGAAGCTTATGGATCTTACACCAAGACCTGCTCTAAAGGGGGAAAGTGGGGCAATGTGAGGGCACATGGTGGTCTCCTTACAAAGTGAACACATTGCCCCCCCCTTCTTTTTGAACCAAAACCAATGCATTTTGAGACTTTGAGAATTAGGGCTTTGCATCGATTCGATTCGACAGTTGTGCGTGTCCGTATTATTAGCCGGCGTCATTAAATTGGAATCGGTGCGCGTGGTGGAAAGCCGGTGGGGGTCGATTGTCTCGCATTTCGCGTCGTCCATAGAGCGATTTTCAGCTCTTTAGTTGGAAAAGAAAATCTTCTGGCTCTTGCGATACGAGTTTCTATCAGTACAAAACACCCGAGACAATTCAAAATATTAACTTTTCGACTTGTAGGTAGAATTATGTAAATTCCTTTTATATTCATTAACTAATTAAAAGACGAGGTTAAAATTTGGCGGGAGAATCGATAAGTGAGTACTCGGCCTCGATAAATCCCGAACCGATACTTTCCTTCCGGCCGGAACAATGGCCGCTTTAGGTATTCGGTCGGTCCGGGCCTAAACAGAATGTTCCCCATACGCTCCGGATTCGCTTCGACATCGCTAGCAAATTACTAATGTCGAATTGATTCGCATTTCGACCCTTCTTCTGCTCTCTCTTTTCTTCATGCTTTCGACTTACCGGCTTTTCTGTAAAAACATTAATCAAGATCCGAAGCCCCCTCGTCTGAAACATCAGTACAAATCTCTGTGTTCTTTTTTATTTTTTCTGTGGTCATAAATGCTCAGGTTTTTTTCTGGAATTAAATTCATCGTGCGGGGTCGAGAAAGGGAGAGGCGCCACGTGGCGCGAGGCGTTTGGTCGGGGCGCGGCTGTCCGTCGTATGGTGCGGGCCCCGGCGTTTCGGGGGTGGGGGGAGAGAGAGAGAGAGAGAGATCAGAAAAGGGCGGGAGAATTTAAGGCGGGGAGGCCCAATGCGGGTACGGGTTCCTTTTCTGACTGGCCCACCCATTTGGAGACACGTGTCCCCCCGTCACTTTTCGGAATGCGTCTGTCACGGTGCATTTATTGCCTCCCCTTTCTCTCTCCTTCGAATCGGTTGTGCGGTCTCTCTCTCTCTCTCTCTCTCTCTCGGTGGGGGCCACCTCTTTTTGACCTTTTCAGTTTCGCGGTTTGTCTAGTGAATACTTAATCCCCTGACAAATCCAAACTTATATAATAATAATAAATTTATCCAAAATTAAATTATTTTATCACTAAAAATTTCAAATTAGTATATTTGTGATAAATTTACCTTATGTTTAGTTTCCGTTAAATTTTATCGTCAAATTATTGAGTTGAAGGACACGTGACAGTTGACGGGTGTACTGATTCAGGTTTTACCTTCTGTTTGTCATAGGTGAACGAGGACATATCTAGTTCCACTAGAAAATGACGTCCTACGAGATGGTATTAGTTTGGAGTTTTCTGTGATATTAATCCACTTTAACAAAAATTAACGGATGGTAAATTTGTTACAAGTGCACCAGTTTATGAGTTTTAGTGGTCAAAAAATTAATTTGAGATAAATTTGATCTAGGACTTTTGGTAATAAAAAAATTAATTTTTGGTAAATTTATCACAACAAATTTAAGGTTTTTCATAATATTACCCCTTAACTTAAGGGCCTTAAGTAAATCATTTTTTTGGTTTTTTTGACCACTTCATATTCATTAATTTTTGGAGAAAAACATCATGTGTGCCTCAAATCGACCACAACAATTTCGATAAATCTATGTTTTAAAGGGCTAATACCATGAAAAATCTCAAACTGGTACGTTTATGACAAATTTATCCCAAACTAATTTTTTTACCACCAAAAATCTCAAACTAGTACACCTATGACAATTTTACCTTCCATTAATTTTGGTTAAATTTTATTATCAAATTGCTAAGTTTGATGACACGTGACAGTTGACGTGTGTGCCAGTTTCGGGTTTTACCCTCTTTTTATCACAAATTTACCAGATTATGATTTTTCGTTATATTAAATAATTTAACAGAAGGTAAATTTGTCACAATTATATTAGTTTGGGATATTCGATGGTCAAAAAATTAATTTTGGGTAAATTTATTACATGGGTATCAGATTAGAGTTTTTGGTACGAGGCTCTATCAAATGTGTACCAATTTAGAATTTTTCATGATATTAATCGTTTTTTTAAATACTACTACTAGTATTTCGTTATTCGTAATTCCCAATATTAAAGGTCCTTATGGAAATTAGTATCTTAAGATTTGATGAGACGTGTAACGAATTTATAATTGCATTTTCATTTTTTCAACTTTTTTTGGCCACCTACAAAGTGCCCTATTGCTAGGCCTAGCGGCCTATGAATAGGGAGGAGGGTGAGGTACCGAATTTGTAAGTAGCCTTTTTGAAGGTATATAACTTTTAGTGAATTTGTCATGGTTATATTAATTTAAAAAAATTTTGTTACTTGAAAATTCATTTGAGAGTAAATGTTTTGAGCGTACCGGTTTGGATTTTTTTTTATAATAATAACAAAAAAGAAGCACTTTATTTTTACTACGTAAGTTTTCAAGAATGCCTCGATAGACTTGTCGATCCAAGCTTTTCAAATGAGAGAAATGATCATATTGATCCACATAACTTTGGGACGCACAAGAAATTCACCGGAAAAAAAGGGCATTTGTTAGCGAGTGTGTCACCGTTGGCTCTTGCGTCTCACTAAGTATGATATTTTTCAATCCAACAATAGATTAAGGTATACAATACAAGCGGGACTATTTGATACGACAAAAATCTCAAGAAAAAGAGATTCATGGAGTTTTGTCTATTCTTTAATTTTCAACTAAGATTGATGCGGCCCACCAAAGTTGGTATTGGCTACAAAATGTAGGCTTTTTCATCACGTGGAACTCTGGTGGTACGATTGCTGAAAACGTACACCATTTAGTGCCAGGTACCATAAGTCAGTGGCTTTAATCAAAGCGCTTCAAGGATCATGTTGGATTTCAATTAGTTTCTCTGACCCTCTTTAATTAACCTAATCTATCCATAATCATAACCGAGACATAAATTGAATAGATGGACCAAATCTTTGATAGAGTCTTTTGCAAAGGTCAGTAATGGCAGCAGAAAGACACGTGAAGAATGCTAGGCATATTGAAATTGGCTTATAGAAGATAGACGGACAAGATCGATCATGTGACATATTATATACTTAAATAAAGTAGCCGATTGGTCCATACTCAATTTGAACGTGTCCACACATCTATACGTATATCGAAACTCCCAACGTCTATATGACCATAAATAGCATCCTGAGGTAATCGATTGTAATTTAGGTTCAAGATTGCATATAGGATTCGCGCCAAATATGTGACTGACGAATATTGTTCTTAGTCTCTTTTACCAATTCTGATTATGCAAGCTAGTTAATGAAGCTCGTACATCAATTAACGGGACAACGCACGAGGTGTTGATTGATTAAAGGTTTTGCCTCGTTAGCGTGCTATATCCGAGAACAAGATACATACTTGAGTACGTGCATGACGGGTGCAAAATGTTCATCATAACATTTCATGATTGAGCTTTTTCGTTGAGCTGCAATGAAACATCTATCATTTCTCAAAAGTATATCTAGACATTGATGATGGTTGCACTCTTACGTACTTGAAAGTTACGATTCTTTACAATGCTCCATATGAATCCCCTCTGCGACTGCATAATTGGATCACGGGGTACAATATCCCCTTCACATCAGCTCAAATCAATAGATCTTACAATCGAGATGCAACGAGAACAATTTTCTTAGATAGTCTGTTCAATATTCGTACAGGTCTTAATGCTAGTGATGCACATTGCATCTACATGAAAATATGCAAATCTTTCATCCCATGAAACCCAAGATTTTTGCCATGATTCTTCACCGCTTCTTAACGTACTTTCTGACCACACACCAAGAGTCAAACTAAGTGAATAAATGGCCTTGGAAAGTTGGACATCATCCCAACCACCAAAATTTACCACCCTTCGTCTCATGCAAAGACACGTGGCTCTCATTTGACTCTCTCCTCGCTTCAAATTTTCTCTATATAAACCTTCCAAAAGTTCACAATCTCCTCTCACTCGCCATCAAAACCGTCATCCAATTCCATAAACCCTAACCATCTCTCTCGCTCCCGCTGTCCGTTCAACAACTCCTCCAAGAATGGCTGATCTCTCCAAGCTCTCTTGCTTCCTCCTCCTCCTCGCCTGCCTCGTGGCGGCCTCGTCGCCGGCGGCTTGCGCGGCCGTCACCTGCTCCCAGGTCACCACCACCTTGGCCCCCTGCATCGGCTACCTGAGGGGTGCCGCCCCCTTGCCCGACACCTGCTGCTCTGGCGTCAAGTCCCTCAATGGCGCGGCCCAGACCACGGCGGACCGCCAGGCAGCGTGCCGGTGCCTGCAGTCGGCTGCCGGGAGCATCCCGGGGATCGACTTTAACCTCGCCGCCGGCCTCCCAGGGAAGTGCGGCGTCAACGTGCCTTACAAGATCAGCCCCTCCACCAACTGCAACTCGTAAAATTCTCCGCCATCTTCTTTTTCCTCTTTCCCTCTCGCCATTCATCAATCATTTCCAGACTACAATGCACTCTTGGGTGAACTAAGCTTCACACAGACTGCGTACGATACAAAAACTTCATCACTTAACGTTGCTTTCTTTCTCTGTTGGCTTGTATTGCAGCGTGAAGTGAGGTTCATGAGCTCGGTCGTCGCTGATGATGGTATGGTAACGTTGAAGATGATGATAATAAGAGGGACGTGGATTAGTTCGCTGTATCTGCACGGCATGCTTTGTCGTTTTGTAGTAGGAGGTCTCGTGTCTGTTTTCTGTCTACGTACTTGTCTTTATATTATGTGCTTCGGCCAGTGAAATTATCTCTACTTGGTGTTTCTCTCTTTCTGATTTCCTCTGAACCGCCACTGCAACATTGCAAATTAACGTCCGAATTCCCTAATAATCCATGAGACGAGACAAAACTGCTCCGAAACCCTAATCAGCAACCTTTCACCCGAACAATAATAGAACATATATCACCAAATTTGTCATTACCATTTCCGAAAATGATGAGCGAGTGCTACCGTGCGATACTTTCGACCTTCATTTAATTTCTTCGCTGTCGAAATTATATCAACAGTTGTTCTCCTGGTCAAAAGCCCTTTGGGAAAGTACACAGGCTTTATAGCGTCTTTAAGTGTTACTTATTGCGCCTTACATTTTCGATACGTTGAAGAAGCTTTAAAGGAAAGTATCTTAACACGTCACGAACTTACGTTGAACTTCTGACTTTTCCTGTTGCTTACTGTATGAGAGTTTATTTCATTATCCCCTCTAACATGTTCTGACTACCCAGATGATCAAATTCAATGCGTACAACTTTCTTTGGCCGGACAAAAAGAAATGCTTCAGCGTTCTCTTTGCCTCTTGTTGCGGATTAAGGCAAAGAAATATCTATGATTTGACTAACAGATATGTTCGAAGATCATTTACCGGTCAGTTCGATTTATCGACGAACATCGCACCAAAGTTAGCTCTAATGTACTACTTTAAAACACTCGAGGAGTTTGCTCTATGATTCAAAAATAGAAGTTAATTCATGAACTTTCACGAATTACCCTTTTCGAAAAACTCAAATGCTAGATTGTTAAATAAAATGTTTTATTGAAGTTTACTATGGTAATTGTGATAATTAGTGGGCGGTTGCTACTCAAAGCCTACTTTGTCCCTCTTTCCTACTCTCCATGCACACAGGAAACAACGTGCTTTCCATGTTACTATTGCGAAAGATTTCAACCGAAAAGTATATTAAAATCATTATGTACGGAAGGATCTTGATATAGACTCCAAATCAGCCTCAGGTTCTCCTCCATATGGGTTAATTTCGATGCATCCCAATCGGTCCGTATAATTCGAGAATGAATTTGAAGATAATGAGAAAATAGTGCTGAAATATCTCGTGCTTGACAATGGATGATACATGCTCGTTTATATACACGTGATTTATCTCAAGCTTTTAGATTGACTTTTCTAATAAATAAGATTAAGTGTGTGTTTGTTTGAGGGAAAGTGTTTTTTGAGAATCCGTTTTCCGGATTTTCACTCGTTTGATTCACCGAAAATGATAAGTCAACTGAAAACACTTTTCGGTGAAGAAAAATATTTATGTATAAAATTAGAAAAGTGAATTTCTAATCAAAGAAGGTAAAAACACCTTCCATAATTGCTTATCTTGAATTTATTAATATTTTTTATTTTCTTTTCTTTCTTTTTTTATTTTCTTTCTAAGAAGGAAAACATTCATGTATTTTCTTTTCTTTATAAAAATAATTTAAAAATTATAAAAATATAAATTTTCTGGATAATTTTCACTATCAAATTTTTCTCACCAAACAGCTAAAAATACTTTTCAAATCTTTTTTAGGTTTTAACCAAATATCGAAAAACGAAGTTTAACTTCCTCAAAAGTTTTTTTTGAAAAATAATATATTTTTCACGAAATAAATACACGCTAAAAAAAGAAAATGAAAGCGAGGGAGTATGTATATACTTTTTCCGGTATGATTGACATAAAGAAACTGACAATTTGCTCTGATCCGTTGTATCAAAGTCGGATTCAAAACTGTTTCGTAAAGCCTAGAGAAAATATGTGCTTATCGGTGGTATGTCGGTCAGGACAAAAACAGTATTTTTGAAATATGCATACCCTTGTCTGACCAACAAATAAAAAAGAAATATGCATACCCTTGCACAAATTACGAGTTGACTGTGCTTCTGGCCCCTCTTAGTAAAACATACTAAAGGCCAACTGTCATCCTATTAATAACAATATCATTTGATGTGCACGCCATATTTTTACACCATAAATTAACCTAAACCACGTCAATAATATTACATCATGGTCTGGGTTCCAGCATCTCAAGTGCCTCAAGCATGCAATGTGAGCTACTACCACAAAATGAACAAATCATGAAATCGATACTACAAAACTCGTTTCTTCGTTAGAAAAATGAATGATTTGAAAAATATTTTTTCTAAAAAAATAATGCTTATATCCCTTGAAAGTATTAGCTAATAAAAAATATTTTTATTATCCACAACAATTTATGTCTAAAGATTTGCATAGACAATGAAAAAAATTTTGTTCGTTCATTTTTATAGTGGTACAAACGAAGATATTTTCTAGATTATTCATTTTTCGTGAAATAAACGCGCTCTAAAATTTAGGGGTGAGCATGGTTCGGATGGGCACTTCCCATTCCGAAATCAGAAACCGCCCACTAAGGTCCGGTTTCGAAAAATTAGAACCGGGAACCGCCCATTGAATCCATGGATCCACCCGGGAACTGGACCACCGGTCCGGTCCGATTCCCGGGTGGGTCCGGTCCGTTTCCCAACGTTATCTTCCTCTGTCTCTTCCCCCTGCAAGTCAAGATTTACAATCTATTTCCCCTCCTTACAGCAGTTATCTCCCTCTGCATTTCCAGCAAATGCAGCAAGGTTTTGACCCTTGTTTTGTCACCTCAAATGACCTCTCAAATGGTCAAAATACGAGCTGCAATTTCCGCCCATTTTTGGCTTAAGATTGTTGCCAATCCTTGTCCATTTCCCTGTTTGTGTAGCTCCTGCAATAGTCCAGTTTTTTTTTACTGAGTTCTTTGCCATTTGCAACTCTCGCGGCAGCAAACTCTCTTGATTCAATCAAACTATAGTTGGACTCTCCTTGTTGGAGCTATAATTTCGTGCAACTTCCAGCTGGAACCACCAAGGGGGGACGCCGGCTAGATTAGGGATTTAGACTTTTTCACTTTTTAAAAATTTAAAAATTAAAATATATATTACCAGTCCAGTTCGGGTGGGCGATTCCACACCTAGAACCGGGAATCGGACCGGTACCCATCAGCTCCAATAAATTGAACTGGGAACCAGACCGGTTCCCTTAGGAACCACCAGTTTCGGGCTGGTCCGATCCGGTTCCGGGCGGTCCGAACGATTCCCGGTTCATTTGCACACCCCTACTAAAATTCATCCGAAATTTTGACAGAACATCCCCACTTCGCCACGAGGCTGAGACTGCAACGATTTTCGACGTTCCGGAAATGTGAGGGAGACGAAATTCAACAGAGCACATGGGAGAAATCGCAACCGCTATCTCATGCAAGCCATGTTCAATCCACACATCAAAAGACATCATCCTAGGTTCTAATTCAGGTCACCCAACAGCTTACTTTACTTCTGGGTGGCGCTAATTTCGCAAATTTGAAGATGACATAGGTGAGCCCGTTTGATTTGCCACATGAGCTTGTCGTTTTCTTGGTGATCTTATCGTGTAGATACGTCGTGCCTTAGTTCGGTCGTTTCTGCATCAGCTTTTCTCCTTTCGTGGGTCTTCTTCATGCCTCGTTAGGTCCGAGGCACTTGTCATTTCACTTTAGGTTATATAATGGAGAAAGACCCTAAAAGTTGATATGATTCCACAGATTTTACCTCGTCGAGTCAAAGTCGGCATGGTTTTTTTAGGGATGAGATACCAAGAAACTTTTCGAAGATTGGAAAATTACACAACACAGCCTTGTTAGGTTAAAAAGCCATATATGCACAAAGAAAATCCTAACTGCTGACTTGGCCGGACCATATATATATTGAAAAATAGTATGTATAAAGTTGTTAATTAGCGGCCCTTGGTTTTGGTTTTTAAAGCAAAAAAAAAAAAAACTAATATGGACTTTTCTACTGTAATTTATGAGCAATTATGTATAATCCTTACATGAAGAGATTAAAAAAAGCCATTCCAATTGCCAAAAACACAAGGCCTTATATTTCAGAATTTGCATATATTGAAATTTTTCTAGAATTTGACGATTAAGAAAAGTTACGTTGCGATATTTGCGAAATTTTTAATAAGTGATAAAAATAAGGGTTAATACCACAAAAAACCTTAAATTGGTACACCTGTGATAATTTTACCCCGATCTAATTTTTTGACCATCAAAAACCCCAAACTGGTATGCTTGTGACAAATTTACCATGAACTATTTTTTTTACCATCAAAAACCCCACACCGGTATGCCTGTGACAAATTTACCCTGAATTATTTTTTTTACCATAAAAAACCCCACACTGGTATAATTGCGATAATTTTACCCCGAACTAATTTTTTTATCACAAAAAACTCCAAACCGGTACACCTGTGACAAATTTATCCTCATTTAGTGTCCATTAAATTAAATTAATATCACGAAAAATCACAAATTGGTAAATTTGTGATAAACAGAGGAGTAAAATCCTAAACTGGTACACCCGTCAACTACCACGTGTCATCAAACTTAGCAATTTGATAGTAAAATTTAACGGAAACTAATGGAGAGTAAATTTATCACAGGTGTACCGGTTTTAGGTTTTTGGTGGTCAAAAAATTAGTTCGGGGGTAAAATTATTACCGGTGTACCGGTGTGGAGTTTTTTGTAGTTGAAAAAATAGTTCGGGCTAAAATTATCACGAATGCACCAGTTTGGAGTTTTTTGTGGTCAAAAAAATAGTTTTGGGTAAATTTATCACGAATATACCAGTTTGGGGTTTTTCATGGTATTAACCCTAAAAATAACTCCATACCCAATAAAAGGCACAACACCTAACTCCTAATCTAGTTAACCAAATCTTAGACCTCATCACAAGGGGATTCTCTAGGAAAAAAAAAATAGCATGAACTCATTGCACATACAATAGATTATAACGTAGGATGAGTCTATCGAAGTAATTTCTCGGGACCTCTCGATCGCGCGCGGATCAGTGCACGGCGCCGAAGGTTAAAAATAGCTAGTGGTTGTCGACGCTTCTTTTAACTTTTCTTATCGATAGATCTTCAAATGGAAATCAAACTTTAGCCCCTGAATAGTACATATACACAAACAAGAACAACCACGTCTAGATCAAAACAGCATTCAATTGAATACCCCAACTACCAACTAATCTCAATCCATCACCACCCGGTCCCCCACATGCTACACGTGTCGCGATCTCAGGCCCTCTCCCTCTCCTATATAATTGGTATCCTCCCTCACTGGACCTTCACACTCTCGCCACATACAGATCCACTGTAATCCCATCCCACTGTCCAGCACTTTGCGCTTTGTTCGTGGCATCCGCTGCCGTTTCGAGACATCATGGCGAGCTCTGGGTTCTCAAGGCTGGCGTGCATGGCCCTCCTGTGCCTGGTGGTGGCCTCCTCCGTGGCCGAGGCCGCCGTGACATGCGGCCAGGTGTCGAGCTCCCTGGCCCCGTGCATCCCCTACGCGAGGAGCGGCAGGGGGGCAGTGCCGGCCGCGTGCTGCAACGGGATAAGGTCGCTCAACAACGCCGCCAAGACCACCGCAGACCGCCAGGCCACTTGCAGGTGCCTCAAGTCCGCCGCCAGCAGCATCTCCGGCTTCAACTACGGGGTCGTCGCCGGGATCCCCGGCAAGTGCGGAGTCAGTATTCCCTACAAGATCAGCCCCAGCACTAACTGCAACAGGTTAATCACTCAACGAAGCATTTATATAATACTAATGTCGTCAACACCACGCACTGACAAACATTACTCTGCAGTATACTCGTTAGTTCTTCATGAATTGATATCTTGACCTGCTATTCACCCTGCAAACTGGTGACCCTTTTTCACTTTTTCTCATGAACCGTCTGTTTTGTGTTGCAGCGTCAAGTGAAGATGGTGGAGAAGGATTCTGGGAACCGCATAAGTATCATTACTGTTAGGGAATGATTGCGTAGAGTGAGAAATAAAAGGGGCATGACACGTCCACACGAAGCTTCCGTGCTTCCTGTTATTTAAGGTTGTTGTCTGTATCGGGTCTTTCTGTGCCGTGCACATTATTAATAATATTATGGGACCGAATGTAATATTTATTTGGCTGAGGTGATCGAGTGTGCCTTTTTCAATCTATCCCTCCCCTTTCTCCTCCTAATTGCAAAGCAGGAAATCCACACACAAAAAGCAGGGTTGCTGCCGGAAATTGAATATGATCCATAACTTGTACTGTGCTTGTCTCTATTCATGGATTATGTTGGCGAAATGTGCAAATTTGGCTCTCGCCGACATTACGCGACTTCACAAAAATATAACGTTTACAATGAAGTAAATTTGTCCGGCACATGAATGCGCGCGCCTCGACTAAGTATTGCTTAAACTAAAACTCCGGGTTCCGTTCCGACGAGCGAGTTTTCAGGCGGCTCGTACATTGCGGTTGATTTTCTCTCCACCACATGGATCCACAACCTAAGGTCGCTCATTTTGATTTGGACAGTTTTCATTTGGCTAAAATTAAGATAAGAGAAATGAGGCAAATCACACTTAAACTTGTATTATTAGTACAATTCTTCCATGAATCTTGTAAAATTTCGATAGGACCTCTATCACGTCTCCATCTAACAGATCCAAATAATAGAAAATCGATATTTCACGCGTCGATAATGCGACCGATGCATAAGAAATTTTTTCTTTTTTTTTTGCTGGATTCTCTCACCGTAGGCATTATTGTGTCTGTCACGCAGGTTCGAGTGACCCACCTAATGAAAGGGCTCGTTGGCGTCTTGTGGATTCAATGCATGACCGTGATCGATGGAATATAGAGTTTTTTTGCTAGAACAAATTCGTATGTGATTAATGTGTTGACATTTCTTCCTTAGGGGTCCCCCACATGGCTAGTGCAGTCATCGGCTCTAATTAATGGACAGATATGTGTCGTAGCTTTACGAGAAATCTGAGACAGATTAGGCTACTCAAGGACTTAAATGACCATATAGAGACGATGGCGGAGTACTTGGAATTATTTTGCAGGGTACTATGGACCATGAAGCTAGAACTATAGAGAAAATAATAGTTCTGTTTAGGGAGATGCATTGGTATGCACTTAAAATATGATTGATTTTATCTGAGGGAACGGGTTCGAGCGACACTTACCTCGTGGGAAGTACAATAAAAACTTGGAGAAATTGTCAAAAAATTCTAAACTTATTATACTTAAGTTAATTTAGCCATAAACCTTTCAATCTAGCCAAATTTTTTTTTTTTGCCAAACATTTTGATAATTTGCCAATGTAATCCATCCGACCAATTTGCCAAAAATCACTGATGTGCACGCTAGCCATACTACGTGACATGATCAACGCTGATGTTGATATTTTTTAATTATTTTTTATTATATTTTTCTTTTCTTTACTTTCTTTTTCTTTTTCTTCTTCCTCCGCCGGTCGCCGAGGCTCGACCTTGCCAGCCTCTGGCAAGGCTCAAATTTACCGAATTTGGCGAGGTCGCCCCTCACCAGTCATCGCCTTTGGCCAGTTGCCGGTCATCACAGAGGCCCAGTAACCGGCGAAGGAAGAAGGAAAAGAAAAATATATATAATATAAGAATTCAAAAAATTAATAATAAATCAAAAATTGTGTTCACATTAGTGCTGATCGTGCCACACAAGCAACCGGCGTCTACGTCGGTGATTTCCTATCAAAATTGGCCAGCTGAACTAAATAGATAAATTTTCAAAAGATTTAAGATTAAATTAGCTAAATTAAAAGGTGTAGGACTAAATTGGCATAAGTACGATATATTTATAATGTTCTTGATAATTTTCCCATAGAAACATTGTGGCAATGAACTTGCGCATCGTCCTTGTTAGGTCCTGCAAAGGATTTCTGTGCGAATCATGTGTTATTGTAGCCCCCAAATGGCCAACAAGGACAATAATTCAACCATCTCATAAATATGGCGGCATCTAGACATGCCACACATAAGATTCCTCGAAACTGGACCCTCAGGTTAGACCTTGCTCTGTCTGGTGATCCCAGCCCTCGAATGAGAAACCTAACTTGAGGTTTCTAGCTAATTCAACAGCAACCACAACGATGGGGGGCTCCGGGACCATCAATTTTGTCGGTCGAGCTTTAGGCTCTTGTCCACATCTTTTCAAGATATAGCAGAGCAACTTTAGGGGTATCAACGCGTCGCAAGCCTTAAAAGTTATTGCGAAAGCCTAATCAATACAATTAGAAAAGTCCGATTGAGTTTTGGTGCGATCAAATTCTGAAACTTGTCGAATCGGTTCAATCAAATCTCTCTATCGGTACTATATAATCTGAGTAACGAGAAATACCAACATGACATTTTATAAATATTATGTGATAGACAACTTGCTAAAAGTAAGAGAGTAGATGCCAGTAACCTACGAAGTGGTCCAACAATTAAAGCGAAAATGGTATAATGACCATACAAGCGAAGCGACCGTACGCAGCATCTGAAACGAACAACAACCCGAACGTATCCTGTTCAACCAAGAGCTGAGGTATAGTTCCTACTGAACTATGATTTGCAGACAACTCAAGCCACGAAACCAGAATGATGTATATAGATAAAAGTAAGAAAAATGACGCAAACAGTTCATGAACTTTGGATCAATGTGTAATTTAGTCCTTGAATTTTTAATTTGTTCAATATAATCCCTGAATTTTAACCTTATGTTCAATGTGATCCTTGAACTTTCAATTTGTTCAATGTGATCCCTGAACTTTTGATACATGTTCAATATAGTCCCTGAACTTTATAAAAATGTTCAATATAGTCCTTTTATTAATTCAAGTTCAGAGACTATATTGTTCATTTTAATATAGTTTAGGGACAAAATTAAACATGTACCAAAAGTTCAAAGACCACATTGAACAAATTAAAAGTTCAGGGATCACATTGAACATTAAGCTAAAATTCATAAACTATATTGAACAAATTAAAAGTTCATGAATCAAATTGCATATTGAACCAAAGTTCCGAGACTGTTTGTGCCATTATCCCATAAAAGTATATAGATTAGGATCGCATATGAGGAGCTGCCAAGTACATCTACTAAAGTGCTAACGAGAGAGAGAGAGAGAGCGCATAGCAGAAAGCAGAACAGCTAACTGTTCCTTTTGTTCTGGGAAAAGAAAAGGCTATTACAATAATTAGTGATTTGGAGTCCTAAACATTTTCCTAAATCTTCGGGTATTAAACAGCTCATACAAAAGACAGCACAATTTGCTGTCCGATTGACACGGCTTATCTTCATTTTTTTTCGTGGGTTACATGGGGAAAGCATATAGCTTATGACTGAACCAAATTCTTAGAAATTGCTTTTTGTGCCCGCTGACGGGTTGCGTTGCTCGATGCTCCGATCAAAAAACCAATCAGTGGGGAACTCTCTTTCATTTTGATAGTTAAGGCCTGGCTACAAACTTTACCTTTACAATGATTTATCTTCATAACCCTTCGGCCCAGCCCAAGCCCGGATGAAGGAAGTGGTAATCCCAGGATCGACTGCCCCATCTCCACTTAACTGAATTTTATGCCATGTATCCCAGCTATGCTTGCCACCAGCATATGCAATGTCTTCGAAAATCAGCATGCATAATTATATATTCTCTCCGGATTTTTCTGCAGACAGGTACAGATTTTCTTAGAGATGATCATAGAACAGAGCCAACAGAGATGCATGATAAAGAATAATGATATTACTAGGCGATTAGGCCATGTTAGCATTTGATTCATGGAAGGAGAGAAGCAGAAATGGTTTAAAAAAGACCATACAAAGATTCAAGTACCTCCATACGGTATAGTCATGTTTCTTCTGTACCATCAGTTTCCTCATCCAAGAGCAATTTCTCAAGCCGAGCCACAAGATGATCTGAAGACAAGCTTAGGATTTGATTTTCTCTTCTCAAGTCAGCCACTTCTTTCTTCAGATCATCATTTTCCTTTTCTAATGATGGACTCGAGAGTAGTTGGCACTTTAATTGATTGTTTTCCTTTATCAGTTCACTCATCTCCTTCTCCAATTCCACAATCTTCTCTTTCAATATCCGGTTTTTCAACATCAAGTCATCTTCCTAACAAATCAAAGCAATCAAAACTCCGATAAATGAATGTATTGACATAGGCCCCGGATTCAATCATCAAATTTTGGATTTTTACTTGAAATCAAGACTCAACTGCCAACTCTTGGAGGCATTTGAATGCAACTCATTTCATCGACACTCATCTTCCCCATCGAGGTCCGGAACCGCAGGGAGCCCGACCCGGAGACCACCGCTCGGGGGTCGCGCAACCCCAGCCACCGCCGCCTGGGGTCGCCGGACCTCGAGCGTCGCCGGGGTTGCGCGACCCAGGCAACGCTTGGCCTAGGTCGCGAGACCCAGGCGGTGGTCGCCGGAGGGTCGCGCGTCGCTTGGGGGTCGCGCGACCCCGGCAACCGCCGCCTGGGGTCGCCAGACCTCGGGCATTGCCTGGTTCGCACGACCCAGGCAGCGCTTGGCCTAGGTCGCGAGACCCAGGCGACGCCCGAGGTCCGGCGACCCCAGGCGGCGGTCGCCGGCGACCAGATCTAGCCATCGGCGGTTGGCTGGCGACCAGATCTGGCCGGCGGCGGTGGCCGGTGGTGTAGCTCCACCGGAGCTTTTTTTTTTTTTTTTTTTAAATTAGCAAAAGTCCTTTAGCCTAAGTTGATTTTAAAAAACACTTACCAAACACTACTTGCATTTCGGAAAATCCCTTTAGCCCAAAGGTATTTGCATTCCCCCAAATCGAACCAAACTGGCCCATATAAGAGAAGCAATTGAATAGCCTACCGTGCAAGCTGATGATTTTCCAGGAGAGTCGTATGATGTAGATGGTGATTCAAGATGCTCATTGCATACTTCTCGGTGAGATAGATAATCAGCTTTTGTCGGAGAGTTCACTTTATCGAGCGACGAGCAAGGTTTCAGTCCATTAAACATCTCTGACCTTTGTACTCTATCAATCGTATCTACATCACAGTCAATTTTTGCTTTGACATCCTGTTAATCCACAATTGAGGTGTTAGCCTACAAACGAGAAATATCCACTTCAATTATAGGAACAGAGAGAGACGAGTGGAAGAAAATAGAATAGCTAAACTCACAGGATCCATTGGAAGATTCTCCACAAAATCATTTGTCCCGGATTGCGGACCTGTCTCTTGGTAGTCATCCATTCGTGCCGGCAAAATCTCTTTGATTATATCAGCTTCCAACTCAATCGCAGTAGGCTGAAGCTCCCAGATTATCTAATGCATGCAAGCAGTAAAGAACTTATAAAAAGCCATTTAAAATTGAGAATTGATCAGGTAATTCCATAATTCTACTTTAGATGCCAATAAAGTTTGAGAGAGATGTAACCGGTAGAGTAGGTAACTTCAAGCATTTAAAAAAAAAAAAAAAGGTAAAAGAAAGAAAAAGAAAAACGATAAAGATCCACCTGATCATCTCTTAGATTCTCAAATTCTGCAATGACCCATAGTCTTGGATGGGGTCTACTGTTTCCCCATCGACATGCACGGGGAAAAGTCAATGAATCATTTTGAAGACTAGGCCGAGCCATGTCAATATGCTCATAAAACCACATCTGCACAATTTCACCAAAATAGAGATGTGATTTGTGCAAAATCCCAAAAAGGGAAAACGTCGCAGACATTCATACCATCTATTTTGGGCATGTATGTCAAGATTTGAGAAAGAATAAACAATGCATCTAAAATTGAATGATCACGAACTTGCATATAGGGTGAACTGATAAACTAGAAAGCTTAAGATGGCTTTCAAGATATCCAAGAAAAAATTACCTGAAGGAATAAAAGACAACCTCCAACATACTGCATACTTTTTTCCTTTCTTCTGCTCAGCCACATTATCAGATCCTCGAGCACAGCAGAACCCCAAGCATATTGATGTACATAATCCAAATTACTAAGGAAAGAAAGATAACGAGTATCAATCGTTCCAGTCGTATTCGGAAAAAGAAAAGTTCCAAATGTAAAAAGTAAAAAGCTCCTTATAAAGTCATCATCAGCTACCCCACCAAGGGAATCAAGTCTACTCTCAAGTGAAGCAACTGTAATTTTCCTCTTTCCAGGAACAGCACCATAATGTTCTTCTAGATCTGAAAAAGGCTCGTCCTGCTGAAGTATCGCCGGCTTTCCAATGACACGAAGCCCCAAAACCAAAGCAACGTCCATGAGAGTCATGGAAATTTCGCCATGAGCAAGTACAAAGGCACGCTTATCGCAGCTCCATTTCTCCATCAACTCAACCAATAAATTCTTGCTAAGAGTGTGATTCGGTATGAGCAACAGATTACCAAATCCCACACTCTTTATTGCATCTCGCTGATCATAAGATAATTTCTCCACTCGCTTCACAAAGGATGGTGAGGAAAACCTAGTACTGAAATTCCCAATCTGCATATTTCCGAAAACCATTGAGATATGCTTTATGTTTTTCGCTTAACCGAATTTCAAACACTACTTATGAACATTGGTCCAAGCCGATCAGCACGAGTCACCATATTCTCAACCAATAAATTCTTCCTAAGAGTCTTGACCCAAAAAAAAAAATTTCTTGCTAAGAGTGTCATTCGGTATGAGCAACAAATTACCAAACCCCACATTCTTTATTACACCATGTTGATCATGTGATAATTTCTCCTCTCGCTTCACAAAGAACACCTAGTACGGAAATTCCCAATCTACATATTCCGGAAAACCAATTGAGACATGCTTTATCATCTTTTCCTTAACCGAATTCTAAACCGATGAGCACTAAACACCATATTCTCAGTCATAGCTATTGCTCAGAAAGAAATACATCAAGTAGATCTATGAAGGAAGGACATACAAATCAAAGTATAAGCACACAGGCAAGAAGCACAGCTTTAAAATTTCACGAATTGAGACGCATTCTACTCAATTCAATTGCCAGGTTTGACAGGAACACGCGTAATCAGACGGGAGAAATCTTTCAATCCACAGAAAAAAAAATCGCCTCCCGAGGAACTAAATCGTGCGAGATTGATCCGGAACGAAACCTAAACAACAGATCACTCCGGAAACGAAGTATTCGGCTGCGAATCAGAACACCGTCTAGCCTGGAAATCAAAAGACATGCCGAACACAAAAATTGAAGAGGCGACGAAACGTGTTTACCGAATCGCGAACTTCAACGGCTGCTACGGAAGATTTTCGCTTCGACCTTCTCATCGGGGCTGTGAGCAGGCGGCTCTGCAACGGATCAAGGTTTTTTGAATTCGCAGCACCTTGTTCTTCGAGACCAGAGAGAGAGAGAGAGAGAGAGAGAGAGTGTGAGGCTGGCTTACAAAGAGAAGCTCCTCGTGGAAGAAGACGACGAAGGGCGGCTCTGCAACGGGTTTGAATTTCGCAAACCCTTCGTTTTAGAGAGAGAGAGAGAGAGAGATGGGGTGTGTGTGTGACAGAGGGGGGTGAAGGCTTGCAGGAGAAGCTTCACTGAAGAAGACGAGAAAGGGCGCCAAGTCGTTTCATTGGGCGGAGGGACGCGGCTACGGTGCATCGTGCTTAGACGCCTGACCTTATGCGCCTCGAATATCGGCCCTTGATGCTTTCGTCGCGCTAGCCTAATCGAACGCCTGGATGGATGACACGTGGACCCCATTTATATTCAGCCCAAAAAAATATAAATAAAAATCGGGAAATTCAATGTATCGGGTATAATGGTATTTAGAAGCCTCTCTTTCGTACTTACAAGACTTGTGTACGTAACGCTTGTACTCGATTCGTGTTGATCGGGTAAATGTACGTTTCTTTGTCGGCCTTTTTAAGCTAAGGTCGAGCGTGAACGAGGGTTTAAATGAGGGGGACGGGATCGTTTACTTCCGTCAACATCGGTCGAATCATTAGCCTGTAAGAATTAAGGTGGTTATAAATTTTGCGTCTAATGTGATAATAATGACATTAGTTGACGCAGGACAGGGGGCATCGAGTAGGGTAGAGAATCGGCGTCTCTAAGTGTAGTTGGTATGTGAAAGGTGGTGCTCTTTGGCAAAGATGACCGCGCCGCTTTTAAAGGATTTCGATCTTCTTCTTTTTTCTTCTCATAATATCTTCAATTACTTATTTTACAAATATCGAATTTACGAGAGATCGCGTGTAAGAATTTTAATTTATTCATCCGGTATTTCAACATCAAAATTTGATCTCTTAAAACACAAAATGACCTTCGAAGGAAAATTTCAATCTCGACATATTTTATATCTGTCCATGTATATTTATGTCATTTATCAATATCGCGTATTTCATCTATGATCAATTCTCTTACTTAATGATTCGATTAATTCAATAAACAGTGGTTTTGGAACTTTTTGCTTGATCTTCTTCCGAATATCGATTTAATGCAAGTGCATATTTATTATTCTAAAAACGATAATTTTGAGATTTTGGATATATTACGACTAGAGATAGGATAAAGACCAAGCGTACCATCTTGGGTTTTTCCTTTGACTTAACATAAGGATGCAAATGATGAAGAGATCAGAGCGTTTTGTTTCGGTGACAACTAGACCCGCGTGTAAAGGAAACTTCTGTGTTGTTTTCTTTTTTCCTTACATCTATTGGTGAAATAGAATGGTGTAACGATTTAACTCTTAACATTAGCTTTAAAATAAGTTTACCGTGAATTTTTCGATCGTGTCAAGCATTTTTAGGAGTATAGTAATTTAATTTCGTGTAATTCGATGAAGTACATACATGCTTCCTTTATCCATCCAATCGGTTGTCATGCTTCGCTGGATTAAGATTTTTGCCTTTTCTATTACGAAAACTTATCTGAAAGCAGGTCATATTTGTTTTAAAATATAAATCATGCTAATTAGTCTAAATAATGCGTTGATCCATCTCTGCGGAATGCAATATGCTGCTGTATATTAGAAAGTTTAAGATTCGAAATTTCCATATAATTTCAATCATTTCAATTTTTTTGAAAGGGTAAAACCTATAGTTGCATAAGTAGGAATAACGGCACCAATTACCTGGGCTCCGGGAAGGGGGGCGGCGGGTTAGATGTAAGAAAAAATTACCTTATCCTTCTTACCCATGAGGTTCCAACATGAGGCGGCAGTGGGAAATTTTTCGCAATAGGCTTTATAGTATAGTAAAGCTAGCCTATTAGGCCGGTAGATAAAAATAATATTTTTTTTGTGAAAATATGATATTTTTAAATTAGAAATTTTCGCAACTCCATCACACGTGATGTGGGGGGTAATTTGCACATCCTATGATACTCTATTCCCCTTGCTTTGAATGAAAATTATTAGATCGCCCCTTTCATTTTGGGATGCTATTTTCTTTTTTATTCCGATTTTTTTCGCATTCCGGTTTGACTATTTGGTGGGATACAATGAATTTATTTCATTAGCCAAAAGGCGAATCGATCGAAAAAGAAATTAGAATTACTAAATATTCAACGATTCCGTTTTTTATCTTTTACATTTTATCGTCTTTTCGAGATTACTGCGTCGTGTATAATTTAATCGAGAGAAGCGAAAAAAAAAATCCTGCGATGCTTGAATTGGAAACGAGGCAGAAAATAGATATCTACCAATTTTCGAAACTCGCTGAGTCGGATCGGCGCCGGAACTCGCTCCGCCGTGTTCTTCCTATACATCTGAAACTTCCGCCTCCAAAACTAAAGCGGGCACACACACTGCCTCAGCCTTACACTATCAATCAAACCCGAGGAATTTACAGTGGGCCTTTTCTTCTACCTCCGCCGCCGCCGCCGCCGCGGGATTCTACGGGCTAATCGACGACGACGGCGGGCTCGTTCTCCGGCGGCCGCCGATCCAGGAGCGAGTGCCGGCAGTTGGGGCAGGACGAGTGGGAGAGCAGCCACGTGTCAATGCACCTCACGTGGAACCCGTGGTTGCACTTGGGGAGCACCCGCACCTTCTCCCCGTCGACGAACTCGCCGAGGCAGATCGGGCACTCCGTCGCCGGGATGCTCGCCGCCGCCGCCGCGGACCCGTACACCGCCACGGGGATCTGGCGCAGGTCGCGCCTCTTGAGGCCGGTGGTCGCCAGCCTCGCCGCCGCCTGCTCCGGCGTCTCCGCCACGAACCGCCGGCTGCACCGGAGGGCGCAGCGGACGATGGAGTTGAGCCCCAGGGCGCAGATGAGCGCGCACAGCAGGGCGGCCAGGATGATCACCATGTTGGTGTCGAAGTTCGTCTCGCTGATGTACGAGTCGCTGGCCGCCGCCGCCGTCGTCCCGTTCTCCCCCGACGCCTCCGACGGCGGCATGCCGAGGCCCGCGGCCAGGAACCTCCGGTTCAGGCTGAGCCGATTCATGGCCGGAAACCCAGTAAAACCCACGAGACTCGGGGTTCAGTGGAAGACGATAAGCGAGGATATGACCTCGGAGTCGACTCGATCAAAGCGAAAAGACGGCAATGTTGGGTGAGATTCCAGCTAGAAAGGGACACGGAAAGAGCATCTGCTTTGGGTGGGTGTGTGTGTGTCTGCTAGATAAGGGAAAGCGAGCGCGTCATTTGCCACATCTCCAGAACGGATTTTATCCGAATTGGGACCGTTGGAGCAGCTCATCCACGATTCGAGCTTTGCTGATGGCGAGGGAAATGGTCCTCCATCGTCAGACGATTGGGGCGACGCGCAACTGTGGGGCGACCGGAATCGGAATCGGAATCGGGGCTCGCTCCGCTCCTCCTCCAGTCATCTGTCCCGCCGGCGAAGCGACGGTCGGTCGGTCGGAAAATTTTGCTCCGGCGAGAGAGATTAAGAGAGAGGGAGAGAAGCGAAGGGCTGCAGCGAGAGAGGCGAGGCGAAGATATAAAGAGAAGGAAGAAGGAGAGAAGGCAGAGAGGAGGAGGAGGAGGAGCGGGTGAAGCGAAGAAGATTAGGCACCTAATCAAGATATCAAGGGGTTTTAATATTTGGGCAATTACAAGTAAACCACATCACGTCCGTCTAATCCTTAAATAATTGAAGGAAAGATCTTACGAGATGAAACCCGTCCCCCGATCATCAAGTTGTCTTGTCGGGCCCGCCCGACAAAATAATCACGGGACGTTGATAAATTTTACCAGTAAAGAAATATTTCGTACGAGATATCGATGACCCAACTAGTAATTATAAGACCACATGAGTCGAGCACTAATGAAATTATGGACCGGGTCGAGGTGCGCCAACAATTGACTGGACATCACCCAACCGTCTTATTAAAAAAAATTACCATCGCGAGATATTTATCTCGCGCTTGCCACTACAGGACGGGGCTCCCTTTGCATGTGCATCGATACGGCTTGGTACTCCACGACAAAGAGCTGCTCTGTCTTATGCTTGAACAGGAACCGAAGTACTTCAATCAAATCGTGACAGGTCCACTTGCAAAAATCAAGATTATGCATCTACATAAAAGTTTCTAAAGTATGGTTATATTAACTCGAGAGATAAGGACGGTCCAAATTTTTCTCCCAAGTGTCAATGATCAAGTAATTGTTTCCTTTTTATAATTTATTATCTATACATAGTTGCCTTTTACCTGCCCGGCTGGATTGAAGAGTGCGGTGGGGGAGATTTTTGGTGCCACTAGCAATAGGTTCAGTTTTTTTTGGCTAGACCATTTGCCTCCCGACGTCGACGTCATCTTAGGAGAATCAATTCATTGAATTTCATGATGAATGCTGGGAAAATTAAAAAAAAAAATTTCGCATCATCGACCAAGGAAGATAACAAATATCTCCCCCACCTTTTTGTTTTACTAGTGGAAAGGTGGGCACGTACTTTGGGTGTTGATCTCTCGTGATTATTTCGGGGTAGATTCGTTGTTCACGAAATTATCAAGTGATTCGATGCGCGTTTCTCTCGACTGTTTGTCAGTGTCTTGAATAAGAAATCCGACCCGAACCTCATTTACTCCCCCGAGTGCGCTCGAAATGACAGAACTTCCAAAAACGACGTCGCCGGAATCATAACGCGCCGTGCCGTGCCCGAAGAAAAAAGTCGGGTAGATCCGAATCCTTAATAACCCTCCCTCTCATTTTTTATCTTCGGTCGCCCAAGGACACGACACTTGATGTGGCGGAGGAGGGGCTACTCATCCGGGGGGGGGGCGGGGCCCTAGTGAAATCGGGCCACACGTGGTGGGAGGCGCGACGGTGTCGGCTGCGGGGATTTATTGCCGCCGCGGTGTTGGCCACAGGAGGGTCTCAATAATGGTCCGGTCGGGTAGCCTTTTGGGCAGATACGCGTGGACCCTATTTGCCTCCAAAGGATGTCCCAGTTCGTGAACAACCAATGTGTCGGGGGGATGCACATGTACCGATTCGCACAAAAGGAGATCGGTACGTCGAATTTCGCTTCCAAGTAGTTGGCTGAGCGGTTAGGTTCAGGCATCTCGCCCGTTGTCCGAGACGGCCGGAGCCTTTGCCCCCGATGCACGTGGATGGGGATCTTTTGCGAGCGCCCTCGAAAAATTAGTTGATTCGGAGGCTCTCGGATTGTTCCGATTATACAAACGAGTACGACCGGTTAGATTTCTCGAGCGATCGATTGCACGGTCTCGCGTGATCGAGCGTTACGTCCGAAGTTCATCTTTTTATTTTGGATGCGTATCCCCTCGAACGTCACGTGCCGGTTTTATCCGGGGTCGAGCGGTGAGCGCGCGTTTTTGTGCACCAGATGCATCACGCGACGGGGCGACGATTGCGAACCGTTCGTGAGCGGGAGTTTTTTCGTTTCCTTTTTTTTAAGTCCAATCGCAAAATCAATTTGGATGCACACCAGATGAACATGAGATCCGATCTGTCCAATCGTAATCGACACATATAATATAATGCGTCCCACTTTTTTTCTAATGTGACATCGATGGAGCCTAGCTTTGGAACAACCCTCCTGTGATTGAATGCGTTTTTTTTTTTTTTTATATATATATGCTTGTGGAGTTAGTTAAAAGAGTAGTTGGCGGTTGCTGCAACAGTACCAGCTACGAGAGTTCGTGGCATGGCTTGTTCCTACGTGCCCGATTCAATGCTTTTGGTGAACTGAAATTGGGGGCAGATTTCTTCACCCGAAATGGTTGGGGTTGGCGAGGCGAATCCAATTTTTTGATTACGTAATTAGGGATTAGAGAAAGCGGTCTCCCACGCGACGTCGTTTTCCCTCTGGTACTTCCATTGCTTCGTTTTTTCGGCAAATCGAGTAGCGCCGTCTGGCGCGGCACAACCAATGAATTCATCGAGTAAAATGTAGAAAAGAACAAAACCCGAGCCCGCGAGTTTTCTAAAACGAACTAATGCTAAAGAGGGGATTGATCGTACTAATCGTGCGTGGCGAATATAATTTATATATTTTTCTTTGCCGATGGCCTCAGCCTAATCAATCAATTGAACATTTGATTGACACGCGATCGATCGACCGTAAACTGCTATTTTTGGGACCGTAGAAATGGGCTCTTCTTCCTGGCGACCCGATTCGGACAATGAGGCAACATCGGCCAGAGGGATCTCTGGGCCTGACTTTGGATCCGATTGGACAGGCCTTTAATGGGCCTTGGCAAGTCTTTGCCTTCTACAAGCCCAATATAAGTATAAGCCCAACCCGACTTGGGCTGATCAACTCGTCGAAAATTAGAACCGAAAACCGTCGAAGATATGGCGAAACAGAAAACCCAACAGAAGCTGGCCCATCGTTCCATACTTAAGAACGGCGTAAGGGAAAGATCTCGACCTAAGCATATCCTTAACAGGTTTTGTCTCCGTTCTCGTCCGAACCTCAGGATCACAATAATGTAAAACAGCTAAAAGATATTCTCTCTCCTTAGGGAAGACAATGATATAGGGGGAACAGGGGATGCATAGTGTACATGTACCAATACGTGAATTGTGAAGCTCGCCGTCCCTATATATCAAATGAACAGGCCGCAGAGGCTCTTGCATGAGCTTCGACTCCCTTCCTTTAGTAAGGTTAACTCTTAACCAAACATCAATGATTCAAGAAAAGTCTCTGGTTAAGAGGCATCGGCGAATTGTGAATCGGCATAAAAAAAAGAAAAAAGATAAGTGAAAACCCTTGAAGAACCCTAATCGCACACAATTTGACCCAATTTATTATCACTAAACGGCACCGTTTTGGCTGGACTGAAGCCGCGTCGGATCCACGTTCGCTTCCATTTGCCTGCCATCGACCGCCTAACTTGCCACGCAGGGTTTCTCGGCCGTCCTGGATGGGACTGCGACGGGGGACATATTTGTCGCGCCAAACCAAATGTATGGGTTATAAAGAACAAAAAAAGGATTAAATTAGGGTTACAGTGGACATAACCTAAAGCCTCTGGCGATATCTTCCCTTTACATCACGAATCATCATGGATGATTCATGGGCCAAGTGGGAAAAAGGCGAGGGGCGTCGGGTGCTTCGATGTGGTCGCATGTGGTCGGGTGCGCTTTGCTTGGTCCCGAGTTCTTGTTCCGATTCTTTGCCTCCCAATTGCTGCTTTCGATTTCGGTTTTTCTTATGCCTTTCTTGGATCCCTCGCACTTTATCATGTTCGCCTTGCGAAATGCTCGTCGTTGAACTTTCGCGTTGCCCCGATTCCATCGGCCTCCCTCCCATGGACTTGACAGAGAAGCTTTAAGGTATCAGCTGAAAAAGGTGGCGTATAATCGTCATGTTCGAATTGCGATTATAGGTCAAAAGTTACGTAAAATCCGTTTTTCTTTTCTAATGTTTTCATGTGTTGGAATGTGGAAATTCCAATATCGTTCGAGTTACCTCTTCTTCTTCTCCTTTTTTTTTAAGGTGATAACGTTCTATCTGATTCGGTTTTTGGCGACGCTACGTCTATTTTTTTATTTATAGGCCACACGGAATCTTACGTTTAATTTTTAAGGGATCTTTAACTGTTGGTATTGGATCTTAAATATGTCTGCATGGTTTGATTGGATTTCGAAATTTACCGTAACCTCCATAAGTTTCGTATGAGTATCTAATCCCGAACTAAATCGGTAGTAAATGAAATTTATTAATTCCACTTGACGATTTCAAATTAACCGAGTGAACACGTGTTTAGGTGTCTTGTAATCGAAATACGCATTCTATTTAAGGGTTTGTTTTGTTTGAAGGACAACTGTTTTCGAAAATTCGTTTTCCAACTTCCCAATGTTAGGATAATGGAAAACTAAACGATTTATAGAAAAACATATCCCATGAACCGGAAAGAACAAGTTTAAATTGTGGGAAAATAACTTATTCTTGTGGCAAGAAGGAAGAACCGCTCTCCCTAAACCACAAAACAAACAAAAAGTAATAATTTTCCTTGAAATTTTTTCCATCATCATAAAGTTTTTTTCGCTTGTTTAATGGAAAATAAATGATTTTACCCAAAAGTAATTTCTTGCGTCGCTCGAAATTTCCGGTGAATAAAAAATATTTTCATTACCAATAACAATTTATGTTTAAAAATTTCCATAAACGATGAAAATACATTTCGTTCGTTCGTTCATTCTTTGCGATTCATATAAGCGATCACTTTGTGTCACCTATCAATTTTTATTGTCGCTCGTCGGAGTTTTCCCTGTCGCCTGTCGGCTGTAAATGCCTTTATGACCGGTTGGGGAGTGTCAAATTTTTGGTGATTTCCAAATTATTCAGTTGGCTCGAAACAGACGGGGCCTATATATCACGTGTCATGACGTCCTTCTGTCGATTAAATATATAATCATTTGTTATGAATTTTTTCTAACACATATTAGTGTATATATACACACACGAATTAAGTTTTATATAGGGTGTCAATTGCTGCCTCAAGTTGTTTGTTGTTCTCCTAAGTTTTTTTTTGAGGGAGTTTGGTGTCTCCCAAGTACTTTTGGACACCGGTGAAGTGCCTTGGTGTCTTCGGGAACTTCGCCGTCGTGTCCCTCTCTCTCCCCCTTAAACCCTCGTCCTAACTCTCTCTCTCCGTCGTGCGCAGAGGATGAGCGTGTCGATGGAGTCCTTGCTGCTCAGAAACCCTAGCCTCAGCTCCTCCGCCTCCTCCTCCTTGCCCCTCCGCCGGCGCTCCGCCGTCTCTCCGCCGTCGCCGCCGCCGTCGTCCCTGCGCCTCGCGCCTATCCTCCGGCCCCGCGCCCGCGGGTTCTCCGCGTCTTTCAAGAATGTCCCTCCCGTGGGGCTCCGGTTCGGCGTCCTCTCGCTCGACAGGAGGAGTCCGTCCGCCGTCACCTTCGCAGCTTCGCACGAGGAGTCGGTAAGCTCCCGAGACGAGATTTCGTTCGCGTTCCCGTTTTCCGGTGATTGGGGCACGAGTCGTTGAGTTTATATTCTTTTTCGTTGATCTTGCTCCTGTTTCGTTACTCTCTTGATGATGACTTTCGGTCGAGCAATTGTGCGTGTGAACTAGGATTCTTCGGAATTTCATTGCATTTCATTAGGCATGGTCGTCTGGCGCTGGAATAGGTATTAGGGACCAATTTCATCTTTTGCTGAAGGCTTTGATCTACCGATTCATCTTAGGGCTTATTGTTCTGATTTTCCGGTGGTAAAATGGATCATAGTGAGAAAGATTCTGAGAAATTTGTACTACTGTATTCGGGTAATTTTGTTAATTTTGTTTTCCACGGCAGTACTAGTATCCACTACCCATACTTCATCACTATCTTTGTCTCCTTTGATTGGTATAAGATTTAATTAAACGAGGTCCTTTTCTTGTTCTATCTGATTTCAACTTTTTCCAGAAGCGTTCGGAAATCGATGTGGAAAAGGAAAAGGATGATTTTGAGACGAAATCTGAAGAATCGGAAGAAGCGTGGAAGCAGACTTTAGATGCTTTCAAGGAGCAAGCTCTGAAGATGCAGAGCATCTCGCAGGAAGCCTATGAGATATACTCGAAGAAAGCGGCGGTTATTCTGAAAGAGACTTCGGAGCAGTTGAAAATTCAAGCAGAGAAGGCCAGATATGATTTGGGTGTAGTAGCGAAAGAACTCAGCGAGGAAGGTAAAGAGTATCTGTCCGCGGCTGCAGAGAACTCACCCGAACCTGTGAAGGAGATTGTAGAAACGTTCTCTACTCCGACTGAGGATCTAAATGATATCTCGAAAGTCCAGGACTTTTACCTTGGAATACCATTCGGTAAGATTGCCCACGTGAGAATTGACTGACCAACTACGTTTGTGATTACTTTCTAAAGAGTGGCTTGACAAGAGGTTTCTAGCAAACTTTCCATCGGGTTGCATAGTCTGAGCATTTATCCACGTACTTTGAGATTAATATCTTTGGCTCGCGTAAAAATAATCTCCTATGTGTGCTTTTCTTTCCTTGTAAGTTAGTTTATTACTCATTTCTTCTTCACTTAACAATTTTTAGATGCTTTGCAGGTTTGGCTCTTTCCGTCGGAGGTTTTCTTTCTTTCATGCTGACGGGGAGCCTTTCTGCCATTAGATTTGGTGTCATCCTTGGAGGTACTCTTTTGGCTTTGAGCGTGTCAAGTTTGAGATATTACAAAAGAGGAAAATCTTCTTCTCTAGCGTTGAAAGGGCAGGCAGGTTAGTACGTCTTTCCTTTTCCATTATTAGAGGCTTCTTGGCGCAAATATTGGCATGCCGTTTTCATTTCCCGATTCGCATTTATGTCTGGTATTGTGATCATGTCGTTTACGGTAATAAAACAAATTATGTCTCAATTGCCATTTCGAGGCTAATCTCCTTCAGATGACATAATTACGGGTAGCGCCTGGGTAGTGGTCTGCCGGGATTGGTGTTAAAGTAACGTTTCTATTGGTTGATGAGTTTGTTGATCCGATACTATAGCTCGAAAATCCATCTACATGCTGTCATTCACTATAGGCCTTGCCTTACCTAGCTATTTCAGAATCATCATGACGTGGCTTTGTATCACATGTGTTGATGCCTTGTTGGCTCTGGGTATATGTCCAAATTTCAGGTTTCTATTTTCACAAGTTCTGTTACCAATTTGGATTGTCCAACATTTGAGCATACGTGACGGGAATTCAATATGTTGCATACGTGGAAAGTTTTTTCTTTCCTTAAGGGAGTGTTTGGATATATTTTTGCTTTTTGCTTAGTATTTTGTGATGGATGTATTTTGACTTTTTCTTAACCCTATACACCCGAAACTATCATAATAGACAAATATTGTCATGTAAATCCACATAAAATTGTTCATTTTTGAAATTTAGATAACATTGCAATTTTTGTGAGAAAGCAACATGTTGTCTTTTGCTTTTTAGAAAGCTTGACCAAACAGGCTCGAAATTTTTTTCTGCTATCAATTAGAGCTGTCACGAGAGATCCAAGGGTTAGCTTGAGAAATTTAAGATCTATTAAAGCTACATGATGAAGCTTCTATGACATGTTTGTGATGCACAAGCATCAAAGACACGCAGTGGCGCAATGTGGTTTTCATTCTCAAGAAGCTAGTAATTTAAACCGGACCAGAACCAAGTACCGGTCAGAACTGCGGTTTGTAGTTTTATTGGTTTGTTGATTTTCACATCATCAAAATATATGATTAGCGAATAAATAATTGTTAAGTTCACCACCAATGTAATTTTTTTTTTCCGTTCAGCATTAGATTTTTGGCATGTGTACTTTAAAATAATTACGTAACCAAAATTTTCATATGTCAATCATCCAAATACATGACTAAATCATTTTTATACTGCAGTGGACCTAGTAAAAGTTCACACACACGCACATTATGCTCACAACAGATCCAAAAAGGTTGTTGGAGTACTTGGTTAGCACAAGCTTCTGGTATCCACAAGCTCTATGTACCAATCTCGTGACTGTCATTTTGTAATTGACTTTCCAAAAACACTTAGTCCGTGAAGAAAGTAAAAAACTGGCCCCTATATACGTGAGACAGTGAGAGTAGCTTTGGCTTAGATAGCATAGCACTTTCCCTGCAATTTAGAGGTTGGGTTGGACCATGCTTTATGCTCGAGTTGAACATCTTTTCCCCACAACTCAATTGGTCAATCCAGGTGAACTGGGCTGATCTTGACTGCAGATTTAACCAATTTAAATCCTGTTCGCTTGTGTTCTTATCCAAAATGAGCCAAATCTGAAAAGTGAACCGGACAGAAGATGGTTCCCTTTCCAACCGGTTGAATCTAGCTGGGCCCATGCGGTTCGACTGCCAAAAGATTTCTTTCTATTGGCTTCCCTTTACCTATTTGATGGTCAATACCTATGATGCTTGGGTGTTCATGGTGGAATTGAGGGGGCCTCTGTTGGTTGGAATTGAGGGGGGCTCTGTCACTATCAAGCAATGATTTATTTGTCAAGTACCTTCTTGTTTCTTTGTTAATCCATTTCAATGGCAACTTACAGAATGATTTTCTTGGGTAAATGAGTATCAATCAGGATCTTCTGACTGTGCCAAGTGAAAAGAAAGTAATGTCTTCCTTAATTTAAAGATGTGTAAAGATGCAAATACATTGGCCATTTACTCTTATCATGGTGCAATGAACCTTGTCCTTTAAAATAGATTTGGGCATGCATAAGCCTTTTTTCTTTTTATTTATAATCCTGTTAGCTCTGAGTACGCTACTCCAATTGCTTTGGGTCTCATATTAAGATACATTTGTCTGTTTGCAGGGATTGCGGGTATAATATTTCTTAGAGAGATACGTATCCTGTCTCAGGTAGATGGATATTCCTTGCTCATTATGAGACAATTTTCAGTGTTTGTCTACTTTCTTATGTGCTCGATTGATTATTGTCAAGAGTTCTGATGATCTTTTCTTCTCTTCTGCAGAGGCTGTCCCTTTTCAGTTTTTTGATGACCATCATCAGGTTAGTGAATCTTAAACTAATTTATCGTTTTCTATTTCATTAAATTTGTTGTAGGTTCATTTTCTATCTCACGAATCTTATCGGTAGACTTTAGTCATTTTGAGCCATGTGGCAACTCCTAGTAAATAGATGCAATCGTTAGGTTCATTGTCTTCTGATTTTAGACTTTCGCCTTGCTAGCTCCGTAAGCGGTAAGATACTCCCACATTGCTTTGCTCAACACATAGATTACGATGCTGAAACTGTGCCCGGGGAATATTTGTCCCTCTCCCCTAGAAATGGAGACATTTGACAAAATCATGGGCTGGCTTACTGGTGAACTTCTTATGCGGTTGACTTTTCAGAGGATGAGAAAACATTGCAAGTATCAAGCGATATGAGAAGTGGAACAGTAGAAAACGTGCAATTCTTGTACTGAATATGTAGTATCTTCATGTTTACTGAACTTTTGGAGATCTTTACAGCGACCAATTTGTTTTTCCCACTTTGGTGCATCTTTCTGCAGTGTTTCATACAGCTATTATTCTTCCTATTGATAGATTGTTTTCTTTTGCAGTGGGGGGATGCTAGTGTTTTATCTGTATAAGATCAAGCAGAATAGAGATCAGATGAAAGGTCCTTCCTACGAAGAGGGAATGGAAACTCAATGAAACAGTTATTGTAAGTATCATCCATCGTATTCTCATTACGGTGTCCTCCAGATGAAAAGTAGTGATTCTGTGAGATAAACCGAGATTCTGTGGCTGGCCAGTGGCCTAACTTAGCTATAAATCTGACTCTGCACTTCTCTAAATTCTTCGTGTAGAAATTCTCACAAAACTGCAGTAGCTAGGATATGCAAGAGGTGCAGCAAGCAGAAGCAGAAAGCGCTACATGCTATTGGAGATCGGGGTCCACCAGTTGTGGCGTGTTCTTGCGCGCGTCACCTGAAGATAATCTCGTGGTGTCAAATCAAATAGGAGGTTTTTTCAATCTTTGGGGACTGAGTGTTTTGGGGGTGAGAATAATAATGATGCAGAATCCTGTCTTTGTCGTAGGCTCGGGTAGTGGGGTTTATTTTTCCCCTGTATATTAAACTAAATGCGGAGAATTTGTTTGAAGATGTCTGCCGTGAATCAAAGCTTTGGATTGTCGATTGTCATATAAGGAATTTGTGCCTTGAAAGGTTTGATCTTTCTTCTTGATCAATCAAAATTCATGCGGCTTACTGAATGCATACTATAATGGCATTGTCGGCGAGTTCTATGTAAGTTCACGCGGTACGGCACGCATGGCCGGTGGGTAGTCGGCGAACTCAGCCGACTCCCTGGTTCAGTGTGCATTGTTCATGGGTTTATTGCTTTGCTGAGAACTCTCTCTTTGGGTTTGATGATAAGTTTGAGGTGGAATCTATTTCTGATGTGCGCTTAAAAATGGAAATGCATCCGTGTGCAATTCGGATCATCAGATTTTAGAGAAGCAATTCAGATCTTTGTGATCACGTTCAACAAAAGCGAAAGAAAGCTGGCCAAATATTTGATTATCAAGTAACTCTTTACGCTCGTTCATAAGTTGGTGTTAAATATTTCAAAACTTGCCTACTGATATGAAAAGTTACTAAACAACAGAGATTACTAGTTACTGATGAGCAAGTAGTTATTTTAACGATTTCGGTTCTCATAATGAAAACTTATTAAGCACCAATGAAAAACACTTGTGACAATAGCAATATAAATTACTCGGTCTTGTTCTTACCGAAACAAATATAATGCACGCACGCGGTCCTTGTTCTGTTGAATGGTCATGTTCATGATCTGCAGGAGTAAATCAGAAAACATCTAATGGCCTGTTGCAGGTAACAGAGACCCAACAGAGACCCATTCCCTCCCATCAACTATCGGAAAAATCTATCCTGTTTAAATTAGAGCCGATTTTGGCATCCAAAAATCAGATTTACACAAGAAAAAAGAACACTTGTGATGGACAGAACCATCTTGTAGACCATGGCATGAGAATATTCTGATCTCCTGTCGAGTAGCAGTCAAAACTGACGCCTTCTTCTGGGGTTATTGATGGAAGTCGTTGTGGGATTAGCAAACACGTTTACTATACATAGTTCTTAGATGCACGCATATTGTATCTTTATATTTCATGTGGATGATAACTACTGAGGAAGCTGTCGACAGGTAATTATACAGCAGCAATTCCATTTCCGGGTAACCATCACATTGTCATGTCATTAATCACAGAACACCAATCTGTGTGCATTTAAACCCGTTTATGAGGGGGGAAGTGGGTTAGCACTTACTCGAAAAGCAAGAAAAAGGGGCAAAACAAAAAAGATGGAAAGCAAAAGGTAAACAAGTAGCTGCTTTGCCCATTCAAGTCTCAAATGATTCTATTTTCTTTATTTAAAGTGGGATTATGTTTTGAAAAAGGTGCAGATATACATAATCCAAGGAAGAGAGCAACGTGTTCGCTCGCTATGAAAAGCGAAGGCCAGCAAGGGACGCTGCCCGTGTCAAAGGATTTATAAACCTGTGAGGCCAGAGAATAACTATGTGCGCGGTAAAGCCATTAGCTTACATAAATATCTGTATTACTTGACGGAGTCCCCCCACACACGTCTCCCTTCAGATATTGGCGTGAGAGCCATGACTCGGCACCTCCACATGACCATCCAGCGGCATGTACTGTGCCATGATAGATCGTATCTCGGAGTCCATGTAACTCTGCGACACAATTTCAATGAGAAATCACTACAACAACAATTCCGATAACCATGGTTTTGACTGGCCTACCAAGAGATGCACTGAATGGCTATACATATCACATAATATAGAGCTCCTTTTTCTTCTTCTGATGTTCTCAACTTTCGTAACTTCAAGTTGCTACATACGAGGTAGTTCAAGGACGATGCTTATTGTCTACAACTATCACGCTGCCTTTCTCTAGACGGTTTAAGCTATACTCAGATTACTCAAATCATAAACTGATAGGTGTTCACGGCCCAATTGCCTCTCTGTGACCCTTCATGATAAACCGAAACAATCGATCTCCCCAATACAAACGAGCCAATGGAAATCTTACCCGGATTCTATATTTGTAGACCACGTATACTCCAACTCCAGCAGCAGCCAAGCCGAAAATGACAATCCAGAAAAATCCTCCAAAATTAGACTTTGTGACAGAGTGTGTACCTGCATTAAGGAAAAGAAAACATTGAAAATGTCTTAAGGCAAAATTATCTGTCATATGAATATGAAGTCCCCAAACCAAATATAAAGTTGAAAAATTCCACATTTCATAGACAAGCAACTTGACATGCTTAGGTTTAATTGACCTAACCAGGTTCTAACTTATGAGTCACTGCTTTTCCTCCTCACTTTGTCTATTGTGAAGCTCAAAATTGGTGTTAGATAGCTCACAGCTTAAATTTTGGAACAGAAGATTGCAGTTTTTAGATAGAAGAGGTTTCAATCTCGATTCTGAGTCTCTATTCATCTATTTATAATTCCTCAGTCTCCTTTCACTTGTTAATACATTTTCTTTCTGTTCAGGATTTAGGGATTATTACAAATTTTTTATCCACACACATCAGATTCACATGCTTAAGGCTTTTGTCCATCATGTCAATCCATTAGGAAGAGTGTCAACTTACACTGTATAAATTGCATTCTCTATTGGTCTAATTAGAACAAACAGTTGTGCACTTAAACTTAGAACTTCCTTTTTCAAAGCAAAGGAAGAAACCCATTAGCAAGTACAACATTCAAAGGTTTGTGGGTCATGGTATTATGTTATAGTTCAGAAAAGTCAATTATCTATTAATAAGTGTAGCAGATTAAGATCACTCACTTATGCAGGTATCGGGTTCCTGCATGTACAATAAACCACCGCTGCAGGTGCACTCAAAGCCGCCCCATGTGTTCTTGCACTTGCAATCAGGGCACTGGCAGACTTTCTTTTCTTTGCATTCGTCCACATCTAAGCAGAACCATCAATAATCTCACAAGCTCAGCAGCAGTTGACCAAGCACTTTTTATATGTTTAATCATCCATGCACAGTGAGAGCAAAACAAGAAATAGAAGCATGCATACAAATGCTGTTGACACGCGAAAAGTCATTATTCTTTTCCCCTACACACCAAGAAGCCCACAATTGATTGGTTGAAAAACTACTACAAGGACCGAATGCATCAGAGCAAGACATGGTGACAAAACCCTACCATAACCAAAAAAGTGAAACTAACAGCAACTAAGATATCGGGGAATGTATTCTCTATGTATATCAACTGATTCTATGAATAGTTGATCTATGTAGAGCTCAGTGTTACATCCATGGCAAAATAATTTTCAGATGGAAACTGAGATGCCCAGACAGAAACTGCATTCTCCGGAAAGAACTTTCTACTTTACAAGATTAGAGGTTCTAGAGCCGATAATCAGGAAAGGTTAATTTCGATACCTTCACAGGAGTTTACTCCATCTCCAGTGAAGCCAGGAGGACATTTGCAACCGGTGCTGCTGTCATCCTGGGAGAACAATCACATATATTTGGACAGAATGGACCAACTTAAATGCTTAAAGCAAAGAGTGCATGAGCTTACAGCACAAGCAGAGTATGTCCTGCCACCACGTGTTTGATTCCAGCAGCCGCCATTGTTGATTTCACACCGTAAAGCTCCAGAAGCTGTTGAGCAGTTGAATGAGAAAGATATGCAACAAAAAGAATGTCCTTATTGTCTCAAGTTCGAAAAATGCCAAAAGTGAGTTACTAGAGGGTTTTCAGGAAGACGATAGGACGGAAATAAGCTTTTGGAAAAAAATTTCTTCCAGTGAAGTTCAGATTTCCTGTTCAAAACAGTCCTAACTGAAAATTAAGAGACTGCATGCTTTACTATACTTCAAGTTTTGCTTAATGTTAAATTGACCACATTCTCCAGTTCCGTTTGATTTGAGTTGGGGTGAGCATGGTCCGGACGGGCGGTCCCGCCTGTTAAGGGCCGGTTCCACCAAATGGGAATCGGAAACCACCCACTAGTTCTTAGACCCACCTGGGAACCGGACCCACTGGTCCGGTTCCCGAGTGGGTCCATGGAACCGGCCGGGGAGAAGGAGAAGGGTAGGGAGCGACGGAGGAAGGGCGGGCATGGGTTGTTGAGTGGGGTGGAGCAGAGGTGGGAGAGGGCGAGACGAGGGGTGAGATGAGTACGGCGACAGGAGTTGAGGGTGGGGAGAGAGGGGGAGCGAGAGTCGGGTTTTACGAAAGGGCAGTGGTTCGAGGTGATTCACTCTAACATGGCTGTGAAAGATAATGGACGCAAACGGTGAGGTATATTCAGAAATCAAGAACGGAAAAATTGTTTTCTTTGAAGGTTCTTGCAACCCAACTCAGCGAGAACGAAGAAATTGTCATGAACGTAACTTTGTTTAGAGAGAGAGGAGAGATCTTGCAAGAGAGAGATGCTATTAATTGAAGAGAGCGAGGGATGGAGGAGAGAGAAAAGTGGAGAGAGAGATTGAGGCAGAAGAAAGAGGAGAGAGAGTGCCGCGTTAAATGAAGAGAGAGGAAAGTGGAGAGAGATGATAGTTGATTGTGCAAGGCACAGGAGAGAGAGAGGGTCTAGTCCTTGAAATCTTAAATTTAAATATACATATACACGTATACTGATTCGGTCCGAGTGGGTAGGTAGTCGGTTCCACATTTGGAATAGGGAACCGGACTGGTACCCACCGATTTCAAGAAATTAGAATCGGGAACCGGATCGATCTTCATGAGAACCGCCGGTTTTGGGCCGGTTCAGGGCAGTTGAGGCGGTTCTCGATTCTTTTGCACATCCTTAGATTTGATAGAACCGGTTAAATTTGCACTCTATGAAAAATATTTACCTTCACAGTGTGTATAACCATCGCCGACGAATTTCACACCTTGCACAAGAGGGCATTCACAAACTCTTCCCCGAAATGTATCCTGAAATAGAAGAAACCAATGCAGAGCGTCAAGAATTGATGCCAAGGACCCTAAACTACATCGTAAAGATTTTGAGAACATACCCGGCATGCGGTAATGTTAGCAACTTCATCCTGCCAGCAACCCCCATTGTTTTCCAAACATTCATTTGTTTCAATATCTGCAGATACATAATTTTCTGAAATATATAAGGATCTATCTGTAATGTCAAATTAACAAATGAAACATTGACAATTCTCAAGCCAATGTGAATAACTTCTATGAAAAATATGGCCCGTAGAGGAGGGGAAGAGTTTGCAACTGCAAGCCATATTAAGAGATTTATCTTAAGTAGTGCCCTGATCTCTATAATTATTTCCAAGGATGAAGAAGGAGTTGGATTTCATCTAGAGTCAAACCTTCAGAGTACATCGGGTTATCACTTGTTAAATGCCAATAGGCCTTGCATCCGATTTCGTTTTTGCTTTTTAAATTTTTTTTGTTTCTTTTTTTCTTTTTTTTTTTTCTTTTTCCTTTTCTTCTTCTTTTTTTTTTCCTCTTTTCCCTCCGCCGAATTTCATCTAGTCAAACCTTGAGTTACATCGGGTTATCACTTGTAAAATGCCAATAGGCCTTGCATCCGATGTAGTCATCCTCCCTCTTTGTGCATTCCCTTTTACACTAAAAAGGTAATGCATGGTTCTCAGGATAAGCACAGGATAAGTGCCACAATTTTTGTAGAGCGCTCACTTGAGTACCACAACTTTTTTTTTCGATCGCTTGAGTGCCGTGATTTCTAAAAAAAACGTTCACTTGAGTAACATGAATTTCAATTGATCATTTGAGTGCCATAACTTTTTAAAAATGTTCATCTAAGTGCCGCAAATCTAATGTGGCAGGACACTTGTGGTGAATGTTTTCAAAAAGTTATAGCATTCGAGTGATTGATTGAAAAGTTATATAATACTCAAGTGATCGGAAAAAATGTTATGATACTTAAATGAATGCTGGACATGGTTTATGACACTCAAGTGATAAAAAAAAAGTTATAATACTCAAGCGAGTGCCTTTAAAAAGTTATGATACTGGTGTTGTCCTTTTTCCCATAGTTCTCTACTACAAAGGCTAGTCCCTCACTTAAGAAGTATGGCCAAACCACGTGGACAAGCAAACTAACTTTTGTTAAAACATCACTAAAGACTGTAAAAGATTCAGATGCCAACTTAAGTTTTTCCTTTACCAGTTCTCAAATCGACTTTGTCTTTATACACATTATAGACAGATCATGAATCAATTTTGCCAGTTAAGCACTAGAGCAAAAGGGCAACAGATTATTGAGCTTGCCTATAAGACCGAGAAAGTTTGAGCACAATGATGATGTACAAAGGAAGTATGTGAAGGCGAAAAGCAAAATAATTATAATGCATGGAATCAGAGAAAGAGGATCACAGATGAGGACCTGAACTTAGGCAAATAGCTGGTTCAGTGGTTTCTTGGAAACCTGCACATACGGCTTTTAGAACTGCTCCTCTATCCAATTTACCTACAACCATCGACATAATGGATCAGCCAAACAAGACTAGTTTCATTAACTTTTGAAGTCATGGCTCGCTGAGACCTCTGTACTGTCGATTGTTAATGATTAAAGTAGGCAAAATAGAAACATCTCCGCGAGACCCTGCGCCAACCTGAAACCAATTTGAAGAAAAAATCACCCATTAAAAAAGCACAACAAAGACTGAGCAATGGAGAGACTAATAGAGTAAATCAGAAACATTCAGTTAGGAGCCTAACCTGTGCGTCCTGTTCAGCCATGAGGACTAGGTTGTCCACGTCAGCGTCAGGGTCACCTATGCATTGGTTTATCTTCTCGAGATCAACACCTTCAGAGCGTAGCAAGTAATTTAAATATTATGACCCCAACATTGTCCAAAAACCTCAGATCATTAGATGGCCAAGCACAGCAAGATTAACAGATGGCAACCGTCAAAGTACATGGCCAATTAGACAATATAAACCATCATGTCTTCCATGATCCAGAAGAAATAATTAAATCAGCATCATAGCTTTATCAAGTTAAATTGCCAAGGAGGGATTTTGCGGTTCGACAGTCTATTGGGGATCTTTCCAATTATAGTTGTGATTATTCCCCTCTAGAAACAATTCCGCAGGATGACAACCTAATGGCATTTTAGCAGTAAATATGTTATTACTTCCCTCTAGAAACATATGAGCACATTGCAGACATAGCTAAGAACAACATAAGAGTAATGAGAACCCAAATTTGTGACCCACAAAGCAGGAAAAGAACACAAGTGCAGTTGCACTCTTTTTCGCACACGCACACGCACACGCACAAGAGCCACATGCACACTCAGTCCTTGAGGAAAACATTTTTAGTCGGGTTATTAGTGTTCTGAAAAAAGATGTCATTTGGAACAACTAAAAATAACAATTCCTCACCAGCAGATTTAAATGTGAGATTAGATCCAGAAATCATTGAAAGCTGGACTTTTTCTCGTGAAAAAGTATGTCAATAAGCAGATAATAGTAGGTATACTTAATGGAGTTCATGCATGATTTAAAATCTTCAGGCCTGATACGATGCTGCATCACCACACATTTTTTTTTTTTTTTTGGTAAGTGCATCACCACACATTTTCATGTCTGCTGTCATCCAGAAACTGCTAAGAAGACGAACCAAAGTCTATGAGTTTCAAGGATGAATGAACCTTACCAAGTGATTGGATGACTTTTTCTGCGCATTCTTTGGTGAACTTCTCCTCTTTCATTGGGCACCGAATTGCAAAGTCACTCACAAAATCCCACCAAAGCCATGGCTTGCTGCTCTCATTAGCCACTTTAAAAAAGCAAATTTGGCGTAAATTCTGAAGCACAACAGCCCTTCCATCATAACCTTTACCGAAATCCTGCTCAGGATCCGGAGCGCAGTACCTTCCGTTATTAATACACTGTGACTCGCACTGCTCGCTTGAAAGAAATTGTTCGGGGCAGAGCCAGGTTATATAATGTGGTGTGAACTGAGCATATCCTTTGCGCTCAAGTATTTGAGCAGCCCCCTTAAAGTTCTTAACAAACTCAATCTGAGTGTCACATTTTGGTCCACACTCATCATTGCTATTTGTCCAGAATTCATACTCAACCCGCTCATCTGGATGTGGAAGAGCTTCACTCCAGTCAAGGCTGATAGTAACCATCTTCCCATCAGACAAAGCTTTCTTTATTTCATCTCCCAATGATTCTTTGATAAGTGCAGCGGGAATAGTGATGTTCTGAAGATAATCAGAACCATTATGGTCTCCTCCTGGGGTATCCATGGTGATCAATTCCTTTTCTCTCTTGTCGTCTGCAACAAGAATCGCGGCAGCACCACCATTCTGCGCATTCCATGCCTTCATTGTGAAGTAACACTCTGCATTGACAGCAAATTAACTGTGGGCAAGCAAAGGCACATATAAACTAGATGTACCTTATCTGACTCCTAATTCCTAGCTGTAATTCAAGGACATGACTATTCTTGCGGATAGAATAATTTTTCGGTTTCTGCAGCAGCCAAACAGGGATGATGCCACAACACACTGTTTTTTAAGTGCTGGAGCCAATCAGTCGATCAATTTTACAAAGTCGACATAGGTTTATCTTTGGGAAGCGTGAATTTTTAAGTCAAAGATGAGGTGAGAGCGGCCCTCGTATTCTCAAGTCTCAATCATTAATGATACATTAACCACCATCAGATCATTAATGATACATTAACCACCATCAGACACAAGTTACCTATTACATGATCGACAATCCTAATTAACTGGAAAACAAAGAGCAACTGATCGATATCGACACAAAACAAGAACCCGCTAACCAAAAGCGAATCAACTTCACTACTCAAAACACGAACCCAGAAACACGCAAACATGTCCTTACCTCCCCGATCAGCAAGTAAAATAGTGGGCAGTTCCCTTGGAGCGGACTTGAACGAAGCATTGAAACCTTCGAAGCTCTTGCACGCATCCCGATTGTCTTTCGAATAAACTACGGTCCCTCGCATTGACCCCCCATATTGAGGGACTCCGAAATTCCCAATCGAACCCTCGTAATCTCCCTTCAACGATTCTGGAGCAGCCACCTTCAAGCTGAACTTCTCCACCACAAACTTTCCCACGCAAGACCCACATAGGAGACACCAAACCCAGATCGAAAGCTTCGATCTTTCCCACGTTCTCGCCATTCTTCCCCTCTGACCGATCGAACTGGTGCTTGCCCATGAGATGGAGAAGACCATGTAATCGTTCTAGCTGGGGAAAAGTCCAAGCAGATGCGACGACTTGGATTGATGTTTACAAGGTACGAAACACGACGTTCGATTAGTCCAAGACGAGGTCCCTTTTCACCCGCCTGCATCAGTTCCATTCTCTGTCTCGTGTCTGAATGACAAACGTAAGCAGAAGGAATCCATCGGGGTCATCACTCATCAGGTGGACTTCAGCGTACGAAGAGTTTCGCTCCAAAGAAGAAAGTGTGAATTTGAACAAACGGGTATGGGACTGCGTGCCGTTCCAAACACGTCCACTTTAAAGTAACCGTTTTACCCGCAACCTGTCCTAGTGTTTTATAGAACAGACACTACTATTTAGTCGAAACTCATGCATATGCGACTGAAAAAATTCAAGATCAATGTTCATGAATATGTAAGATCTAAACTGGTGATAGTCGTTGAAAGATGTTCGATCATACTAAACTTTGTCCTTAACTTTTGTAATACCATTACGCTCGAGTTGTAATGAAGTAAGGTCAATATAAATAGAATTTGAAGAGGGTACAATAGGGAACAAACAAACGGCATTTTGACAGCTATACATATCTAATGTGGGTATCGAGTTTCCCCACTATCTCATATCCTTAGGCGTTTTAGCAATTGATCACGGACTTGTACCACTTTCCCAGACCCGTTACTCATTTACGTCTCGTTAGGATTTGAATGAGTCGCATACCTTATTATATCCGTCTCGCTACCATCTCTATGTATGCAAGTGGAGAAATCTTCTTTTTATCAAATTTGTTTTCCATCAAATTTGTTTAAGAATTTTCCCACTACTCAAATAAATTAATATTGTAATTTTGACACACCAAAATTACATTCTCTCGCTCAAAAACTAGAGGTCACTCATTTAACTATTTCAATCCACCGTGTACAAACTGCTATGAGTGAAGTCCATTTGCGTGGGTTAAAAACAGATACTTAACTGAGCTTGTGATCTTGCAGGGTGTTCCATGAACCACGAAGTGGTTGCACCCTTGCACTTGGTTTATTAAGACAAAAGAAGAAAACCTTTCATTTACAGCAATATATTTATGAAGCTATGCTTGCAATAGACGCAAAACATCATATAAAAATCAGTGGTCTTGAATCTCTAAAATGAAAAAAAAGAATTATTCTTCAGAAGAATGTTAAAAAGTGCCCTCAAGACATAATCTCCTTAGATATGCTTTGGAAATGTAAAATTCTATATTTAAGTAATTGGCCTTCTTGGAATGTATACTTATTCAATTTCCAAAGTGTCTCGAAATTTTACCAATGTTTTCCACAATTTCACGATGTAGATGCGTTGGTCTCTAAAGTTCAGTCAGTTTCGCACTTAGCCCTCGTAATTCAAAATCAAGTGCTTTGATCTCTAAGGATTTTATTTGTAATTAATTTTCCCCATGAGGTGATTATAGTCAAACCTCTCTTTAGTGCATATGACTTATGTGGTGTTTAAAGAAAAGATTGTAGAGCGTATCAAAGGTGATGACTGAATTTGGGTTAAAACTTTACCAAAAAAAATTAAGGTTAAAAAAAAAGGAAGGGCAAGAGATCGGGTCTAATCAGGAGTGACATTAATCATTCGGCCATCGGACGATTCTATGCCACCGAAATTAGGAAATTCGCAAGAAATTACTTTCTAACCACAAACATAGGACGCCCTTACCCCGGATTAAAAAAGAGAGGGAGGTAATCCATTCGGACAAATTACGGTGCTAGCCATTGACCCTCTCAAATAATCAGAGTGATGCCGACGAGGTTAATTAATTTTTAGACTCGGCCTCTAGAAACTCTAAGCTATTGACATTGACAGCATGGAAGTTTCCGGCAAACGTCCAATCACGCACCGTCTAAAATCATAACCATTGATCATGTGGAACTCACGTGATCAACGACCGCGGTAGGCTCGATCCATATAAACCCGGGTCAAGACAAGTATGTCCTGTTCGCCCGATGTATTCGGCTCTTGTCCTGCTCGCATCGAATCCACCGCCTACTACCAAAGCAAAAGAAGTTTCTCGGGACAATCATCTCTACTTTAGCCTGCGAATATCAAAGAGTAGTAATTGTTAGAGGAAGAAAGAACTTGAAATGGGCAAAGTTTCCCAGACAATGAAAATGGTTTTATATCATCTATGGATTTCTCTAGGGACCCAAGTTAAAGGAAGCGCACTGAAGAAAACGATCAGAAAAGGCAACCCAAATCTTGGCTATTGGGCAGAGGACAAATCACCAGAAAAAGCACAAAGTTGGCTCAAGCTTTATGACACGACCATGCCTTTGCCTCGTCCACTTTGGTGCCTGTTGATATTGCATGGTGACACCGACCCCATTTGAATTTCTTTAATGCATCATGGACTGCCGTTTTTGTGTTAGTGGAAGCTCTTCTTATGGTTCGTGCGCTGTTACATGGAACGCAACACGACCCCTTCTTTAGGGGGTGATATTTTATGCAACAGTTGTGCCACGTGACAGTGATACGTGAAGAAGTGGGTCAATTAGATATGAGATCCGGCAAAATTCAAGCATAAAGTTAATTGGGATGCGTGTCATTCGAACACTGTAATTGATCGCTCACGCCATGTTAGTCCAACACGGCGTATAGATTCCAAATGCAAATCCCAACAAGATTAGGAAGCATCATCCCATGGCCCAAAAGCAGCCACTTCCGTGAGACTATAGAAGTGGATGATACAGAAGTTCGGTAAGTTTTGGCAGAGATGCAGGATAAGCTAACGCTCGCTTTATTCGGGTGTACAGCAGGCAACATCCTCCTGAATTGAGCCCAACTCAGATCGAAAGATGAGAGTGATCGCGTACTTGGACACGGTGTTGGTGCCGCTGAGCCTCTTCCTCACCGTCGGTTACCACGCCTATCTCTGGCACAACATCAAGCACAAGCCCTCCATCACCACCATCGGTCACGACGCGCAGAAGCGCAAGGCATGGCTTCTTGCCCTCAAAGAGGTAATAAGCCCAGTCCCTGTCTCCCAGATCATGCTTCAATAGACTGGCAATTGTAGTTCAAGTGTTCTGTTTTTTCGGTGTGCAGGGAGACGAGAAGGCGGGCATGTTGGCTGTCCAAAGCACAAGAAACACCCTGATGGTGACCATCCTGACCGCAACCATAGCCATCCTGATCAACTTGGCGCTCGCGGCTCTCACCAACAACGCCTACAGTGCGGACCACCTCTTCAGCAGCGCCTTCTTCGGCTCCAAATCCCCCAAGATCTTCGCCCTCAAGTACGGATCGGCATCCTTCTTCTCGAGCCTCAGCTTCCTGTGCAGCTCGATGGCGGTCGGCTACTTGATCGACATGAATTACTTAGTAAATGCGGCTACCAGCGATGGTACGGTCTCTTCTTCCATGTACACGCAATTGGTTTTCGAGAGAGGGTTCTTGCTGGCCCTTTTCGGGAACCGGCTGCTCTGCGTGACGTTTCCCCTGTTGATGTGGATGTTCGGGCCGGTCCTGGTCGCCCTCTCCACCGGGGCGTTGGTGTGGGGGCTTTATGAGCTCGATTTCGCCCGAAGATCTCTGCATCACACTGGGAAAACTCGCGCGTGAGTGATTCGGAATTGTACGGATTGTGATGGATCCAATGCAGAGAGAGTCTCTAGCGCAAGAAGGACATTGCAATTCGAATGATTAGGCAGGGCTTGATATGTCTACTGCCGTGTGTTATTTTCATTATATTTGCTGTTGATTCTTCAACTTCTCGATGACATTTCTTAGTCGACGATCTTTAGTTTTGACATTACCGAACTTTTCATTTTCGCCACAAATGCAACCGGGCTTGTGATTCGAAAAAGACCTAAATTTCTAGCAAGATAAGAACATTTTATATGTGGAAGAATCGCAAATGAAATGGTGTATAGTCAAGGGAAATTTTCTCCGACTATGTTTCTGATCAGTAGGTTATAAGTTATAGACTTCCTCCATGAAAATATTGCGCTCACATATAAGATCAAAATTCATGTCAATAGTAAATACGACATGTTAGTCGATGTTGATTGAGAAAAGGACCCACTTTGGTACACCCGATCATCACAGAGGCACAGAAATTTGCGAATTTGTGACTCTTGAGGGTGGCCGAAGAGACCAATAATGGGTTTGCAGTCGGGACCTCACACTTCTTCAGGTGAAAGCCCCAAGTGTTGGTCCAATCACGTGAAACTATCTGGGTCAAGAATTGACGAGTCGGAGTGCTTTGCTTGAATGAACCAATGTCCCCTAAAAAGGAGGGACGACAACTAGCCGGGAAAATTGTCCAGAAACTTGTAGACTTATTGCACTTTAGTCGATCAATTATAAATCTTTTAATTCGTCAATTCAATCATCAAAATTTTTATGTTTTGCCAATTAAGTCCATTACGCCGGTAGTACCACATAGGACGGCCAACCACATATAACAGCTAATGCAGACGTGAATAATTATTTTAAAAAACTGAAAAATTTTAATTATTTTTTTGTTTTCTTTTTCTTTTTCTTTCTTTACAATTTTTTCTTTTTTTATTTTTCTTTCCTTCTTTTCTTTTTTTTTTCCTACCAAATTTAGCGAGGATCGATCATCAACCCTTGCTGGTCACAGGTGAGGGCCGGCCGACCCTCACTGACCACGAGCGAGGGATGGCGACCCTCGTCGGCCATTGTTGGCCATTAGGCGAGAGCCACGAAGTAGGGGTGATAGGTTTTAGGTGGGTGGTTCCCACCCTGGAACTGGAAATCGCTTGTTGGTTTCGTAGATCCACCCGGGAACTGGATCGGAAATATCCCAAACAAAACCACAACATTCTAGGGGTGTCAAAACCAAACACAATACTCGAACCGAAACACAAACTGACCCGAACCGGCTCGAAATTTTAAGGTATTTTCGGTTCGGGTCTTACTATGTTCAGGTATACATTTATAAAATGGGTATTGTGACTTGTTTCAGTTCGGTTCGGTTCGGTTCAGTTCGGGTCATAACACAAATTGAACCGAAACATGTTAGTTTACCAAAATTGAATTGACACCCCTAAGTATTAACTCGGGATACACTCTCTCTCACACGGAACGATTCGTCTCCTTCCACAACCCCTCAATCGAGGCCATCTTGGTCTCCCCCTTGGTCGCCGGCGTTGATTTCGCCTCCATCTTGGTCGTCCGTCGATGAGGAGGTTTCGTATGTTTTTCTATTAACTTCAATGAGGAGCTTTCGCAGTTCTCTACTCCGAATCATTTGTCTTTTAGTTCATCGCTTAATTCTGTGGGGGAAAAGATATTTATTTGTTATGGCAATTGAGCTCCTTTTCTAGATTGTTGGATGTTGCTGCTGCTTCCAGTGCAATTGGATTCTATACTCTTTTCAGGCATTAAAGATGGTGAAGCTTACAGTTTAAGTTAAAAAGCTATTGTACACAAGTTGATTTCAGCACAAGCAATTTAGTTGTATTCAAAGTGACGAGCAGCTTAATAAATACCCACTCTATAAAAAAAAAAGTTCTTACTAGACTTGCTTCTAAACGCACTCTCCGAAAAACCCACGCAAAAACCCGAAACCCGACCCGACCCGAACCGGATTTTTAGTACAGGTCCTATGCGATTCGGGTCTGGTTCGGGTCAGAGAGAGCACGAACACTTATGATTCGGGTTGGGTCGGGTAGTAGTGGAAGCCGACCCGACCCATTGACACCCCTACAACATTCTACATAAGTGAACATGAAAAGAGGTCTTCAAAGGATAACACAGAATCTGCATCCCTAATTCCATTTAGGATGAAAGAATGATCAAATGAAATGAATGGGCCATGTTTTGCTTACATGAGAGCTAAAAATGGAAGGAGCCACAAGGCGAGAGATAGAGAGACAACGAGCAGGAACATACTCAACCGTGATCAAGATGCTGCAAATCAAAGTCTCTCACTAAATGGAGATAAATCTCCGCGAAGCGCAAAATATTCAGTCGTATTAGAATGCAAAAGCTATAAGCAACAAAATGAATTGCACGATTTCAAGAGTTTCGACTTACGATGACGAAGTAGGCAGCGACGAGAAGAAACCCAGAGGGATTGAAGGCATGCCGGGTGAGAGTCTCTTGAAGGAAAGCCGCTCCAATGCTGGACTCAGAGAGGCCAACGACGAGAATGGGAGAGCCGGCGCTGAAGATCAAGAGGTTGTTGAAGACGGTGTACTCCCACATGGGAGGGGCCGACTGGATCAGGGTCAGGCCTTCGAAAGAGCTCCTTGCGCCAACATTGTGTTCCGCGGCATCGCCAACGAGGAGGGCCGAGGCTTGAGATGGAGATTCCGGATGAGTGGTGCTTTCTGGAGAATCAACGAGGGGAGGAAGAAGCGAGAGGGAGGAATCGCAGGGGATTTAGAATGAAGGAGGAGAGTTGACAAAGAAGACATCTTCGATGGGGTTTTAAGTGGCCTAAGAATCAATTGTGATGAGTGATGCGAGAGATGGAGAGAGATAGGTAGGAAACTAGGGTCTTAATATGAAAACATAAAAATTTTAAATATATATGTACCGGTCCGATCCGGTCCGGGTGGGTGGGCAGTTCCACACTTGGAACCGGTAACCGAACCAGTACCCATGGGAACTACCGGTAACCGGACTAGTTCCCATGGGAACTGCCGGTTATGAGCCGGTTTGGCACACTTTCGAGTGGTTCGTGTGGTTCCTGGTTCTTTTGCACGCTCCTACCGCGAAGCTCTTGCCTTTGGCCGACGACCTCTCTAGGCTTGGAAAAAGAAAGAGAAAAAGAAAGAAAAAAATAATACAATATTCAGAAGTTTTAAAAAATTATAAAAATTGTACATATCAACACCGGCTATGGTACGTAGGACGGTCGACATCTACTTCAGCAATTTCACGCTAAATTAGCCAGATAAAATTAATTGGCAAAACGTGAAAAAGTTTAAGAGTAAATTGGCCAAAGTGGCGGTGCAATCGGTTCTGCCCTCCCACTCCCAAAAAAAAAAATGGTGAAAGTGCAGTAGGGTTAGTACTTTTTGGATAATTTTCTCACACGAGACATATTCGGGATGATCGGCCCAGTCCAAACCCAAATCCCATTAGCAAATAAATCCCAAACTTATTCCAAACTCGAGTCGGGTCTTTCAAATTGAGTCTGCATTCCATCTTATTCCCACTAAAGTGCATGAGAACTCGAAACTGGCGAGAACCCTCTCGAACTCGTCCGCGGCTATCCCTACTAACAATAAAAACAAATGCAGCGATCATCTCAAATTCATACCTTCGGTTTCAGATCATGGTGCTGGTTTGATATACTCTTTTGTCCTCTTGCCCTATGCTCGATTAAATAATGTATATCTTCAGGATAAATCTTTATATGGAGACAAAAAAAAAAATCGAGCTGATCATTTTTCATACAGAAGCATGTGCCTGAAGACATATTATATTTAACATATGAACTGCCAGGAATATTCCTTAAAACCTACGAGGTGAATAAGGGCAAAACGAAAATGAAGTGCTGCTGCAAGGATCTGAATCTTTCCTTAGTGTGGTCCAAAGCTTAGCCGAAGGGTCTTCGTCTGTCCTTGTCCTTTCGGAAGTCCAAAAAGCGGAAGCGGTTTAACACAGCCCAGCGACAGATGCTGAAACTGGATCGACTTGGCCCAGATTCGTCCACTTCCATGCTGATTATACACGCTGTACAACTCACAGTCAATTCGACCTGGACGCGAAGGCAATCATCGAATCGGCTCCCTTGGCTTCGATGTGTCGTTCTGCGTTGTGGGAAGAAAAGATTGCGTTGTGGACCACCCTGGATGACAGTGAATGGTGGTGTCGATATCAACGGTAGCGTTGCACGAGCTGGATGCGTGAGGGAGGATTCAAACTCGACATGATCGAAGCAGCACCGTGCCCCCAAATCGCCCGCGAGGCAAGTCGAAGAGTTAAAAATTACTAGCCGGTCGGGGGTATTTTCGTCAAAGGCGTTTTTTTTCTTTTCTTTTTCACTCTTATTCCTGTTCATCATCTTCTTCTTCGTTTGACCACAAAAAAATCTTCTTCTTCTTCGTTAGGCATTAGATTAATGTCGTCCGAATCGAGGCCCCAGAGGGAGGCGAGCTCGAGGGCAGAGGGGCAGCCGGAGAATCCGTCAAGCCGGGAGCGACGGTGGGTGGAGGGGACGTGGGCGTCCCAGTCGCAGTCCTAGTAGAGGACGCGGTTGTCGGTGGAGCAGCAAGCGGAGGCGCAGTTGTCGCAGATCTGGGAGCGGAGGTGCTTGCGAGGGAGGAGAGGTTGGCGGGGTGGACTTGGTGGTCGCAGAGAAGGCAGAGTTTGGTCGCGTCACTTCCATACTTCTCTTTCTTTTTGTTCTTCTTTTTTTCCCTCTACTCATCTTCTTCTTTTGGTTCCAGGCCCATGGATCTTCTTCCTCCCCAATTTTGCTTCGTCATGGTACAGTCGGGAGCATTCTCTCTGGTGCGACCTCAGATTCAACCCCTTCAGCATTGACGAAGAAGATGATGAACAGGGACACCATGGCTCGGATCCAGAAGAAGATGAACAGGGTCAAAAAAGAGAGAAAATATATATATCTTAGGACGAAAATACCCCCGACCGGCTGCCGGAATACGAACGGGAGATGCATTTGTTTGCCGGCCGGCGAGTCAGCACTTATTTGAGACTAAATGACTACTTCGGATTCTTATTTGAGACTAAATGATTACTTCGGCTACTTATTTAAGATAAAGTTCACTTCGGGTCCTCCTTTAAGAAAACGATGGCACTTTATACTCCTATTTGGAATTTTCCCGCAAGCCAATTAACCTAGTACTTGGTTCATGTTTAGTTTCCAATTACTACTGTACAGTTTCACACAGGAAATAATCCGTAAGCCCATACGGAAACACACAATCAAATCGATCCTGGTGCAGATTCATAGTATCGGTCGTGTGGCTCATCCGTAGCAAAAGGTCGAAAAGCTTTCAGCAGGAGTTGGAGTAAATGCCCAGAACGATAATTACATTACTAATTAAGCAAAATGAGTTAAAGAGTTAATGCACTTTGCCCTACCGATTGGCCCTGCTTCATGCTAAGAAGCCCCATCTTATAGCATTTTACACGAAAGGCGAAAGCCAAATCACAAGATAAAAAGACGCGACCAATTTAAACGCGTAGCTTAGGCATATATCGAAACGTATACATCATAGCAATGGGTATAGGCGACAATTCAACAGAAGATCGTCTCCAGAACTATTATATAAATCGTGTCCAAACTACATTAAGTTCATAAAAGCAAGATTGTATGTAAATAAATTCCTAATTATAGACCAATTTGAGAATACGGCTGGCATGTCTGGCAAATGTGGACAAACCCACGAGATATAGTATGTGTTTGTCCATAATCAAGAAGGATAGATACTTGAATTTGAAAGTAATCAAGAACGCAAATTGATCACATTCATATGCCACAGTGGATCAACCAAAATTCCAAAACTTGAAGTATTACCAATCAAAGGACATGAAGCCACAAGCCATGACCAAACTAATAGGAGACCATCTGTCAGCTCCCACTGAGCTGATCAATGTGAGAAGACACAAAGGATTCTCCCGTTAATGTATACTGAAAGGGACTAACTATTGATCTCTTCCGAATTAGTAGGCTAGATTTTACAACATTGGAGAATCTCAGTGACCATCGACCTCCATCTTGAGTAGAAAACATCACAAAGATCAGGGCACACATTCGTCTGATCAGTAAAAATTGATGAGGCCCACCAGTTTCAATAGTGCAGATGGACCTCAGGAGTACCAACACTGGTTCGAGGCGATGACCCTATATATCGATAAGATGCATAGGGCATGAAATCCTCAAGCTGATCCAGCTCTCTCGGCCAGTATTCCATGGGAAAATTACAATCACTAGGCGGCGGTTGGGTGTAGAATAGGGTGTGATCGCCCTCCGGCACCATCTCTTGCTTGTGTTCCTCCTTGATCGACCCGAAGCCCAACGAGGAGAAGAAGGGGTTGTTCTGCGAGCTCGCGGCGTTGCTGCCGAAGCTGACGAGGTTCTTGGCGTCCTCATCCTCAGGATCGCCGATGATCTGAGGGGAGTTTAGCAGGTTCTTGCACGTGTGGTGGCCATAGTACGTGCTCCGATACATGGGAGGGTCCATGGATATCATCTGGACTTGCTTGGTCGCTTGGCACTTCTGTTCCACTTTGTGAGTGCACCTATAATAGCTCCTGCATACCAAAAATCGCAACAAGAAAAATACGAAGAAATTTAAGATTACGCAGAAAACTTCACGGAAAAAGCCCTACATAAAGATCAAGATATATACGTATGGATTTTCATTATCTACCGCGACAATCAACTAGAGGTAATTCTAAACTCTCCCCCACCTCAGATCGGAGGTCGAGACCTAACGCATCTCTAGAAAACTAGCTATTCATTACCTGGGGAAATCGGAGTTAAGGATCAACTTTTGGCCGTACTTTCTCCAAGCATGACCATCATCGATGAGTGTAGCGCTGATTCTTGACCATGTATCCGAACCCCTCCTGCAACACCGACAAATCCAACAAAAAGAAAAGGGCAAAAGAAGATCAAATCTCATCCATGTTTGCTCCCGAAAAATAACTTAGTGACATACGAATCTCTCGGCGACATATCACTTACCTTCTCTTGTAGCGTCCTCTGCCGTCCTTGCGCTTGCTACTCTCCCCGGAGGAACCTTCGGACCTGGTGGCGGCGTGGTTGTTGTTGTGACCGTCCGAGACTTGCGAGCAGTCGTCGGATTCGGAGCTGCTCAGCATGGAGAGAGCGTTGGTGAAGGAAGTGATGAGCTGGTCGGCGGCGTCCTCGACCGAAGGCGACCCGCCGCGGGACATGAGCTCCTGTAGCTGCTTGGCCAGATCTTGGCCTCGGACCAGCTCTTTCATGGCCTCCATTTTCCGATGGCAGGACGACGAGGGTTCCATTCTTTTCTTTTGTGGGGTATTAATTACTCGGGCGTCTTTGCTTACAGATGATGATGGTCAGTGGTAGATAGCGAGAGAGAGAGAGAGAAAGATGGATCGTGGAGGAAGAGCCGGGGAGATTACGTCGGTAGTGCGGAAAATAAATAAGGAAGAGCTCAGCGAAAAGAAGCGAAAGGGGATCGTTCATGGAAGGAGCCGAGAAAGTTGCCAGTAAAAATCACGCGTCACTGGGGTCCCCGGATCCCCACGCGCGCTATCTCATCAACATCGATTAATCATTTTTCTGCAATTTTTCTAAAGGAAAATGGCGGCATAAATGGTCACTGAACTTTGACCTAACGTGTAATGTGATTCTCGAACTTTGGCCTAATGTATAATGTAGGTCCTGAAATTTTAAATTGTTCGATGTAATATCTGGACTTTTGGGACATGTTCAATTTAGTTCTCAAACCATATGAAAATATTCTATGTTATCCCCGTGACATTCCTGAATTCAATCATTGAGGTTTTGTTTGCTTTGGCCCATTCCATACAAGGTGGGCACCTTCCCAAGAGATTACCTATTCTGGGAGTGCTCCCACCTAAGCTAAACGTAGCCGTTACGTCAAAAGGTACCTTCGTGAATTAGTTCCAAATTTCACATATCTATTCCAGAATCGCTCTCCCCTGTTCGGTGCATGAACCCTTTCACCATCCTATAAGCCCACTAAGAGCCACTCCTTGTTCAAGCCCTCTAGCCCCGGCAACCAATCCTTGCCCTCGTTGGACCGGGTTGTTATAGGCCCACCAGCTTCCGAGTGGTTTGTCCCCGAATCATACAACTACCGGAGGTGGTACCACTCTAATTCCATATTGTGACATTCCTGAATTAACTCACTGAGGTATTGTCTACTTTAATCCGTCCCATACCAAACCTCATGGTTCTGTCATTTGGCGTACAGGTTGGCACCTTTCTAGAATGTTACCCATCCTGGAAGTACTCCTACTTGAGCATGCTTAATTTTGAAGTTCCAAAGATAAATGTTGCCCATTAAGTCAAAAGGCGCTTTTGTGAGTTGATTATAGTTTTCACATATTTATTCCAAAATCGCTCTTTTCCTATTTGATGCATAGTTCGGTTCATTCCTACTCCCTTCACTATCCTAGAAGCTTGCTATGAGCCGATCCTTGTCCAACCCTCTAGCCTCAGCGACCACTCCCCTTATCGGACTGGGTTGTTACAATCCTTGAACTTGAATTAAGGACAACACTGAACATTTTTATACAATTCAGGAGCTGTATTAAACATGTACCAGAGGTTTAGGGACCAATTTATTCATGGGCCACATCGCACATTGAGATAAAGTTTAGGGACCACATTAAACGAATTAAAAGTTCACATATCACATTATACATTGGGTCAAAGTTCAGTAACCATTTATGTCATTATCCCTTTTTTGAAACAAAAGCGATTCTCTTTTTGGCATTGGGTTGAGTGCAGTACCACTTGTGAGTTTTTTTGCCTTCCCAATTTCTTGTGCAATTCAAGTCATCTAACTTGTTCGACGTGAAATTGAATCCTTCGGCCTTGGACACCGAGTCGCATATCCACTATCCATATCCTCTTCTACAAATCATGCCACGATGATCCGCCTCGACTTGGAAACGCAACACGTGTTTGTTTCGTACGATCTTGGCCTAGGTTATGGCTATTGTCCACGGTGACTTCGGTCACCGGCCCCTGTTAGGTCACCAACTTCCTTGCCCCCACTTGTGAGTTTTTTTGCCTTCCCAATTTCTTGTGCAATTCAAGTCATCTAACTTGTTCGACGTGAAATTGAATCCTTCGGCCTTGGACACCGAGTCGCATATCCACTATCCATATCCTCTTCTACAAATCATGCCACAATGATCCGCCTCGACTTGGAAATTGCAACACGTGTTTGTTTCGTACAGTGCTTGGCCTAGGTTATGGCTATTGTCCACGGTGACTTCGGTCACCGGCCCCTGTTAGGTCACCAACTTCCTTGCCCCTACTAGGTGGAGATGACGGGATCGGTTTGTGCCAAAGGATCTTCATCCTCGATTCATTGATACCTTTGACACGGCGATAGCAACAAAGAGAGGGGCAAGACGACCGAACTTATTCGATTTTTTGAACTTGATTAGTTTTGATTAAAATGAAATTAGACCTGGACTTTTCTTTTTCTTTTTACCCGGTCGAAAAATCTGACCTTGACTTGAATAGTGAAGAAGTATAGCACAAAGACTGTCTTGCACCAGTGAAGTACATGACAGTCTATAGCACAATATAAAGTCGTATGGCTCACTGACTAACTACACTATCATTACCCATACGACGGGAAGGAGAGGGGAGCGATTAGTGTCAATCAGATCGAGCACATACCATGTTTGTATCAAATCCTGCGTTTTTATAGAGATGAGAATCGACAATATCCTAAATCAATCAAAAAATTATGGACAAAACTCATATTAATCGCGTAACTCGAAACTCGAGATATAATTGTAATTTCCGAAATGATCCACTTGTATTCCTAATCCAATGAACACAAAAAAAAAAAAAAAAAAAAGGAATGACAACACTTCCTATTAATGGAAATTTAAACTCAAAATGCTCATAAAACAAGCGCTCGAGTCCCACACACGCGCTCCGGTCCGCGACTGGTCGTCCGCCATCAGGACACTGCGTCCTTTTCCCACCCGCTGAGCGTGCCGCTGGCGTAAGCACGTGGCGTCGCCACCGTGGCGTCATCACCGGGGCTATCATCCACTTTGCGCAGCCCCCCGCGGCACGCCCGAAATGACAGGAACGGCCTCCCCCTTCGGCGCGCTCCTCCCGAGCACTAGGGGCAGATGCGTCTTTTCGCCGTCCCCCCCCCCGGAGGAAAAGGACAAAACCACAGTAGGTAAGTGGTAACACGCCCCCCCGAGTCGTCCGTAGTCTATCTAACGTTACCGCATTATTATTACATCGAGGTCCGAGGAATTAAACAAAAACGGGAAAACGAAAAAAATAAATAAAAAGAGCACGTGGAGAAAAGACAAACATATCTAACCTTCCACCAATGACCACTTGTATACTCTTTCACTTTTTTTTAAAAAAACAAACACAAAATATATCACCCGAGTTTTGCTGTTGGAAACCCCGTCGCACCTTTAAGGGGGCAGCGTCCCCACGGCACCTGGAAAGTTGTTATAGTTGGGGCTCGTGTTTTGTTGGTAATTTAAGCTCGAGCCATGTATAGGTATTGAGTATGTATAATTTATTTTACGTGTAATTGAGGATTGTGACAGAGAGGTGCGAGGTGCTGATTATAGTAAAATCATTCTGCTTGATATAGCCCTAGTTTAAAAGGTGAAACGGGATAAAATCTTGTGTCTCGATTTCTCTTCCTTGCCTTTACTATCTATTTCTCTGTGTTCGCGCGACTAATCCTAATGGCACCTATCTCCGTGTCTTTATCTACGAAAATGCCGTTTACTTTGTAAATTTGTCAGTCTTGAAATACTAAATTCTCATGCATACCCAAAACATTAGTTTGAAATAAGCGACAGTTTAGTCTTTTCAATTTGAGGTTTATTTAGAGGTATGTGAATTGGGTTTGTTTTGTCCAAAAAAAAATTGGGTTTGTAAAAAGAAAGGTACTTAAGTGGTCATTGGGCCTAATTCTCCAAAAAAACTCTCAATTGCAGATCCAATTCCAATTCTTCCAAAATTCCATCCCTAGAATAGAAAAAGAACATAAATGCGTTTGTAGCAACGCCTTAAAAATTTCTTTTTTATTAATAATATTTTTAAATATTTTAATATTTCTTTCTTTTTTCTTTTCCTCCTTCTTGGCCATGGCACTCAGGAGCATGACCTCTAAGTGACCGGTAAAATATTTTTTTTAAAAATATATATTTTTATTTTTTTCCATGGCCTAGTTGCGGCCATGGTTGGTAAAATTTCTTTTTATTAATAATATTTTTTATTAAATTATTTTTATTAAAAATATATTTTTTTCTTTTTTATGCTATGGCCGGTAAAATAATATTTTTATTAAAAATATATATTTTTATTTTTTTGTCATGGCCTGGTCGCCAAACATGGCTGGTAAAATATTTTTTTATTAAAATATTTTTATTAAAAATATATTTTTTTTTTTTTTGGCCATGGCTGTCAATGTCAGCCATGGCCTGTAAAATATTTTTTTATTAATAATATTTTTATTAAAAATATGCATTTTTATTTTTTTTGGCCATGGCCATCAGCGGGTCACACCCGTCCATCTACGTACAAGAAAAATCTAAACTTCATTTTAGTATCAACGCAAGTTTTCACATAGGCCATGGCGGGTAAAATATTTTTTTTATTAATAATATTTTTATTAAAATATTTTTATTAAAAATATATATTTTTCTTTTTTATGCCATGGTTCAGCGCGGCCATGGCTATGTAAAAATATTTTTATTTTAATAATATTTTTTATTAAAATATTTTATTCTCGTCGCGATCCAATGAGGTGGTCCTCAGTAGGACATTAGAAGCTACATTAAAAACCAAGAAAGGAAGAAGAAAAAAAATTGATTCTTAAAATTCTTAATCAGAATCTACTTTTTTTATTCTTGAAACGGATTCGAGAACAATTTTGACAAAATTGTGCCTAGAATCAAAAAATTAAACAAACGCATTGCTGTTCCCAAACGATTAGGAACAAAAGAATGTAATCAAACACTTTGTTTGGCAAGTTGTTATGCGCACTTTACGAGGTTTGTGAATTGGGTTTGTTTTGTCCAAAAAAAATTGGGTTTGTAAAAAGAAAGGTACATAAGTGGTCATTGGGCAATTCGCAAAAACTCTCAACTTCGATCCAATTCCAATTCTTCCCCTACTGTTTTTGTCTAAAAGGAATCACAAGCTTTCACTTTAGTCTCAAATCTGCTTTGGTTAGCCCTCCGTCGAAAAATCGCAATTGATTTCCTCAAAATTATCAACATCGGAAAGTTGTTTTTGTTCCCTACGAAATGGGGATGTTAATAAAGACGCGAGTTTTGATAATGAACCTCTAAGTGACCCTAATATATATAATTTTCAAGAAATCGATGGTGATTTTTAGGAAGGTTAACGGGGGCAAATTTTGGACTAAGGTAAAAATTTGTGATCTTTTAATTTTTTTTTAAAAAAGTTTAGGATAGAATTGATATTGGACGCAAAGTTTGAATTTTTAGGGATTAAGCCGTGATCATCGGGTCAACTTAGGTCGCGACTTCTCCGCTATATTCTTCCCAGTAGTTTTACCATTTTCCCCTTAATTTGACTAAGTAGCCGTAACGCTAACACGAGGGAGAGGGCTTTTATCTGGGATTGATTTTGTCACGCGGTCATTGCAAATTAAAATTGAGCTATACTGCCCTCCAGACGTTGCCTCTAAACTTGTCTCTGATCAACGGGTCACACCCGCCCATCTACGTACAAGAAAAATCTAAACTTCATTTTAGTATCAACACAAGTTTTACACATACATACACGCAAGACATACGGTCAAATATGTTCTTCATGAGAACTAGAACCATCTTCATTTAGAAATATCTGTCGAGGGTTTTTCTCCCACCGACAAAAGCGAAAATTCCCGCGCCTTCCAGCTACTATATCACTCACTTTGATATCATCTTCCCATCAAATATAGACACAAATAGTTTCTAGGATTATAATTCGAAAGATGCCAACTGTTAAACAACTTATTAGAAACACAAGACAGCCAATCAGAAATATTACGAAATCCCCCACTCTCTTGGGGGATGTCCTCAGCTCAGCGACAGCGAGGGCTCGAAGTATTTGGTCAAAGCTAAATCAAATTTAAGAGGGTGGTTGAATACGTCCTTCCTTAACTCCATAGACAGACATGGTTACATAATGGGAAAGCGAATTCCCAAATTCGTCAAATTCATACCCGAACCCATCTTGTCCTTACACAGTAAAACTCTAGTACAAAGTCCCAATTCAAGCCCCGTGAAAGAGAGTCGAGCTTTATCGAAGCGCTTTCGCGCGTCCATTAGACCAAGTGCCGCACCGTTCACACTTCGGTTTACCCGTTCCCACGTTAATCACTGCAACTAACCCTAAAATAGACCGCGTCGATTACATTTACGTAGGACCCCTTTTTGGAAAATTTAATGTCAGGGACTCTTCTCGGAAGTGTGCGTGCGTGTGTGTGTGTTCGTTCGTTTTGACCACGCGGGGTATGGGAGTGGCGTTACCTGCTCTGCTCCAAGACCTTCGGCTGACCGTTGACCCTCCACCATTCGAGGAGTACAAGTCAATGACCCAAGGCTTTAGTTTATTGATTCGATTGGATCGGCATTTACGGAAACACGGCCTCACGAGAAACACATTGATCCCACATAAATAATCTGCTTGGAGTAGGGTTTGTTGACGATTTCAATGACAAGTTAGGTGGTGTACAATTCTTCTAGATTCCTCGAAATTTTTTACTTGAAAAGTTCTCTTTTGCGTCGGGTACCTGGGATATCTTGAAAGTGGGGCGTGACTGATTTGTCGGCCCCGAATTGAGAAGAGCCCGTACCCTCGAGTCGAATCGGAGGCATTTGGTCGGAAATGAGGAGGCTATGCAAATTGGGTTGTCGAACTTTTATCGGGTATTGAACTCTATTCAATGAATAGGGAAAGTTCATCCCGTGAACAAGATGGACGATATAAGGGTGATGGTTGGAGAGAAAATATATGAGATAGGAGATGAGACAACACGAAGTGCAGAAGTACAGAAACTATAGGACAACATCGGCTCTAAGTTCTAGGCTCATACCAAGTTTAAAAGAGAAAAAAAGGTCTTTCTTGACTGCCCAGTGTCCATCCCAACGCAAATTCCCAAATGACTGACGTTAGGTGATTACACACCAGTTTCGAATACGCACAAACCTTAGCAATAAACAAAAGGACGGAGAGATAGAGAATCGATGAATACTCAGCCTCACATAAGTCCGAGAATCCATCAGGAGTACTGTAGTTTCCTAGCTACCACGGGAATAGGACCAGTCAATTCGACGATCTTTCCAAGTTTATGGTCTTCTTCTCTCACCTAAAGACTTCCTCAAGTGTCGGGCTACATTGCATTTGCAATTTTGGGGGATTAGTTTCTCACATGTCACTCTATATGTTCTTTATCCGGTCCAAAACGCGATTTTTTTTTTAATAATAAATTTCCGGTGAATTGGATCTCGTGTGAAGCAGGCACTCTTCGTTATGGGAATTACTTAGCAAATGAAGTTGATCACGAAGAATTACATGAGCTCGAACTCTTCCTAATTGTAGGGTGTGAAGGGAAGTCGGACAATCCTGAACTGTTCCCTGCTGTCTGAGGGACAGTTTTCCTGACCAGATCGATCGGAATTCGTGCTGGATTGAGCACCCATGTGTCAGCAAATTTAGCAAATTGTTGATTACTAAGATAAGACAATTGATACTAAAAGCAGATGGCGGCACGTCTCCCTCTATTTTGGTGAACACTTTACTAAGATAATCCCAATTGCAACCATCGAACCTGCAATTAGTTACTCACCACTATCATCATTTCACCGTAATAGAATATCGAGTCCGATAATTAGTGAAGGTTTGCAGATTTACTCACAATTGAGCTTTCCATGTGCAAGTCTCGCTAGACTAAATAATACGGGCACATAAGTTGCCATCATAGCCTATGCATAGATTGGACATTCGTCCTTTGCGAGATGTCATCACAATTTTGATAATTGACAGAAACCGCATGTGACTTTCGAAATCTATCCTTCAAACCAACAAAGAGGGACGATAAAGAAACTGTCGTACCCAGAGAACTTATTTCCAAGTCTCGGCCTTCATCAGTAACCTAAGATCAGAAACCCTAAAGCCCTGTGCATATACCAGACGAGAACCCACTTTTGCATATCTACTCCCAAAGATGCTGAAGTTTGAAACATGAAAGGGCCATCTGGGGAATTTGGGAAGTAACACTACCTGTTCATAAAGAAGGATCCGATCTGGCCTCAGGCAATATAGTGAAATTGGCAAAGAGGAAGGAGATAAATAGAACATCTCTGAACACTTCCACACTTCGAAGTCTCAAAGATTCAAGACTTTTTCCTTTTTCGGTTACTGGACCGCTTTCTTTACAAACTATTATGTACTCTCTTTTCTCGTATTCCTTCCTCTGTATTCAATGCCCTAAACAAGTACCATCATGATACACTCGGCGTAAAATTCCCCTTCCACCAAAACGGCCCAATCAACATCTTAAGTTACATTCATCAGTATCCCTGAGCCACTCTCTCAACCTCCCCCCCAACCCCCCCAGAGCCCCGACGTGAATCATTTTCCACGCTGCCAAACAGCTCTCCCGGCTCTGTCGAATGTCTTCCCTATTTGGCCAAGAAAAATGTTGCACTTCACACTTCTATGCTATAAAAAGCAGGTCTTCATTTTCTGTATACCATGAGCCGGTTCAACAGTTCTGAGAAGTACAAATGGCAAAAGTACTATTAACAAAGCACGGTAAATGATTGAAACTTTCAACATAAAGACAGATGAGCACAATTTTATTTTAAGTCTCAGGCAAGCTCTTAAATGTCCTCAGGCATCTCAACCAGAAAACCCAAAAAAAAAAAGGTAAGTGCTTGAAATGTCACGCATACTTACCATAGCTTTATTCAATGCGTTTCAAGAGAGCTGTACAACAGACCAGCACAAGGGAAGCTCTTGAATTGGCTTTGTCTCCAAACACAGTGCATGTCACGTGGAAGTTCGATTTCCTTTAGAAACCAAATGATCGGGCCATCTTTTTAGGATCTCAGCCTCTCTAGCCACTTGGACATCAGAAGGCCAAAAAGTTTGCCGCACCACTTTGAAAAGAAATCGAGGGAGTAATGCTATTACGATTATTAGGCAAATGGTGAGCCAATATGAAGGTGATTTTGCCAGATGATAGATGGTCCTGAAAATAAGCATTAAGAAAATCAGCTAAAAGATAGAAATAAAGAAACCATATTAAGTCACAAATATATGAGACTGACCAGTAATTCGGAAAGACCGGAATGGAATCTAAAACCACCATACAGGCATATGTAATGACAATTGATCCCCATACAGCAATATGCGTGATCGATACCCATCTTTGAATGTCCATAGCTAAGTGAATGTTGACGAGAACAACAACTGATATGGTCCATAAACTGCCCATGCTCCATATGTCAATTGAGCTCTCACTGTACATGAACAGCGGTATGTAAAACAAAACAAGACTCTGCCATAGTGTATCAATCATCGTAATCCAGAAAAGATGCAAATTGTAAGCCTCGTGTCTATGCCCAGCACCATAAAGTTTCGGATACTGCAAAAGTGTCTTATGGCTCAAGTCCTTGTCCCAAATGCCAACTACGATTGTTGGAACTGAAGTGTATATGACAGAATAGAACACACTACTCCAGTCGGTTAAGGCAGAAGTAGTTGAAAAGGCTGTACACAAAATATACCTGCAAACACACCAAGAAATGAACAAAAAAGAAAGATAAGACCACAGCCATATGCGGGAGCTGACCATGTTTTCATAATTTAATAGCAGAAAAGCTTTCAAAAGGCCCCAGGCCTGATTTACAGCTCATATGGTAAAACAAATTAACAGCTAGCATAAAATGAAGCTTCCACCTTTTCTCCAGTTTTACAACCAAGCACCACATGTAGCCAAAAATATGACAAAGCAATTATCTACCAAAAAATCATTGCATAACGCTCTGAAGAGATGCTTTTCAGCAATGAATTTTTCAAAAAGAATCAAAGCAAGCATTGCCAGGAATTCTGTCCCCAAAATATTGAAGTTTCATGGTTAAAAGAGGGGAAATGGGAGGCAGAAAACCAAGTGTGCCACTTTAGGCCCCCCATAACACGTGCATTTGTTTGGGTCCTAGTCGAAACATATGTCAAAGCTATCATCAAGTAAATACAGCTGGACACTCAAAACGAAACAAAGAGGCGTACCAGAAAAGCATCAAGACAAAAACAGCATTTCGGTAGAAGTTGTACAGAACGAGATAACCAATTCGCTGGTAATTCCAGTGACCATGCACCAGAAGTAATCTTTTCAGAAACCGAAATTGCCCCATAGCAAAATCTGATGCCATGACTGCCTGACGCCCTTCCTGACCGCATATTCCAACACCAACATCAGCCATTTGGATCATGGATACATCATTTGCCCCTATCAAAATTCAATTAGTTAGACAAAACCAAGGATAGATATATGAGCTTGCTAATGTCAACTTTTGTACTAGACTGTAATTATCAACTAGCTTCTCAAATGGCCTAACGCGACTGAGAATCGAGAACTAAGGAAGCACAGCGATTGACACAAACAGCATGCACATGCTACCAGCTGAAGTTTGAAGAAGACAGCATACCATCACCAATAGCCAGTGTCATATCATCGGTCCTGCTCTTAATCAAGTCAACTATCCCAGCTTTTTGCAAGGGTGCAACACGACAGCACAGGACAACACTACATGAAGTTGCCAGCTCAAAAAGCTGAAGAAAAAACGAAATATTAGTAATACTTCCGCAAGTGATTCTCAAATACATCTGAAACTCTCAAAAGTTAGAAAAACATCCGTTAGACTATCAGTGATCCTTCATAAAATTGAATTGCAGCATCTACTAAATAAAAAGCAAACACATGCCTCTGACTCCAAATCTTTCTCCAAAATGTAAACCAAACTGTTGCCATCAATAATGAGTGCCAGTGGCGCGTTTGGTTTGACTTCTTCCTTGAAAACAGTCCACTGGGGAATCTGGGAAGACTTTGTATGAAGAGAGACCTCATGATAGCCATTTTCAGAATTACTTCCCCTTCCAAAATCTTCATTTCTTCTACTCAATGATTTCACTCCATACTTGTTTTTGGCACCAACTAAAAGATTTCTGCACTCAGCCTCTGAGATGCCATTAATGATGATTTGTTGCATGTCCATCGTCAGTAGCTTGCAAGAGAGTCCAATAGAAATCGCTGTTTCCTGCTTATCTCCAGTCAGAACCCAGACCTTAATTCCCGCTTGCCGGAGAGACTCGATGGTTTCAGGAACTCCATCTTGCAACTTGTCTTCAATTGCAGTTGCACCAAGAAGATTTAGGTTACACTCAATGAGAGCAGCCGTTTGACGAAGCTTTGCAGCTCTATCTGTCAAGGAAGTGCTGGCATCTTCATACCTTGACTGCCACAGCTCAAGTTCTGCAACAGTAAGATCTCTTGCTGCAACGACAAGTGTACGTAGACCTTCTGATGAATACTCAATCAGATGTTCTTGAGTTTCTTGCCATATATGATCATCTCTTTCAGTATCTTTCGAAATAACACTGAACATAGAGGTGTCAGCTCCTTTCACAAGCACTTTCACAGCATCGTTGGGAAACCTTATAACAACAGACATCCTTTTGCGCACGCTATCGAACTCATGCAGTCCCAAAACATCCAACCTATTTCACAGGTGTGCAAGAAACTGCCAAAGTAAGAACAATTGTATGCTAGATCTCAATCCGTGGCAAAAAAATACTGGCAAACAAAACCCAAAAAGTTCCATTCTACTACTAATCTAATCATATAAAAGAGACCATTGACTAATTAAGCACTCAGTGAGCATGTGTATGTGTACGAGAGAGAGAGAGAGAGAGAGTACTCTACCTTAGTGTCTTGCCATTCACATCAATAACAATATGCCCAGATGTTCGCTCAAAAAGAGTGTATCCATAAGCAGATGCAGCAGCAACTAGTGCCTGCTCATCTGGAGATTCACCCTGATAATCAATTGTTACCATGTCATCTTGTAGGATTGGGATCACGGTGTTGCATGCAGCTAGTGTCAGGAAAAACTCATGTGCGGCAAGCCTTTCTCCTTCAATTACTTCTTTGTGCAATAACTTCATAAGTTCAGGATCAACAGCGATTTCTGACTTGAGCTTCCACCTTGGTGTCCCCATACCTCTCTCTACAGAAAGACATGCCAAATTGATAATATGTTGGAGAAGATCATAACATAATCTTAGATAAACGTATGTGAAAAATGTATTGTAACAAGAATATAGTGAAATACAAAGCACATGTTCAGACAAAAGTAAACACTATGTCGTACAGTTAGCATACTAACAGATAGCAATGGATCAAAAGATCAGTACCTGCAAATATACCAGAAAGAAACACCATTGAAACTTTAAAACAAATTCACATATAGATGTTTGATTCCTTGAGCCAAAAAAGGAAGGTTGAGACTAATCATCTGGTCTCTTGCTGTAGTGTGTGGAGCAAAATAAAGAAAAGGAATTGCAGATAACAACAGCTCCAACATAACAATTCATTAGAACAACATCAAATAGTGCCACGACAGATATCATCTTTATTATTGATTACGAGATTACGACTCTTTGACCTCAAGTTATAAACAAGCCCATGGTACAAATTTCAACCCTTGTCCTGCAGTAAATTTGCATCACATGGTCAACAAGTAGGAGTTTTTCGTCCTAGATGTGTGAAACATTTATCCTATACAGATTGGTTCCAAACATATACATGACCCTAGAAGCAGCAGATTTAATAACTTGACAGAGAGGATAAAATAGAATTATATATACATAAACAATTAAGTTCAAAACCTTACCAAAAAAAATAAAAATACCTTACCAAAAAAAACAATTAAGTTCAAAATGCAATCGAAAAAGAAACGCCACAAGCATCGTCTGCAAAGTAGAAGAAACAGAATCTATACCTGTAATGCTGGTCTCCAGCGATGGCAAAGAACTCTCATAGCTCTTACCACAGACACTAGCTTTTCGGAATTCCATCTTGTTTTCAGTTAATGTGCCAGTCTTGTCAGAGAAGATATAGCGTATCTGGCCCAAATCTTCATTTATGTTCAATGATCTACACTGGAACCTTGATCCAGAACTACAGTCATACATATGATTGTCTCCGATCATGAAATAGGATTGTCCTAATCGAACTAATTCCATCGTAATATAAAGAGATATTGGAATCATTATCTGAAATACTATGATAGAACTGAGGAATGAAAAGAAAGTCTCCATGGGAATTCCATAATACTTGTATGTCTTCCCGTCATCTTTTCCCATATTGAAATTTCTCTTTCTGTAGAACGGCAAAGTATCAAGCTGATACTTGTGTTGTACAAGCCATAACCCCATTCCAATTGCCACAACCACACACATGATGAAAAGAAAAATCGACAGCCACATGGTTTCCCTGTTCATATAACTTTCTAGTTTACTCCTCTTGGAAGGGGATGCTGCGCTGTTCAGCATGGCTTTTGTTTCCTGTCCAGTGTACACGACAACACCAATCACCCACTCTGTGTTCTTCAACTGACAACCTCGCAAAACAATGTTAGACTGGCTGAGAGAAAATTTATTCCCATTAAACTCCATGTTCGCTGTGAATTCATAGATGTTTCTGTTTGGTTGCTCGCAAGTAACCACTCCAGAGATCCCGCAACCTTCAAACACAGCTGAAGCAGTTTCCTGCCTTGCATATCTCGTCTTCAGGTTGGACTCGCCATCCAAATTCATTGTCTGAATGTACGCAAGCCCACTAGGGTCACTTGTTCCCAGCAAAACCATGTCACATGGAATTGTTTCATCCGAACAAATTTTCACCACCTCGCCTGCTTGTATATTTTTCCATCTCTTCAAATTAAACTGACCTCCCTGAAGCACTAGTGCTTCCCGATTATTCTCTTTCCGGTCTGACCTGTGCCTTCGCCAGTCCTCATAGCCATCCTTAACAGCCGTGACGGAAAGCACAAAGAGAAGGGGGAAAAGAGACACCGTTCTCCCGAAGACTGCAAGTGGAGGGAGTTGATTGAGAGCAGCAATGGCAAGGAAATATAGGTATGCAACGCGATGGAATTGAATGAAGAGATTCTTAGGCAAAAAAGTGATGATAGTATATCTGCTAGTTCGGATTTCATTGTCAGAGAAGTCGTAAGTGTCATTTGTCCTCCTTGGATCATCGATATAAATCAATCTGGAGTTCTCTTCATGAAACAGGTTCTCTTCAAACTGCGTACTTTTGTGCCGTACTCTTTCAGACTTACTCCTCTTGTTCTGAGCCACCGAGGAGGCCCCAGAAATTTCAAAAGTGGCGAAACTGTTGTTGTTAGATCTGGGCAGCTCCATTGAACCCCACGCTACCTGCCCTTTCCTTCCCTGCGTGGGGCATTCCAATGGAAACCGCTGGTGATGGTGCAAGTCAGCTGAATAAAACTGCTTCTTCGCTGCAGGTCGATAGGTTCGTGCAAGTGGTTTATCAGGAAAGATGTCTGAAGGCGATGAGTCTCCTTCTTCGCTTGTCAAATTGCTCTGTTTGTCATCGAGAATAGACGACGTGAACGAAGCATCCCGGCAGAGACATCCAAAGGTGCCTACACTCTTATCAGGCTTAGAAGATTGCGCCACCGGTGGAGGATCTGAGGATGACAGCAATGGCAGGCCAGAAGTCATAAATAACAATCCTCCAACGACCACATTGGAGAACCGGATGCATGAACGGCTGGACTCCTAAAAATTCAGGAAAGAGAAGGGTAAAGCACACCGCATTGCAGAGCATTTCCATCCGCAGAGAAACCAAAGTTAGACCGACACAGCCGGGATTCACAGCTCAAAACACGAAGATCCATCATTTAAACTCGCTCTTATTCCACTCAAATCGACCAGGACCATCCCAACATCTCAAAATTCATTACACCAACGCCATTCAAACTTTAAAAAATGGGCAATGCCAAAAACCAACGCCATGCAGATGCTGAGCATAAAGGCAATTATCGCCCAAAAATTCATACCCAGAAGGCCCCCGCACGCTTCTAGCAGATAAGTTCCTTCTCAACTTTTCTTCCCATCCGACCCCAAAAAAAAAAAAAAACCAAAACTTTTCTTTCTAAACGAGATAAATTACGAGCTCAGTTGCGGACAAAAAGAGCCTCTTCCCGAGTTCATCATTTTACAAGCAGAGAAACCCGCAAATGCAGATGATTGATAATCCCAAAAAGAAAACCACCCCAATTCACTTCAATGTCGACAAAATTCACACGGATACAATGGAAACAGACTGCCAAGACCGCAAAACAAAAAAAAAAAAAAAACCGACAGAAGAAAAAGAACCCAAATTGACTCCCCAGAAAGATTAAAAAAACGAAAAAAAAAACCCTAGTCCCGCGATCGAATTGAGCTGAAAAGGGTCTGAATCCCGCAGCTAAACGATGCGGCAAAGAAACCGGAAAAGCACGAACCTCCGCGGGATCGAGAAAGCTCTATCGCCTCGGGGAAGCGAGGGGGAGGGGGGTGGGGCCACCAGCTGAACGGGAGGCCTCGCTTCGGGCAAATCCGCAGCCCGATTCCAATCAATGCACTGACTACGACGAAATCAATTGGCCAAAATGTCAGGGCGCACAGAGGAGAGGGCAGGCGGCAGGCATTGATTGAAATCGTCGCAGATCTGGGAGGTTCTCCTGCGCAACGCGCGGGGATCCCCTTCTTATCCGGGACGGAAGCGGAGCACCTCTTCTCACCGCGCCCGAACCATCAGGATCGGGATCGGATCAAAAGCCCTTCCCTCCCCCACCTTCCGGCCCTTCCTGCTGCCCATCTGAGCGCGCGCATCGGACGAAGCGACGGGGGGCCGAGGCGAACGTGAACGGAGCTAGGGCTCAGGGCTCACCCACAAACGCACGGAAGAGAGAGAAAGAAGAGAGAGAGACAGCGAGAGCTTCGAAGGTTGGAGAGGAGAGAGAGAATGGCGTCTCTGCGTCTGCGTCTGCGTCTGCGTCTGTGTGTCACGAAAGGCGTGGCCGACGGAGGAAGACAGAGGAGGACGAGCGGTGCACCATCAATCTTGGCTTTTTGCTGCCCCCCCCCCCCCCCTCGAAATCGAAAATTTATTCCCCCCCCTTTCTTTTCACACAAAATTTTTTTTATAATCGCTTCCTTATTTTTCTTTGCATCAAATTTCATGAGTTCAAATTAGGTAAATCACTTGACCAAAAGAAAAAATTAGGCAAGTTATTTAAGCTTCTCTGACCCAAAAAATTAATTAAGCTCCCAAAAATAACGTCGTATGTGTAGATATATCGAGTTTAATTTTGTAGAGATGGGCATCTAGTAATTAAGAAAAGAAATTTTTAGCGTATTATAAAAATTCATCATATATATATATACACACGTGCACGTGATTCATGATTATTGATATGCATATTCACTTCATTTATAAAGGCTAGATGGGGTAATTTTGTAACGAACGAGTAAAGCTTCCTGATCGGCGCGGATTGACGATTTAAATTCCGTATCCTTGCTTGCTGAATTTTGGTTCGGTGCCTTCCGTTATGCAGTTGGGTCGTTGAATTTTTAATATGCGCAATCCAATCTTTTCGCATTAAGACGGTTACGCGTGTCGGCGTCGGCGTCGATATGATCATGCTTAATACGAGATTGGAAAGTTTTTATATTCCCTAGTAAATGCTGACAAAACAAGAAGATATGCCCCTATATAAGGTTTTTTTTTCTTTTATTTGGCGAAAAAAAATGTATTAGTATTTTTTTTATATACTTTGACTCCACGGAAGAGAAGTGGTTGGCACGAAAATTTTGGTGAAGGTAAATTAGAATTACCGTTGAACGAACAAGCTCAAATTGTTACATAGTTGGTAAGACTTGATTTGAACTCTGGGGCGGTTGTCTTGCCATCCTTTTGAACCGTCGTTTTATCCATTATTTTTAACAAGATATGGTTAAAAAACCATAACAAGATGCGGTTATCATTCGAATCACATAACGTGTGTGGATAATAAATGATGCCGGGGGTTCTGCCGCCAACGGGAGCGGCGCGACCCCCTTTTCGGTGGCGGGCGAGGGTTGCGCGGCACTTGTCGAGGACGGGGGGACGTCCCGGCGAGCGCCAAGGTTTTCAGTGGCGAGTGTCGCCGATGGTCGTAAGCTAGAGAGGCGGTGCAACTGACAAATTCAGCCGAACGCTCGAGCAATAACTCGAAAAAAGTCAGGAGAATTATTGCGTAATTGGTTAATGTCGATCCTTTCCGGTTGAAATCGTGCGTAAAAACGATATTGTCGTGAATTAACAAGATGATATTTCCATTTAATTTATTCGTCAGGAGAGACCTGTCTTTTTGAAGCGAGAATTGATTTTTCTTGATATCTAACATAATGCATGAAAGGATCTTTGGAGAACCTCATGATGCACCGAAGATCATTATCGAAGAAGACTTCGACAAAATGCTCTATCTTTACATAGAAATATATTCGCTCAAAAATGATTCTCGAAGGTGTCAAACCGTGAATGAGAAGATTGATTGCGGAGAAAAAGAAAAACGAAATTCTTATTTCGCGTATACGAGACTTCTATAGGAACAAGAATAATCTTCTTGGATTATCTTTTGAAAAAATAGTAATGTGCTTGTAACAAGACCATTCTCACTTCGAGCACCAGTGGCCACCGCGCGGCCACCGGCAAAGGTCGCCGGAGCAAGCCAGGTGGAGTGCATGAGATGATACCCAAAAACATACGAAAAGAGTAACTCTCGATACTATCAATCACTTTCCCTCCAAATTTCAGGCAATAATTGGCAGCAAACACTGATTCAAAAACATCTTCGATCGGGGAATTTCACAGAAAGATGTGTTTTTTGATGTTTTGCGAGGACGGCAATCGTCGGTCAAGGCGATACCGACCGCCGATTGATTAGAAGTCTCAACAGCGACGACCGACAAGCCGATGGAGGCTCATCGCAATTACGGTTATACCCACTGGGATGGTTGTGTGCCAATGGAAAGTTTTCGACATGCATTATATTAGGCATAGATCTAACATTGCTTAATGTGAAACTCACCCAATCAAGTGAATATTGAACAGTTGTTGCATCTAGTAACCGGTCATGTGGCCATGTCGGTGGCTGAGTTCGCAAGTTTAATGCCCTAAACGACCCACAATTTTAGTTTCGGTCCCAATTCTATCTTAACCTTTTCCTCATCTCATAGAAATCCCAAACTATAGGTCTAATCTCAATTATACCTTAAACTTTTTTTTGTCTCATAAAAGATCGTAAACCTTTACTTGAGTCCCATATCTGCGTACGTTAACCTTCCGTCCAAAATTTCTCTTGACAATCCCGAGTATGAGTTGTTCGAGGGCCCGACGCCGAGTGTCTCGAGTGCGAGCTCTTCGACAATGAGAGATGGAAAATTCCCGAGCGCGAAAAATTAAAGACCGAGCGCAAAATCGAAGATCCCCGAGCAAGATGGAAGGAAGAAAGCCAAACCCTAATTAATTTAGCTTTTACCCAAATTTCAGACCAATAGTACGTCATTTGGGCTTATATGGAAATTCGTCTCCAAAATATATTTTCTCGGATATGAAATTCAGGAAAAAAAAAAAACTTGAACAATGACATGGAAATGCCACGTCCTAAAGTTGGGAGGATTTTTTATGAGATAAAAAAAATGTTCGGGATTGAATTGAGATTGTACCTAAAGTTGTGGTGTTTTTTTTAGAGGTATTAGGCCCTCAAAAAAAAAAAGCAAAAGTGTGGTTAATCAGAAAATGCTAGACGTTCTAACCTTATCTGAATGAAATAGATTTTTTTTATATCTTTTGACAGAGACACGTGGGGGCTTTGGAATGTCACTGTCGCTATAAAGAAAAGCCAGTTTGGGGAAATCTGAGGAGGACTTGAACATTGGAAATCCTGCCACTTTTCTTGTACTCTTCTGTCGTCCTCATAATTTAAACCCTCGAAACTTTCGAGATCGAGCAGGTCCGATCTCATTGAATTCGGGATATGACCCAAAATTTAATGCAGAGATGAAGTCTCCCATTTCCAACTTAAAACCATGTTTCTCTTTTGTTCGTTTGGATATTCACATTGAAAATCTTAAAATTTATCACGATAATCTAATCGAGCCCTTTAATTAATTACACTTTCATGATAAATTCTAGGGATTTGATTGCACTTTTTGAAAATTTTAGAACTAGGGATTTGATTATACTTTTTGAAAATTTTAGAATATAATTGTACTTTCGCAACAAGTTTTATGACTTCTAATGTATTTTTTTTTTTTATGACAAACCAAAACATGCACGCACTCTTCGAAGACATCTCAATCTCGTGTCATGATGTGTGTATTTGGGAGATGGTTTGAAGAGTCTCATGGCCCCTTATAGCTTTTGTTCGTTTTCTTTAACTTAGCCGATTTATCATGAAACGTGCTATAAAAGTCTCGAATCTATCGTGCAATTGAATCGATAGCGCCAGCTAATTGAATCATACGCCTTTCGGAAAAGGTGCAACGAAGATTATACGTCCGCTTATCTCTATATATCAAGATGGGTAAGTCGAAAATATGTTGATCGCACATACAAGGGAGATTAGCTTCCAATGTTACTTTCAACTTCATCTACTCTTACTTTTTAGTCCCACTATCAAGCTTTTTCTTACTTTTATTGGAGTTTGTTTCTTCTCTCTATGCAATGGCCTAAAAGTAAGTTTTATTTTATATGTACTTTGCAAGAGACGATTGGCATAACAAACACAATACTTTAGAATATCCTCGGTAACCAAGGGCCTGCCATGGATCCTTAGCGGTGGTTACCAAGGATATCTCACCACAGCAGGGGAAGCAAGCTTCCAACTAGGGTCATCTTGCTTGTCTAGGTATAAACATCCGACGGGCTAGTCAGAACTGCGTTCCTTATTTTAACGTGCTAGTGCCAATATGTCCAGTCCTCCTAATTGAGGAGAAAGTTTTTCTTTCCTCTCCCTAGGAAATACCTCCGAAATTTTACGTCCAAGAGTTCAGATGTAGCCTTTAAGGACATTATAAAGTATGTACTTTCACCTTCATCTACTCTTACTTTCTAGCCCTACTTTCAAGCTTTTTCTTATCTATACTTCTATTGGAATTTTTCTCTTTTTCTATGCAATTGCCAAAAAGTAAGTTTTTTTTATATGAACTTTGCAAGAAACGATTGACGCAACAAACACGGTACCTTAGAATGCACTATATGAAAATCAACGTATTTGATTTCCATTAAAGTTATTCTTATGTGTGCTAAATTTAATTTTTATCGACTATATAATTTATCATTAACTTTGGACATGAATTTGACAAATTATTTCCATAATAATTCCATTGGTTTCCCCAGTTGTTTGCTAGCTTCATCTGATATGCTATATATCAATTTATATAAGTAGAGTCTCGAACTGTTTATATCTCAATTAATAGAATTTTTTTGTTCAGGAAATTTAAAATAAAAGTGTACGACTCAATAGAGACACTTAGACCTTCCAGCTTCTCGCAAGATACCTGATGGTCAAACATTTTCTTCCTTATATTTGTACTTTCGAGTCAGAAATAAACAGAAGAGTACAGAAGTTCTTGCAAAATTTTTGCAGATTGCCCTAGTGAGGTGGATTAGGGAAATTCGACGGGTGACTGAGGCCGTCCCGCCTGTCTAGGTATAATTTGCCCTAGTGAGGTGGATTAGGAAAATTTGGCAGGTGACTAAAACCGCCCCACCTGGCCAGGTGTATACACCTAACAGATTAACACGGTTGCGTTCTTTATTTTAATATGCTAATACCCGCACGCTAGCCTCCCGATTATAAAAAAAAATTTCTTTCCTCTCTTTCGAGAATACCCCGCATTTTCCATATCAGAGTTGAGCCGAAGCCTTTTAAGGTCTTACTTAGGACCAAAGGGCTTGTAAGTGCTTTTACGAAAGCAGCCTCGCCTTCAATGTGAATCCTTGGTTAAAAAGGCAAAAGCGTGAACAATCATATCCGCTTTGCGAAACTGGTTTTCTCTCGTAAATTACTAACGTTAAAAGGAAAGTTACCGATGCAAAGGTGACCAAACTTACATTTAATCACGAAAAGTTACGAGTAAAGAAAATAAATAATGCATAGTTGCATAGCTTAAGAAAGTGAGATTAATCACGTTTTAGGATGCCAAGCCCACAACATAGTTGCAAAGCAGATGACATAAAGAAAGATTTGGATGACCCGTCCTGTTTAGGATGACCAACCTAGTCCAACATTTTCAGCGATATAAATGCAGGCATGTTTTTTAAGAAAGTGGTCGACCTTAGGTGAATTAACATGAAGTAGAGGAATGCTGAAGTAGAGAACAGAAACAAAGGAGAATATCAGAATAGAAAGTAAAATAGAATGTAGGCAACTTACAAGCTGGTAATTCTAAAAGAATCTTCCCCAACAGATGTAGCGGGCGCTAATTCACCGGAGCCGAAGTTTCATTTTGCTGTAAACGGAGTTGTTCTCGATGACATAATAATCTATCAAGCAGTCGTGACAATGAATATTCTTTTTTATCTGAGTCGAAGATGGAGATCGCAAAACAGCAAAGGAGAGCTGAAAAGTATGAGGCTAAACCTATTGTGTGCGCCGTGCATATATGGATCGAGAGATCAGTAAAAGTTTGGAGAGTTGAACTTCAGTCGGATTACTAAGAGCAGCAGCCAATGATGCCAAACAAACTCAAAGTTTATACAAAAGATGCTTGAATTACATAGGTGATTTGTAAAATTAGATAACCAAACCAAAAGTTTGGCCTGGTGATTAGATAAACCTCAGTCTTGAATCAGCGTTATCCTGCTCGTTAAATATATATGAGAAAGATAGTGCAAGAATGCCTACCGGATTAAGTGAGTGTCCCCATCACTTCTAAAAAGATACAAATGCTTCCTAAAAGTTACTGCTGCCTGCTTGAGCTCGAGACTCGTAGAAAAGTCTCACGGTTGAGTAGATGTGTGAAGGTTCGGCCATTGCCCCATTTCCGTAGTCACCACAAGCTAGCCTCTTTGATACAGGAGGAATCAGAGAAATTCCGAGCTCATCAACTGTCATAAGATGCCGCTCCGTGAACGGGTTATTCCACATGAGTGTGTTCATAGCTGGGGCAACAAAGAGGGGCTTGGCGTAGTCCCATGCTCGTACTATGCATGTTAGCAGATTGTCACACAAGCCTCCTGCAATCTAGAATGAGACGGCACAAAGAACTAACAAATCAGAATCTTTCTCCATAACCAAAGGAAAGACGATTAAATGAACTAAGAGAAATTGAATGACTTCAATATGAGTCTGAGATGAGCACAAAATGAAATTTTTTTTATAGGATAAACATTTCTGCCGTCTCCAGATGACCCAACGGCACATTGAAGTATATAACTTCAGACACTAACCAAGAAATAACTCAATGAACCAAGTATCTAGTACGAAAAAAAACAAGAAGAATATCTAGATTGCTCGTATGATTTACCTTGCCCAGTGTATTCGCTGATAGCGGAGCAATGATCATGATATCAGCCCATCGGCGCAGCTCAATGTGAAGGACGCTGTCCCCTATTTTATTCCAACTTGACCACTCATCCTCATCAGTGTAAAGGACTACATCCCTGGGCAGTGATGCTCTATCAATGAAATGTAAAGAAGCCCTAGTGGCGACTGCTTTCACTTCGGCCCACTCGGAGAAACAATGACAGAGGTTCCCAAACTTGATTGCGGCCACGCTTCCACTAGCGGCCAGCAATATCCGCGGCTTCCTTGGACCACCATTGGCTGGTAATGGCCCTCTTTCAGTACCTGTAGTTTCTGCCAATGCCATTTACACCTACCGATTGAAAAGGAAAAGCAGGAACATCATCAGACACAATCTGTAAAGTGTGCCCAACAAATCAGTCAAAATAAGATCTCGATGCTGATCAATCGACACATCTAAGCAAGCAAAGTCCAACCGTGACACATAAGTAAAACAGCACCTTCTCAAAACACTGTATAAGAAAGCTAACTCTCAAAAAAGGCTTGCAGAGAAATAATGACAACTCAAAGCAGTACCGGGTCTCCGATTTCCTCATTCTACAAAAGTAAACATATTCTAGCATGGTGATCATAACGATACGAGATTCTCGATAGGAACTGCACCATTAGTGCCAATTTCATGGTTATGTGATTTGAATCTTAAACTGAAGTATCGCTGAATTCGCGATAAGCCCGTGCCCGCAATCGAGCAGACGTAAATCCATCTCACTCGATCAGCAAATGCCTCATCCAGTAAAAATAAGATCAGATACCTATCAAAACCCTTCCACATTCTCAAACAAACAACCCCCGAAACCTCGCCGTCGGTAAACGCCCCTCCCACTCCCACTCCCACCCCCACTTTCCGCTTCACGTCACAGCAGAAGCGAACACAGGCGCATAATTGACGCCACCCGTCACGGCGGGGCCACGTTACCGTTTTTGCTCATTCAAATCCCACACGCTAGCTAACAACACCCCTTTTTTCGTTCACCAGTCAACACCCAAGAACAGCACTCAGGCCGTTGCGAAAGAGAATTAGAAGAGGGTACACTTCAAAAGTCCTCCGAACAAGCTAGACGCAACACGCGCGCAACCGGAATCGGCCAATGTGAAAAAAAGAAAAGAAAAAAAGAAGAAGCAGCATAGCAACACCACGACCAACCGCCTGGAAATCGGAGATCGGGAGGTGGGGATCGAGCCCACGACGGCGGCGCTAGGGCTCTCGCAGGTGGAAACGCGCGTAATTGAGAGAGGGGAGATCGCTAGCTACAGCAGCCTGTGATCACACTGAGCAAAAAGGCAAAAGACTGCTTACAAAAACGGAGAGCCGCCGCCGCCGCCTAGAAGGCACAGACCCCCGAGATCCGCGCGGTTGGCTCGCGACGGCCGGCGACCGGCGACCGGGGGGCGCGTGCGGGCCGCCGAGAGGTTGAAGAACCGGCCTGCCTCGCGATCGGTCACTGGAGCTCCGGTCTAGCGGTTCGGGGATGGAAGAATTTAGAAGGTAGAGAGAGAGAGAGAGAAAAGAGGGGAGGGGGGGATTTTTATTTTTTTTTGAGATTAGTGCAATTCGAATTCTAAAACTCGTGCAAGATTGTGCCTATTTAACAAATATTATGCCTTTATTATAAATTTTTTAAAATTTTAAGATTTAATTACAACTTTCAAAAATTTCAAAATTCAATAGGATTTTCACAACACTTATCCATTTTTCGTTTGAGTCGTCAGTGGGGACAGAATTTAAATGAGACTCTTATACTTCGAAAAAAAGTAAATAATAAATAAAAATGGCTGTATTTGTTATTGATTTTGGAATCAAATTAAAATTGCAAAATTTATAAATAAATAAATAAAAAGCCGCGAAGTCGAAAAAGTAGAAGTCGCTCCAAGCAGACCTAAAATTGAGAAGCGAAAAAAATGTAAGACGATTATTGGAAAAGTTTAGCTGGTGAACCTTCAATACTCCTTTAAGCTCACTAATTAGTAATTAATCACTTTTTTTTTTATCCGGGCAACGCATCCAAACAAAGAATTGCTATGCTGGGGACGACGCAGTGAACTCTTCCTTTCATTTAGGTAGCATTTATTACGTAAAAAATTAAATAATCTAAAAAATTATTTTATTACAAAATAATTACTTATAATGCTTACGAAAACGAATCAACAAAAAATATGTTTATCGTCCATAAAAATGATAAAAAAATAAATGACATGAAAAACATTTTACTAAAAAATAATCGCACATGCACTTTTATTTACTTGACAAAATGGACGATGTGGCCGTTGTTGCAACTACAATTGGCACTTAGCGACAACATGGCTCTTCAGACCTCACAGGTTTAGCGCAATAAGAGGCTTTATGTACATGGCTCAATCATAAAGAATCCCCAATGCAGTGGAGCAAAGATAAAGATAAGGAAAAAGCTACCAAATCATCATTCTTTAATCGCCTACTCTTTTGGCCTCCTTTCGCTCATCCGAATCTGCATCGAATTGCTGCTGTTTCCCGAGATCTGCTGAATGCTCCGTCGAAATCACTATAGTACTTGACAGAAAAGGCTCTCGCGGGCTCTTGCGAACCAATCAACGGGTAACGAGCACCTGCGAAGAGCTCTTTTATGGACTTCAACTGCCTCGTCCTATAGAGAAGGGAAAGACCACAAGGGAATGAGAAAGGACGTCCTCACGCTGGATGGTCGATGTAACGCACAAGACCCGTGCAAAGGCCCTCTACAAGGGTAATTATTGCACGCTCGAACCGGGGACACTGCGTAGGCTCGAGTATCATAAAAAGTCCATTGGAAGGTCCAAGTCATCCTGATTTTCCCTCGCTTTAGGACGGGATCTCCTGCGCTGGAATTCTCTTCTTGTGCGGCTGTCACTAGCTAATCTGTCAACTTCTTCGAGATCATAATATTCTTCAACTTCATTGATGGATTTCCCGACGTTCTGGGCACCCCACCAACCCTGGCACGTGAGATGATGGGACATGGACCAAAAAGCGAGTTAAGAGGTGCTTATATCAACTAGGATGTAGTCAGAGATGCTCTAGAGACCATCATTGAGCATGTAGCAAAGAAACAGCTGTTGATACGCTAAATGTTCTAGAGGACATGATAATTGGTTCGTGTCGATTCTGACGTACCTTTGTTAGCCTCTGTAAGCGCACTGCTGCAGCTTCATGCACAAATACTTTATCCGATGCAACTTCTAGCACATCCTCAACAAACAAAGCATAAGTACTCACCTGAAACAACAGCAACCATATATAAAGATGAATTTTGCAGTTGACACATATTCCATAAATACCCATCAAGACCCGATACAGACGCACACGGGTCCACGCACACATAGAATACTCAGTTTGCAAGATTCAAAAGGAATGCTTCACATACCAAACTTGATGGAATGATCGAGATACCAAATGAATCAAGCTCAAGGGACTCCAGAGCCCCTGAATTAATATTGAACGTATAACCTCTGACCTAGTAAATACCAAAAGGAAGTTCATTAAGAAAGATAACACTTGCAATGACACACTATAGCTCCTGCAAACATAGCTATAAAAAGATATAACTCCTGCAAAATATCATTATACCTTGCCAATACTTCTTCTGCCAGGAGTTACAACTTCATACCCTACCTAACAGAAATAGAAAGTTAAGTTCTTGATAGTAAACTTATGCACAAGATCGTGAAACACACAAGCAACTGATGCAGAAAAATTACAGTTTTCAGGTACAGGATTCATGTTCCCTTAATATTGCACGCTCGTCAATAGCCAACAGTTACAAAGGATTCACACTCCCTTTCTTGAAGGGGTTGTACAGATCAGGTACAGAATATAGCCAAACCACAACTCCACCATCCTTTTTATATGCGCATATTATCAGTTGATTGACTATGTTCTGTGCACCTCTCTGGAAAAGGTCAATTTTACAAAGAGATTTTAACCCAAATCACCGTCAATCCTCATTCAGGCCTTCCTATTAGGCAAGTTCCATCACAAGTTGAGCACATGATCCTACTTATGCAGATAAATAAGATGAGAATCAAGAGAGAAGGAACTATAGTGTACAGAAACATACCAATGTATCCAGCCCCACCATTTTCAACTCATTCTCCATTACCCTCTCATTCTCAACAAGCACGACATCACCGACCTGAACTACAAAACTTTGGGCGATGTAATAACCATCAAAGAAATGACTCAAGCAAGAACTTGAAGGCCATAATATATCGAACGACTCAGACTCATTGACAAATATATCGAGTATGTTCATAGTCAAATTTACTCCAAATAACTACAAAGCAATGACTCTTAATAACTGCTAAGCAAAGTGGTGGAACCTTAAATTTGCAACTGATATACATCACAACAGCGAACATCCCACTATTCCACAGAGTACATGCATCCACCGTAACGATTATGCAGACAAAAGGGAAATGCAAGGTTACTGAGTAAAGAAAAAGTGAAAAACAAAAAAGCACCTGGCAGACATCTTCAAGAAGAAATCTCTCTGAATCACCAGAAAGCAAATTCGGCCTCACTTCCACAATCACGACGTTCCACTGGGTCAAAGAAAAATCTCATATTAAAGATGACAATCTCCAATTCCCATAAGCAATCTTGTAGCATACAAGAATAATCAAGACTGCACCTAAACCTGGTTCTTCCCTAAATCGCTGGTTTTCCCAATGGACACTCCATTATTAAGGGATTGCCAAAGCAAACTTCACTTGAGGACTGATTAAGTAGTACAATCAAGTCCAAAAGCAAATGTGTTCTCTTATGTACATCTCTATCTTCCTCCAACTATCGAATAAATTTAGCTAACTACAAATGAGATACCAAAAGCAAAAGATAAACAAACGCGCAGACCAGCATGACATTTACGATCATCTGTCTTTTTAGCTTTTGTTGAAGTTATTCGCTCTGATTGACTCGAATATTTGAATACTAGTAAACTCCAGGAGTTGGTATACAAAGACAACACTTTTAAACCTTCCTTAACATTCACAGTCACCTGCTATAGCACAACCCACCTAGATTCTTCAATGGATAATCTTCTGCAGGCACGAGAGGTTTTGCTTCCCGCAACAGATAACAGAAAACTACAAGAAACCCAGATGAAGAACTGCGCCACTTACCGAGGCGGTGTCCACCCAGAGCTGAGAGACGAACCCCAAGCCAAGAGCAGATTCGATGCTGATCACCTGCTTCGCCACCATGCTCGATCGCCTCATCACCTGCCGCCCGCCCCGCACCCTCAGTTTCCTCTCCGCTTCCTCTTCCCTCCTCAAGGCGACGCCGGCATCGCCGCCTTCGCTTCGCAGCAGCACCTCCTCCCCCTCCTCTTCCTCACAGGACCGCCGCGCCGGCTCTTCGGTACCCAAGTTTCCGCCTTCCGCCGCGTCACCCCCGCCGATTCCGCTCCCCTCTCTCGATTCCGCGCCGCCGCTTCGATTCGTCCCCAGCTCGAAACTCTCCCCCCCGCCGTCCTTGAGCCCTAGCCGGCCGTAAAACTCGCCGTCCCGGGAACCGAAGCCGGCGCCGCCGGATGACCTGGCTGCCGAATGCCCGGCGTGCGGCCGGTTCCTGAGGCCAAGAGAACGGCGGGTCGGGAACCGCCCGGCTCCCGGCGTCGGGGTGGAGGCGGCCGAGGGGAGCTTGCGGTTCCCGGAGAGGAACGACGGCAGAGGAGGAGCCGACGAGACGCGGTCGCACATGGTAGAACAGCCGAGAGCACACGAGCGCCTGAGGCTCAACGAACACGGCGAAGCATCATGGGTCAAATGTTTGGATTACAGAGCGACGAGGAAGTGATCCTGAGAAGCCGAGAAGATAATATGCACGTGTCACCATGTCAGCACCTCAAGAATGAAATGAATTTTTAGTAAATAGGTTTTGATAGACGAACGTAAGTAATTTTTTTTATTCGGCATAAATGCACCGGGAATCCTAAAATTTATCGCAAAAGTATAATTGAACCATCAAAACTTTTAAAAGATGCAATCAAATCTTAAAACTTATCGCAATAATATAATCAAATCCAAAAATTTTCAAAAAAGTACAATCAATAAAATGACTTAACAAATTTTCAAATCCTAAAACTTAATTACACTTTCATGACAAATTTTAGGACTTAATTGAACTTTTTAAAAATTTTAAGACTTAATTACACTTTCGTGACAAGTTTTAGGACTTTCAATAAACTTATTTTTTTTTCAAGATGATGAGTAATTTTTTTATTTTGAAGAATGACGAGTAATTTTCTCGTATCGACCCTTTTACAATCTTAGTTTTTCGGGAAATATTTACTATGAGAAGACTAAATTGAAGTGAATGATAGAAAGTTATTTTCTTGAAGAGATATTAAATAATGGGAGCGTAATTAAAGTTGATGATGATATGCTTGCAGTTGTACATGAATGTCTCTAGTTTTTAGATTTTGTTATGGACGGCGTCAGAATTTGGGGATAGAAGATGGTCTGAGAGCCTCCAAATTTCCACGGGCAGATACAGAGCAAAAGACATCCTTTGCAACATTGATTCTGTACTAGGAACAAGCTGCACCGGAGATGCATTTCTCTCTTATGTATACTTCTTCGAATTCGACCCGGAAACAATTTGTCAGGACCGTCTTCGTGCACGGCGAGGCGGCGACGAGATTCACTGGCTGACGGAGATCTGCAGCAGTCTCAGTCCGAGGGGGAACATGCTGATGGCACGGCGGGTCTTGAAAGAGGGTTCCTCTCCAATTCGCCGTTCGCCGCAACACTATCCGAACTCCTTTTCAGGCAACGGAAGAAACTATCGAGCAGCTGAACCGCCGTGCACCAGAGGAAAAACATCCGACCTACGACCTTATCATACAAAGGACAATGACTTTTACCCATGTCATCAGGATGATTCCCGCAACACTGCCTTACCTGTACTTATCATACAAAGGACAATGACTTTAACCCATGTCATCAGGATGATTCCCGCAACACTGCCTTACCTGTACGTTGAACTCAATTTCTTAAGATTCGCCATCACAAGACTTGAGAGCCGGTATCGGAGACATGTAGAGAGCCAACAGGTTCAAGTAGGGAGTAGAAGAAAACTGGACCAGTACTCCTTTTATGCACTATGAATTACATCTTAGGACCTGCGCGTAAATGAGAAAGCTCTTGGCTTTACAAAATCTGTACATGATAAGCAGGAAAGAGAATTCAATGTAGAATAGAACGCAAAACAATGGCCGATGAATGAACGGCGATGCTTGCACTTACATCATTCGCGAACCTCCTATTTTCTCAAGCTCAATTTAGAAAGAACCGCAGCCGCTTGGTCACCTCCTAGTAAAAAATAAGGATGCCTGAGGGCTGCGGCGGCCGATAATCTTCCCCTTCTCAGGAAACCTCTCTCCGAGATGAGCTTTGTGGCCAAATCCCACCCTCTTCCCGAGTCGAGCTCGAGAATCGTTAAGTCGGGCCTCAATCTCGTGCAGTCCCTCCATTTATTCAAGTCGTATTTGACTGCCTCAATTTCGGAATTGAAATTCTTCAGGCCTGCAGAGGTCCTCAAGGTCGGGATCGCCATTTGCAGGAGTACGATTCCGGCAGAGTATGTGTCAAACAAATCAGGACTGTTCAGCTGCAAATCCAGTACAAACCGGAATTTAGCATATCAAACTCAAGAAAAGAGAATCAACATATGGATTATATTTTGAGCTTATTTGAGCTTGCAATTAAACATATTCAAAGCTGAAAAATACTTGATATTTCTTGCCTTATCCAAGCTCGAGTTAATGGACTCCACTTAAAAATAAAGAAGCGCATCGGTGCTCCTCATTTAGTTAGCATCGGTGCTCCTCATTTAGTTAGCTACCACATAACAAACAAAGAAAACTGACTATGATCATTCTTCCTATGTCAAATATTTCAATTTAGCTGATGGAAGCCTTGTCCAGAAAGCTGAAAGCATCATTGATGAACTAGGAAGACGATAGCAAGCACCTTTCCCTTTCATTTGATATACAACAAGTCATAACCTACTCAGCAGAACAGCAGTTACCTGCCACAGGATGGGAGAAAGAAAGGCAGCAACTGGCTCTGGAGGTGGACTTGGCGTTTCCTCTGGAAGTACATAAAGTTCGGGGGGACAATAATCAGGATCAAGTAAGCCGCAATTAGGCACATAGTTCTTGCCGATACGAAGGTCTGTGGCTGCCCCAAAATCAATGAGCTTAATCTGCCCTTTCTTTGTCACAACCAAGTTGGCCGGCTTTACATCCCGATGGACAATGCCAGTATCATGAATCTTTTTCAGTGAAGTTATGATCTGCCGCATCACCTGCTTAATGATCAACGCATTCCGCTCAACGGAGTCTACCCCTTGCAAGACTTTGCCAAACATGATGGACTCTAGATTCAGAGGGAAGCTACGATCTTTCATGTAATCGGCAAGATCTCGATCTCCCTATTACAAGGAACACATTAGCTGATCAAAACAAGGACACAAGTTCAATGCAGCCATCTGACCTTCATCGGTAAGTCGCAGATATGGTAAATTACAATCTCTTAGTATATTTGAAAGGTCGGCATTATTGAAAGAAAGACAACTCTTCCGGCCAAATCATGAGTGATCCAATGAGATATAGCAGAGGATCTTGACATAAAATTTAACTAAATTCAGAGCTTATCCTGAGAATAAGTACCTCAAATTTCCAAACCAGCCATTTCCCACCCTTAGTGAACTGTGAATTCGTCTTATCAGCAACAAAAGTCCCCAAAAACTCGGCACAGGTCTCAGGTGCTGCCCTGGACATCCTGTAATTGAACCACTCCTCATAATCCCCATATTCTTCTGCGCCTTGGACTCCAACCTTAACCTGAACATTCTCATCGATGCGACCAACAAAAAGGTTATCTTTCTCGACATTACCAAAACACCTTCACAGAAACCAACACAACCCATTGAAAATTCACCCTCTGCTTCAAATTGCAAAAACATATGCAAGACACCAAACTTCATCCTTATTTCGGCCACAACATCTCTATCTTTTATTCGACGAGTTAAGCGAAAACTAGAGGCACAAAAGGCATGGTTTGATGATCGGTTTTTACTGGGTGTCTGTGGCTTACCTGTTTCAAGATGACCTTCTCCTTGAACCTCCCATCCAAATCCAGAGCTCTCTTGCCACGCCCTCTCTTTTGCACTCTCTCCTCAACATTCACATTCTCGGGGACGACAACACCGGAGTACACAACCCCAAAAGACCCCTCACCCAACCTGTCCCCGATCAAAAAGTCACTCCTCTTCAACCTCCTCCTCCCTCTCAAGCTATCCAGACCCACCTGCAGCGGAGCCAAAACGTAGGCATCGATCGCGCCGATCAACACCCCAGGCCTCGCCGTCAGGTAAACCCAAGTGAGCCCACCGAATATGACGACCCCCCATCTCTGCATCTCCGTCAGTTCCTCGGCCACGCCCAGAATTCGCTCATACCCAGATTGGAAAAGAGGGACTTGGGACAGCGACTGGTCCACCAGCTGGGCAATGTCGCTCGTAAAGGCGTCGCATTTGAGGGTGTTCGTGGCTTTCGCTCGGTTTGAGAAGAAGCACAGATGGAAAGCTGAAGTGGGTCTCAGAGAGGAAGGAGAGAGCGAGAGATGAGCGCATTTGGGGTTTTGTTGGGTCGCAGTTGGCGGTGCTGGGAAGAGCAAGGAAGCCATGGGAATTGCTGCTTCGAAGTAAGAAAAGAAGGGACCTTTATTCCGTTTATTCGATCGTTTGTTTCGGGAAAACTGAGGAGAGTAAGCAGAGGTTGCATTTTTGCCGCGTCAGCTATGTTGGGTTTATCCAGTGAGAGTAAGGAATGCTTGGTTACCAAGAACCGGCTCAACGAAATCTGATACAGAATTTTCACCCTGTAAAAGAGACATTAAATTATTTTATGATATGCTGCTCGGTTTGAGTCATGACTACTCGAGACTAAAACAACCCGATGGTAGATTTCAAAATAATTATGTTATTCTCTTAGGAGAGGAATGGAAGAAAAGTAAGTTTGGGTGAAAATTGGAGAAACGTTGGAAAATTTTTGTCAATTGCAAACAGTAGATAGATAATTTTCTTCTCTATTTTCCATTCCCTCCCTTTTCTTAGTGTCCCAGACAGAGCATAAATGAAAAATGAAAGCAAAGCAATAACAGGTTGCAAAACTACGGAGAATACAATCATGGACGATATTTGGGAAAGTAAAAATGGAAAGAATAGAGGCAACCGGAGAACTAAGACATCCTTTACACCAAAACGCTTCGAACATAATCCAAACATTTTTCCAGAAACTCATGCGGATTTTTCCATAATCCGAAAGATGTTAGGAACAGAGGATTTCATGAGTGGGAGTCAGAACAATCACTACCAAAGAAAGCTCAAGAAAACCGTACACTTGCATCTGCTGAAAAAAGGATCCCAAATACACACACAAACATACACACACTGATTACAAATTCATGTCTAACGTGGGTTGGCTGAATCAAGGATTGCAGTGATCTTCTTCTGAAGCTCAGGCTTGTTGGAACCCACTAGCTTGTCGATTTGCTGGCCACCTCTGAGGAAGAAGAAAGTGGGAGTGGCTTTGATATCCCATGATGTGCTCATCTCCTGCATAAGTTCAAAATAATTAACGCATTTCACATAGGAAAGTGGAGAAGAACAACAGACATTGTCAATCGTTCTATATGTTGATCATGCCGCTATGTAACTCCTGTTTTTCTGCGTAAATTACATCCCGGGTCACTTAAGTGGAATTGGCAATTGGGTCATTGAACTTTAACTTCAATCACCAAATGCACTAGCCTTTAGAGTTTTTGCAATTTAAGTACTCTGACTGGAATCCAACAATTTTTCGGCAAACTACTGACATGGCAGATGTGTCACAATTTTGTAGATGCTACGTTATCACCATGTGGGCATTGACATTAGCGTTTGCCAGAAAATTGATTTGATTCCAGACAAAGCGTATCAATAGCCAAAAAGTGAAGTTTAGTATATTGGCTAACTGCAATCAAAGGTCAGCGACCTGTTTGCAAATTCCACTACATTTCAATAACCCCCAATGGAATCTATTTTGTTTTTCTTGTACCTAATAGTGTTTTATTTTTCCTGTCTTGCGAACACTTGGGGCACTCGCTGCATTCAGTTTGAGGGCTAAAGTGGAAGAAAACTTAGAAAATGACTGCGTGAGCATGTGGTTGTTGTTTAGGCTAAGCGGTTGGAATTAAGGATCAAGGCAAATAAGTAAGTTCCATTGCTTACAGTTAGCTCATCCACATCAACCACCAGAAACATGATAGAAGTATGTTTCTCGGACAGTTCCGAATAGAACGGTGCCATCAGCTTACAAGGACCACACCAGGTTGCACTGAAATTTGCAAGCACCTGCACAGTGATCCAATTAAATACGAAACCAATGCAAATTCAATAATATTCTAATTAATCCAATCGAGTCTCCCATGGTATTCTTATGCAAGAAGCACAGCTCTGAGACGGTTCATAAAATTTTGGCCTAACTATTGCAGTAAAGAACACCTTATTTGAGCATATTCAACTAAAAGAGAAAATGCTGAAAGACATTATTAGGCATGCTGGACCTAATACAAATAATTGTAAGTTGAATTCACAACCCAAAAAAATGATCTGCTGATCTGATGCTTGACAATTGCTCATACAAAATCTTTTCCCAACGTACCTCATAAAAAATCAAACTAATTAGCATTGTGCTAATTTTGCTCATTATACACTTCTAAAAGCAGCTGCAGAGTACTTACAATCTTGCCGTCTCTATTTGCTTCTGACAGCTTCTGGTCCCAGCTTTCTTTGGTAGTAATGAGGTGTACATTCCCACCAGCAAATTCAACATGGTGATCAGAATCTCCTTCGTCCTTTTGATACTGCCAGAACTGTGCACATGATAAGAGCTTCAGAAATGAGCAAGATACAAGTCCGGATTAGGCTATGACACCACAAATGCACCTTTATTGTGTGTGGCTATGGTAAAACTAGTATTACACAAGGCTATTGATGATCAGTAAATACCCTGTTGTCAACCATTCAGCACAACCCACAGACCACTCTTCCCTCTCAATGTGGTTCTTAGAGCTAAAGCCCGCATTGCATAACTAGGATCTTGATCGTAGTGAGATTTAATGAATTACCTATTCAACCATTGGCTTAGGACAAAATTTTTCCATGAAATTGAAAGGCCATAATGATCATTCAACAAAGTCTTTCAATTAACAGCGAATCCTTCCAAAGATCATGTGTCTTGACATCTGGTATCTGCTGAAAGTGTCCATAGTACATTCTCTTCACCTCAGGCTTTTGACAGATGCTCAGTTAGAAAGCGACAGTTATCAGCTGTCTTTTGCAAGCATTATAAGTCCATCAGAAGGACTGTGTATCCATTATTTCCATTGGAAGACTCATATCCATGCATTCAAAAGCAAGGTGATAGATAAAATAGTTTACTTTGATGGATTGAATGGCGTATTGAAACCGAAACTAATGTTGCAGCGGGGAAGTTTCTCAGATGTTAGTTTCATGAGTCAGTAAATTCACGGAAATTTTATACAGGCCAGGAGCTTGACTCCTCACAACCACGCCTTCCCCCATCTTCCAGCGAGCTGATGCAAGGTTCATCGAGGGGAAAGATATCCAAACACGAATGCGAGCACTCATGTAGCGAAAGCCAGGACATGTATTTTCTATATGCCATTTTTTTGACAAAATTTGGTTTATACCGTTGATCAGTAGATGCTTAACAGGCAGCCTTCCATAGGTGCACCAAGAAAGCACCTAATGACCATGGACTTTTAAACTAAGCGCATACCTCAGCAGATTATGCAGGCAAATGCATATAACCTCGATTTGTTTTTACTTAGCAACTATACATAAATTTGACTGCTATTCAATACAATCACATGTGTGATGTGATAGAGTAAGATAACTACAAAGAAAAGGTTTCTTCTCACTTGAATGTTAATGTATCATATGAGAGAAGTGATAAGCGGCTTAAATGTAGGCTAAAACTTTTCCAGCTTCAAGAGCAACACTTGTGGTTGAATTAGATTCCATTCCATCAATTGTTTAGCTCACGTTCCCATATAATAATATACCTTAGGGTAACACTGTCCCATGACGAGGTTTCTGGAATGGAGTTGCAATACTTAGACACACAAGGACCCTGAGAAACAAAGCAGCAGCAGACCTGTCGGTACATGTAAAGAAAGAAAAGATACTCATCAAATCCAAGGCTACATATTAAACCAACAAGATTGACTATGATACGAAGGAAATGAATTAGAAACCTCAATAAATTGGCGGACAAACTAGAGCATTCCAGACCAATTAAAGCACGTGCCAAGGAGTACGATTAAGCTGAGAGGTAGTGAGAGGAAACGAATTCGTCGTGGCACCCAAAAAGTACAGCACTTTCTCAAGCATCCATTAAGCTACTTGGGTGATTCTTGTGGAATAAACATGGAAACCAGGTTTCACAAAAAAAATTCAAAGAAAGAGTTAGCTCAATCATTGCCTAGAGAAACCTCTAAGACTGAACATTGAAAAAGTTTCAGAGTTCCTAATCTGTGCTCACATTATCAAAGTCCTGGAAACATATATTATCGAACTTCACGAGGCAATTATGCTTGAAACGGAAACTGAATACTCAGCTTTACAAATGACGATACCATTCCAACACTCGTAAAACCTGCTGATCGGAGGGGCCGATCAAGTCCTGATTTTTCAAAGTTCTATCAAGTATTATTCCAAAAACCGCCCCGCACTCCTCTTTTTAATGAACAGACGATGTTGGGGAACATAAATGTTGTTGAGCATTAAAAATCTTATCTTTTCTGGACAGTATGTCCATTCTTGAATCCTTTCCAAACAAGTCACCGATAATTCTATTTCAAAATCTGACAAACTTCTTTCCCTGATTTCAGCTAAGAAAGTAGGACACAAAACCCATAAAAATTTGTGGAAACGAAAATGCAGATTAACAACGTAATAAACGAGCTCGATAACAGTACCAAACATATTTGCTTCCATCAAGAACATGAATACGAAAACAATTACCTCCTGCTTCGGCTCATTCAAGCAGTCAAAATGCTAAACACCACACAACAATTGATGAAAATTCACACTTCAAGACTCGAAATTTCCACGAGTCACTCGACACCATATGAACTCAAAACAAGAAACGAAGAATTCAATTTAGCCTTAGCAAGCACGTACAGCTGACCCACCTAACAATGACTAAAACAACCTTTATTCGCTCAGCAGAAGAAACCAACCAAGAACCGTGGGGAAGGAGGTTTGTTCTGCGACGAACCGGTCTACGCGCAGAGCAGCATCGGAATTGCCGAAGTGCTGGATCTCGAAAGCGTGCGGGGCGGTCGCAAACTCGCGGAACGCTTAGATTTCCAAATCTGGCCAGACGATGGGACAAATTACAGAAAGACCGGGCTCGATCAAGTAGGAAGATGTGAACTTCGAAGGAAGCGACCAAATGGGTTCGCTTCTCTTTGCGGGAATTGCGATGTAATTCGGGCAAGGAGTGAAATTTCTTCTGCAGATGAAACAAAACCCAAGGTTTTGGAGCACATGGATGCGAACCCAAGAAAGGGTAGATTCCAAGTTTTGGTTTTGGAGCTCGCCAACTTTCCCTTATGAATATCATGGGACCGGCCCCACCGACGTTCGTTGTTTGTACGCGAGAAGGATTCCCACAAGCCTTCCAGCACCCGTCCTCCACTTTGACGTTGAAATTTCACCGGTTTAAAAAAACTCACAAAATATTTTCTCGACCAATTTAAAAAAAAAAAAATAGATCACGATGTATTTCATTCATTTCGAAGAGTTAAGCATGGTAAAAGCCAAAATATGAATACATGGATCTATCACGAAATATCATTTATAATTAAGGGCGACGCTATTTCCACTCTTATTTTGACTAAGACAATCCCTTTTTTTTTATTTGATTGGCCAAAATATCCTTCTTCTCTCTCTTTAGTGTATAGTTCCTTATTTTATCGAGCTCGTCAACAAAACCGACTTTATTTCTATTATTTCTCTCGTCATTTTCACAATAAAATGCCTCGTGCGCCCAACAAGATATCATATTATCTTGCATCTTGTTATCGGTTTGCCTAGAGAAGGTTGCTAATTTTAATTTATGGTCCCGTATTTTCAATCACAAAAGGTATATTGAAGATTAGAAATTTCTTTTTATGACGACTTATGCATTGCCTATTTATTATTCAAACAGTTTGAGAGAATTTATATTTCAAAGATGAAAATTAAATCCCAATCTAATTATCTGTCCAATCTTGACCACGTGGGTGTTTTCCCGGAATAAGTTTGTTGGTTTCTAAGGGTGCGCATGATAACCACTCTATTCCAAAATGAGTTCCTGAAACAGAAATAAATTTTTCTATTTCTGGTTCCAGGATGAATTTCTGATAAAAGAAACCCGTTGGATAACGACCAAAAATTTCTATTTCTGGAACAGAAACCCGTTTGATAACAGCACAAAATTTCTATTTCCTAAAACAAAAACCTGTTTGATAATAAACAACACAAAATTCTATTTCCAGGAACAAAAATCCATTTTTTTAGAAATGGAATAAAAATAATTAGAAAATCCAAAAAATTCCTAAAAATCTCAAAAAAATTCAAAAAATCCAAAAAAATTGAAAAATTCTAGAAAAATTCATCACAATTTCCAAAAAATAAAAAAAATTCAGATTTCAGGAAAATAGGAAATTTGTTGAATTTTTTCAAAAAAAATAAAAAAATAAAAAATTTCAAAACTTCATAGAATGACTTAAAATACATGTGGCTACCCACTTTTAGTGAAATTTGAATTTTTTTAGGTGCCCAAAAAAAATCAAAAAATCAAAAATTTCAAAACTTCACATAATAGTTTAGAATATATGTGACCACCCACTTTGAGTGAAATTTAAATTTTTTAAGGCTCCCAAAAAAATTCAAAAACTCAAAAATTTCAAAACTTCACAGAATGGCTTAGAATATCTGCGACCACCCACTTTGAGTGAAATTTTAATTTTTGGAGGTGAAAAAAAAATCAAAAATCAAAAATTTCAAAACTTCACAGAATGACTTAGAATATATGTGGCCACCCACTTTGAGCGAAATTTAAATTTTTTTAGGTGCCGAAAAAAAAATAAAAACATAAAAAAATCAAAAATTTCAAAACTTCACAGAATGACTTAGAATGCCTCCAGCCACCCACTTTGAGTGAAATTTAATTTTTTTTAGGTGCCCAAATGGTATTTTTTATTTTTTTTCGGCACCTAAAGAAAATTAAATTTCACTCAAAGTGGATGGCCACATGTATTATAAGCCATTCTGTGAAGTTTTGAAATTTTTTATTTTTTGCTTTTTTTTATTTTTTTCGGCACCTAAAAAAAATAAAATTTCGCTCAAAGTGGGTGGCCACAGGTATTTTAAGTCATTCTGTGAAGTTTTGAAACTTTTGCTTTTTTGCTTTTTTTTATTTCTTTCGGCACCTAAAAAAATAAAATTTCGCTCAAAGTGGGTGGCCACAGGTATTTTAAGCCATTCTGTGAAGTTTTGAAATTTTTGCTTTTTTGCTTATTTTTATTTTTTTGGCATCTAAAAAAAATTAAATTTCGCTCAAAGTGGGTGGCCACAGGTATTCTAAGCCATTCTGTGAAGTTTTGAAATTTTTTATTTTTTATTTTTTTCTGCACCTAAAAAAGTTTAAATTTCGCTCAAAGTGGATGGCCACAAGTATTCTAAGCCATTATGTGAAGTTTTTTATTTTTTATTTTTTGCTTTTTTTAATTTTTTTCGGCACCTAAAAAAAATTAAATTTCGCTCAAATTGGGTGGCCACAGGTATTCTAAGACATTCTGTGAAATTCTTAAATTTTAGATTTTTTGATTATTTTTTATTTTTTTTGGCATCTAAAAAAAATTAAATTTCGCTCAAAGTGGGTGGTCATAGGTATTCTAAGCCATTTTGTGAAATTTTGAAATTTTTTTATTTTTTTCGGCACCTAAAAAAATTTAAATTTCGCTCAAAGTGGGTAGCCACAGATTCTAAACCATTCTGTGAAGTTTTGAAATTTTTGATTTTTTTCTTTTTTTTCCCACCTCAAAGATCATGACTTCCAGATGAACATGTGTTTCGAAGAAAGAGTTCTCTCAGAAATGATTCTCATTTTTTGTCTAGAAATAGAAAACCTACTTTTTTTTTGTTCTGATTTCTGGTTCAGAATCGATTCTGGAACAAAAAGTTGTCCCAGAAATAGAAAAATGATATTGCGTTACCAAACGGGTTTCTATTTTAAAACTGTTTCTGGGAACAGAAAATTAGTTCTGGACAGAACCAGAATGGTTATCATGCTACCTAAAACTAAAGCATAGCTTACTTTGAACTTTTCACGTTTTAATCTGGATCGCAAAATGACCGTTGAAAATTTAATTACACCGTTTTCGCTTTCAAGACTCACATTAGATTATTTAAGAGGAAAGTAAAAGGCACAGTTTGTAAGAAATAAGAAATTCTTAGATTACCTTTAATAAAAATAGTTCTGTCGAACCCGCTTCAAGTTTTACATCATATCGCCCATGAAAACATTCACATCCTCAAGATCGTCATGATAAGTCTTTGTGCTTGTATAACCAAGAAGCCAATTGACTAAACCCCTAGCTCTACTTAATTTGCTTTTGGCCAGTGCACACCCCTCTATTTCATTCAATAAGATGCGCGAGAAATGCTTAGATAATTAAACTATGATTTACATTAACACATCCATCAAACCAAGTTCTTCACTTATCCCAAAGAAGAAACAAAAAAAAAAAGAAAACGTACTTCCCCGTATCATCCATCAATAGGGCGTTGCTGCTCCTACATTGCCCAATCCAAGAAAACTGTAGGATGCTATAGAGAGAAAGGGAACAACATCGATTTCTCCATGAGGAATGGCCGCAAAACAGAAAGACCCACATCAAGCTGATTTCTCCTTGAGGACACTTGAGCACTTCCCCTGTTTCTCTGTCAATGTGCTGCTTTTCTTTAGGGCTAAGATATAAACCATACTCCAACCAATAAATAACGGGAGTAGTAAGGAAGGAAGGCCGCGTCTCTCGGTCACGCTATAAGGGGGCGAATGGTTCGGGCAGAGACTCGAACCCGTTATCAAAGATCAATCCCTGATCGGATTTATCGTCGAAGCTGTGGAGCCAGTTTGTGTTCTTCAAATCCTCTTTGAGCAGCATCGCATCGTAGCGCGAGCTCTCGTAGATATCAACTTCTGTCAATTTGGCGGAGTACCTTCCATTGCCCACCTCTCCACCAACTGCTGGAGTTCTCATTCTGCTGCCATTCTCCAAAAAGACTACGTCATTCATGCAGTGCTGGTTGCCATTGCCGTTGACGGATGGTGGTGCACTCAAAGTGCGAGCTGATTGGTTTTTCGAAGCAGAAGATCGAATACTCTGAGGGAAAAGGGTGGTGCCTGAAAGTGCACGGCTGCCTCCTGCTCCATTTCTTATATCCTGTTTGTATATATGAAGTCAGAAAGTTAGAAAGTTCACTTTCTGTAAACTATTGACAGGCCAGCCCTCTGCTCTTGCCAAGTCAATAGAAAGATTTCTTATGAATCCCAAATTGCTTCAATTGGAAGTTACAGAAGAAGAAGACTAGCAATCTTTTAAGGAAAGCGAGTTCTACACCAAAAGAACAAAAGCAAAGACTAATTATTTATCTATTCTGACGGCGTAAAAGTCATATCATTAATGTAGGAGTACTTGGTTGAAACTGTGGTAGTTGGAAGAAACTTTATGATATGGGAAGGGTCACATTAAAAATAATATATGAGACCTCAATGACGAGGATGAACGAGACTGTAGCTGTTGATCGACTGCTGCATCTGAATTAGCTATAAACCCTGTTGGCAATATCTCTATAACTGATCCCATCAATGATGCTAAAGAGTGAAGGGCCTTTTGTCTAATTCAAGAGAAATCAAATCACGACTGGAGAACAGCCCTACCTACTAGTCACAATTCCAATCAACCACGGAAGGAAAGAAACTTGATATACCCAAACTAAACTTCACTGTAGAAATTAAAATTTACTTGTGAAGCTTGCAAACTGACATACTGCCATCCGTCCCCTATAATAAAGTTTCTTTCAACTACCACAGTTTCAACCAAGTACTCCTACATTAGTGATATGACTTTTGCGCCGTCAGAATAGATAAAACAAATAAAGAGTGAATGGCCTTGTTGCTTAATTCAATAGAAATCAAATCACGACTGGAGAACAGCTCTAGCTGTTAGTCACAATTCCAATCAACCATGTAAGGAAAGAAACTTGATACACCTAAACTAAACTTCACTGTAGAAATTAAAATTTATTTGTGAAGCTTGCAAACTGACATCTCAAAAGTAATGTGACTGTGCATCAAAATTACCATATCTTGATATGATGAGGATAGACATACCATATGCCTGATAGCCATATCTAGTGATTTCTTGGAGATAGTCCTTCCAAATCCAGTGCTCTCACTAAGAGACATCACACTTTTCACAGGCTTTCTCATTCCCAATTCTGATGAATTAGGGGATCTACGAGGCTCGAGTGCATCAGTAACATTAGCATGGACTCGACCTCTTCCGATGGACTCCGCAGTCGCGACTCTTCCCCTGGTAGTAACGGGTGATGGTTGTCGTCTTGTCGTGCTTACTGGCCCCGAGATGTCTGAGTTCCCCTTAACAGTGACAGCGGCACCAGGACGCGACCTACCAGCAGAAAGCGGCCGGTCTGGTAAGGTAGTTCTAAGGTTAGGTGGTGTTTCCAGAGGAAAATCGGGGGGGAAAATAGGTTGTTGGGGAGGTCGAAGTCGTGGGCTTGGGGAGCTTGGTCTTGATGCAGGGGCTCCATTGCGACCATTTGAAAGCACTCGCCCACTAGATATTGGAGTGCCTGCTGACGGGGATAGGGAAGGTGCAGAGTTCCTACGAGTGGGCGTAGATGGACGAGAATTAGATCGAGCAGTGGTGGAACTTATATTTGCCGCAATCTGTGGCCTTGAACTTGGAGTGGAAGGCCTCGAGTTTTGTGATGGTCGAGGTTTTTCAATAGAGGAGCTTGTGGAGACCGGACGAATTCTTGAAGGAGTTGAGGATCGTGATGCAGTTGCACGGGCAGATGGGGTGGAAGGTCTGGCCGCAGAGGAAGAGCGGGTAATTGGGGAAGATGGTCTAGTGTAGGATGAGACTGAGGCTGAGCTGGTGTTCAGAATTGATGATGATCTATTAGAAGAATAGGTGCTATATTGAGAAGTAGAGACAGAAGGGCGAGTCACCGAACTGCTTCTGGTAGGTCTGGAGGAATGAGTGCTCTCCGACTGTGAAACAGATAACTGCAACAAGAGATACACACGATGCAGACTGATTACTGCTAGCAATATTGTTCAAGCTTAGGCTGCACGGAAAACCAAAACACCCAAAGCAGGCGATAATTAACTCTTTTAAGACTTGGCAGCAGAAGTAAATCGATGTTGAGAGAGCCTGTGCCTAATTTCTTCAAATTACCGCATGAACCAGATTAAGAGAAGCAAACACGCTGCAAAGTGTAAAAGGGTTTAAATTCTGGATGGGGAATAATATTTACTAAAAATTAGAGAAGATGCACATACCCTGGAGACCTTAGTTGTAGAGGTTGATCGGACCATGGAACTGCTTCTCGACACCGCTATGTTTGATTGAGACTCACTTCCTCCGTCCGATGAAGGAAATAGAGGAGTCCCCGGAGGAGTGAGAAGCCTGATAACATTTTTCCATATCAGAAAGTTCAGAAAAAAGAAGAATGAAAACAATCTAAAAGTCTCATACCAAAAGCTACAGAAAAATAAAATAGGTACTCGGAAATCTAGATCTGGCGGGAAACCATTGAAGAGTTGCTAAACCAATGTTTAGTTAGCTTAGCCATCATGAATCTCAGATACAACATTCTATAATTGATCAAAGATGACTAGTCCTCTTTTCACCTTTTTTCCTTGTTTGAGCTAGAATCCCAGAACACTACCTGTGGAGTCTCTATTCTTTTGGTCAGAGTGGAGTCTCTATTAAAAGGAGCAAGGACGCCTCATCTTATTAATAGGCAAAGTCCAAGTCCTAAGCCAATGTGCAGAGAGTACCTCAAAATGCTTTCAGATAGATGCCGAGGTCTCAATTCATAGCAGTTAGAAACTTATAGTTATAGATCACAGATCACACAAATCCAATTTCCTCTATTGCAAAGTCTATGCTTGATGAGTACATGAACAGTCCTGTTCAAGAATTTGAAAGATAAGAGTCCTTATCGTGCTCGACCCATATCATGTCGCTCCCATAGTCAACATAAGAAAACACCACTAAATCCTGTCCATACAGAAACTTATCCCGACTTTATTATCCCAGATTTGAATAGACATGAACAAATCTAGTAGTTGAACAACCAAACATCTCTAGCAGATAACCAAACTTCTGCACATAATTGTGACATTCCCAAATCTACGTCAGCAGAATGTCTTTTTGGTAAGGGTAAAAAAAATTTTGGTAAGGACGTCAGCAGAATGTCAGCACAGCCAAAGTTCAACAACAGAAAGGAAATCCAAAAATGAGGGGGAAAAGAAAGAAATAATCAGAAAAAGAGCACAGTTACAAAGGTGTAGTACTGCATTGATGTGGGATCATTGCAAGAAATTAACCAGTCGTAATCGTGCTTCCCTCCATCTGTAGACGAAAGCAAATCATCGAGCCCGCTCCGTTGCGCCACTTTCGCCGATCCGACGGAAAGCCTTCCCAGTTTTATCGAAGAAGCTGTTGGGGATCAAATTACTGAATCAGAAAAAAAGCTCAGGATCCTTATCCCACCACCAACATACCCCCATTCAAGAAAAGAAAAAGAACCCATGAAAGATGCAGCACGTTAGATGCACACTAAACTCCAAATCTTCAAAATTGCAGCAGCATTGAGAAACGAGAAAATGGGGGATTGGGAAAAAAAAAAATTCTGGGTCGACGAAGCGAGAAGAAGATGATCATTGCCGAGTGGCCATGAACCGTCATCATTACAAGCAACAGCCAATTCCTACTTTACCTGTTGCAGGGGAAGATGAAAAAAAAAACACAAGGACCGATTTAACTTTTTCCCGAAAACGCGATCGTTTCGTGCATCCTGGCCGAAAGACAAGCTTCCATTTAATGCGTAATCCAAGGAAAACATCGTTTTCGTTCCCCCCCAAAAGATCTTCTCCCTCCGGGAAGATGCAAACAACCGAGCCGGAAGCAGACAAACCGAAATCCTCCCGGAGAAAACTGAATGGCGATCCGACGAAATGACGGAGCTGCCCTCCCTAATCGGATTAAAAAAAAAGAAAAAAAGATGCGTCGGCGATCGGAGGGGGGGGGGGGGGGGGTGGGGCGGTCGTTTACCGTCGGACGATTCGTCGGAGGACGCGACGGAGACGCTCCGGCGGTTCTTGGAGAAGAGATCCAGGCTCTCGTCGGCGTCGCGGGAGGGGGCGGCGGACACGCCGGTCACGCTGTGCCCCCGCCGGTGGTGGTGGTGGCGGCTCAGCGGCCCCGCGGGGCCGGTCCTCCCACCGAACAGATACTCCCTGCCGCTCCGGCTCATCTCGCGGGCGCTCGCTCCCTCCCCGGCCTCCGGGGCTCCGGCCGACTCCTCAGCGCGAGGCGGCCGCGGCGGCGGCAGGGACGCGGGAATGGCAAATGCGGCTCATGGGGGAGGGGGAGCGAGGACCGAGGAGGGATCTAGAGAGAGAACGTGGGGGATGATGGCGAGGAGTGCAGTAGATGCGAAGGGAGGGACAGACGGACAGTAAAGTGGCCGCGGATATTGTTTTTTTCCGTCGGTTATTTAAGCTTTACGTCATGTATGATTGAGAGAGAGAGAGAGAGAGAGAGAGGTGGTGGTGGATCTGGTGACTGCAGCAGCATCAAGATCTGTGCGCGCAGTAAATGGTCGTGAGGAAGGAAGGAAGAAGGAAGAAGGAAGAAGCAGTTTCTCTGACAACAATGGTGGGCTCCTGCTTCTTCTTCTTCTTCCTCCTCCTCCCTCCCTCTCCTACCTCGTGATCTTGACTGCCATCGTATTTATGACGCCAAAAATCTAGGCTCGCCCTGTACAGTTTTATAAGGAAAAAGTTAAATAATAAATATTGAGCGGAAATAAATTGATCATATTCAACGCGGTATAAATATTTATCGCTTCGTTTTTATAAAGGTTAATATTACCAAAAAATTAAAAGCTGGTACACCTGTGATAAATTTACCCAAACTAATTTTTTTACCACCAAAAACCCCAAACCGGTATATCTGTGATAAATTTACTCGCAGTTTGTTTCCGTTAAATTTTACTATCAAATTGTTTTGTTAAATGACACGTATACTAGTTTTATGTTATACCCTCCATTTGTCATAAGTGTATTGGTTTGTGATTTTTTATGGTATTAATCCAATTTAACGGAAACTAACGAAAGATAAAATTGTCACGGATGTACCAGTTTTGGGTTTTTCGTGGTATTAACCATTTTTATAAATTAATCTTCCTATATTTGCTATTATTCCGTATCAATCCAGCGACGAAATCAGGCGTAAAACTTCGCATATTTCGCTCTGAGATGAGATTTTTTTTATATATGATATCGTATAAAGCAAATATAAGAATCAGTTTCGGCACAAGAGAATGGCTCGAACCAATTTTAGGGAATAGTAAAGCAGTCTTTCTATCCAAGTGCAGATAGTCCATATCTTCACATACACGTGTATTTCTCAAAGTCTCCCTCCAAGATAGTAGGGGTGAGCGGTTACAGGTTCCTTCTATGAAACCTGGAATCTACCTTCAGGTACATGTTCCCCATTTCTTGGAACCTAGAACCTACCCGTCGAAACTTGGAAGGGTAGGTTCCAGAGTCTAACAGATTCTTTTTTTTTATTGCATTTTTAGTTAAACAAAACAAAAATGACCACAACATTATTGAACAATCTTGTTATTCATAAAAAAAAAATACAAAAAACTAGTTTTCCTGACATTACGATTAAAATAAATATAACTAAAATGAGAAGTCATTGCGTAAATCAATACTAAAAGTGAGCAGTTCCATGTTCCATATAAGTTCCATCCATGATAATAGGTTCCTCATTTTTTAGAACTTAGAACCTACCCTATCACAGCTTTGAGGGTTGGTTCTAAAGTCTACTTAGGTTTCACCTGTATTGTTAATTGAACAATTGCAGTGAATCATCATCTTTAATAATCATCACTTACTGTTATGATCCACTGACCACAATTTATATTTAAACACACGAAAAATATGAAATATTAACAAGTCATAAAATGAAAGCTTAGACTAATGGTTTTGGATCATATACTCATTATCTAATGTCATGAAACACCACAGATCACGAGAAGATAAGTTCAGGTCCCACCTATCTAGAACCTTGAATCTACTTGTCGAAACAAGCTCCCCAATTTTTAGAACCTAGAATCTACACTGCATACCTTGGAACCTGGAACCTGCAAAATTCCATTGATCAGGTTCTTAGGTTCAGGGTAGAATCTGGAACCATGCTCACTGTCTTGAAGATAGTGCCCAAATCGTCGTGCATATCAAAACTTAGCCGAGGGAATTTCGCTACCTTAAGAACGTTATGATTACAACTGCTTTCGTAGAAAGATTTCAATGTCATAATGACTCTCTTTCCATAAATACAGTTTCTTTATATAATGTACTTTCATCGATTATTTTTTCTATTATTTAACGACTCCAATATTTCATAACAAATTCAATCTTTCAAATGTCAATCGTACCCATGCAACGTTTGAACATTTGCTAATACTTAAAAGACCGTCATAGTATCGAATCCAAATAAAAAATTTAAAAAGGAGCATATTGTTTTGTCAAAGTAAAAAAATACATTATCATAATTGTTATATATATATATATATATATATCGAACCAAATGAGGATTTCAATCTCAAATCCTCTACTCCAAAAATGCCATTAAAATGCCCATATATTTTGTTCAGAAATATTACAACAATACAGTAATACCCAAAAATAGACAAAACTGCAATCTTCAATAATCCATATAATTGTCAACCTATCCCATTGAAAATACCCTACTTTTCTCAAATTGAATGCAAGTCGCCCTCATTTAATTCTTTCCTAAGCCAATTTTTTTTTTAATTTATAAACAATTACCGCTTTTTCGCGAAAATTTAAAACTCTTTTTTTTCTCGGAAACCGCATGGGCATATGCTCTTTTCCTAATCACTATAAATGGAGAAGCCAAACATTATTTGCGCGCACATGCAAAGGCGATGATCTTTTCCTTCATGAGCGGAGGCTTGGGTCTGATCTCGAAGACCATGATTGCAAATTAATTGTATCTATATTATTCGCTCAATTTTAGTAATCGTTAATTATTTCAGACAGTATAAGCGATCTTTTGATAAACAAGATACGCATGCTTAATGTTAGAATAATGAATTCTCTGTCCCAAAACGGAAAAAAACATTTCCTTCGAAAAAATGATTTCCCCAAAAAGCTTTTTTTTTTTATTACAAAGTTTTATCCGAAATAAATACGCTTTCCGTATGATTAACCGGTGCCCAAGCGCACTATAAGATATGTGGCTAAACGTCCGAATCATGCCATTCCAAGCCAAATTGGACCCACCCAAAAGGCCGAATCAAGCTCACGAGTGACGTGATTTTCACGATTAATTAACTAGTAATGATAATTAAACAAGAGAAGAAAAAAAAAGAAGAAAAAGGAAAAAGGTCGAGCGGTTGAACAAGAAAAGGGTCAGCGGTGTAAAAGCCCGAGCAAAAGTTTCTGTGCCGTTGACAGATTACGAGTAAAAAAAGCACCCTTTTGTTGTTTGTTTTTTTTTTTTTATAAATAAAAAAATCATTATGGTACGTCCGAATGACATAGCAACCACCGTTGGCATCTAATCTCCATCGCTTAAGAACTCCCAACTTCCACATTCAACAATCATGCGCCCTTCATCAAAGGGTCTCTCTTTTTTTTCTCGTTTTTATACACCATCGGAAAAGGAAATTCCCGTGCCGCATTTATTTGAAACTGATATGTGTATCGCCAAAAATCCCAACCGGGCATTACTTGTGGCGAATCTGTTCTCGGTTGGCTTCTGTTTAGTGTTCCTGTAAATTGTCGACGCGGAAACTCAAGCGACGGACAAATCGGATGATTGGCATGTGATGTGAATCCGACGTGAGAAATGCAACGTGAACGAATTTCCTAAACAACGTGGTTTTGGAGAAGCCACGTCTGAACAAAATGAATTGGGAGAATGCAAAAAATATGCCGATTTTGCCTCAAGAGCTCCCTGATCTCTAATTTTTCGCTCCAATTTTATCCTAATATTTTGTGGATTTATCACGAATGTACCGGTTTGGAATTTTTCTGGGACACGAAGATTGATTTGAGATAAATGCGGTATGGCCATATCAATTTATGATTTTCGGTGATATTAATTTTATTTTATTTTGTTTTTGGCTTTTTGCAACAGCAAAGGCCAATTGACCCACCCACCTATGGGTAGCGCAGTTGATTAGGGCGTACTTGGGATTGTGTAGTTAGGCGCACTGGTCCTAGGTTCGATTTCCCAGCTGAGCACTTATGATTTAAATGAGGGGCCATGGCGGTGGGTTGCTGTGCTAGTCTCTCCCGAGGAATAGTCGAGGTGCACGCAAGCTGGCCCGGACACCTCGATTACAAAAAAAAAAAAAAAAAAAGCCAATCGACCCGATATAGGAGGCATGTTCTTGAATTTAAGGTTTCTCTTTTCTTGGTGTGAAAGTCGATACTCTTGGCATTCTTGCTTCTACGTATCCATCTTTAGCTTCTTCTTCCGTTTCAAGAATTTGTGCGAATTTTGGCTTCGGGAGTTCCATTATTTGACCAATGATTTCAGCGGCAACATTAGAAAAACCCGTCACTCTACAATCATGAGATGTGCATCCACTGCAATCTGATCCAATATCAAATCAAATAGAGTTAATACCACGAAAAATCCCAAACTGGTATACATGTAACAAACTTACCCCAAATTAATTTTTTTGCCACAAAAAATCCCAAATTGGTACATCTATGATAATTTTATCCTATGTTAGTTTTCATTAAATTTTTCCATCAAATTTCTGAGTTTGATGATATGAATTTAGGGTTTTACCCTCCGTTTGTCACAGGTATACAAGTTTGTGATTTTTCATAGTATTAATTCAATTAACAGAGGGTAAATTTGTCACAAATATACCGGTTTTGGGTTTTTTATTATCCAAATATTAGTTTTGGGTAAATTTGTCACATGTGTGCCAGTTTGAGGTTTTTCGTGATCAAAAAATTAATTTTGGGATAAATTTGTCATGGTTGTACAAGTTTTGGGTTTTTCGTGATACGAACCCAATCAAATATGTACGCGGGATGCAATCTTATGTTTTAAGTGCTTACAAAACTATTTAACCAAACCCACCCATCGGTGGCCGCGTTGGTTTGCGCTCAGTTCCTTTCACAAGAGGTCCTCGGTTCAAACTCGCCCATCGGTGGTTTAAGTGGGGGGTCGTGGCGGTGGGATGCTGCGCTAGCCCCCCTCGAGGACTAGTCGGGCATCACCGCTGGTTTGAGCCCTAGCTCGCCGGCCGCGCGGACACCTCGGTTATCAAAAAAAAAAAACTATTTAACCAAAATGTAATGGTCCCATTCACGGGACGAGTTCTTCTTGGATTGCCTTCGGCAACACCGTCACCGCGTCATACGACGGAGGAGAATTGTCCAGAATGCCACATACCTATGTTGCGACGGCCAATTTGGCCAAAAAAAAGACTGCGTTGGCAAATTGTCCGGAAATCATTGTCGTAAAAAGTCGATGCTGACATGAAAATCTTTTGCGGATTGGGCATAGCAAGATTACGCGCACTACGTAAAACATACGAACGTATGTAATGGGCGAGTTTGAGAGCTTCGAATGGTACCAAATCCGTCACGCTCAAATGGAAGACGCCCCCCTTTCGTGCCT